ACTATAACCTCGCTTTGGTTGAGAGCCTTATGACCTCCACCATTGCCGGGTACTCCATGGCTATTTCCACGCTTCACACCTCGCTCGATGGTGCTCTGCCCAGGCAGCATCCTCTCGTACATCGCTGGCCGTAGCTGGCATGAACAGGGTTCGACCGCTTCACCGTCGGCCAATTCAGCCCACCTTAAAATTGCCACTTATTCACAAATGGCTGTCTGGCCCCTAATTTTTCAAGTATATCGCCTCTCTCACTTCACTTGTTGACGTGGAAGACGACTTTACTTGTTGTGGTGAACTCTGGTAGAAGGGTCGGGTACATCCATGCGATTCCCACTGACCCGACACTGACAGTATTTTATACTGATCATGTCCGTGATTCGACTCCTCGGATACCTACCACTCTCAGTGCGATATTGCTTTCCACGTGACTGCTCATATCGCACTTCCACCCCTTTACCCAGCCTTCCGCGACTGGGGACCAATCTTCGATTGCTCACCCGCGCTCGTCACGAACGAACTAACAAAAGGGATCCGTACGGGTACCCATGTGTGCTGTTTGGTGGCGGAAGACTGGGGAGTCTGCTAGCAAGCGACTTTATCTCGCTGGTTTGTTCGTGAATTGTATGGTTACAATGATACGGTTTACCTCGAGGGGTTGAAGGCAGACTGGGTAGGGCAGATGCCGCTTTGTTGACAATACACAGCCGCACTGCTCAATGAAGAGATCGGTTCTGTCGCTCTTTGGAGCCAGCAGAACGCCTTCATTCGCCATTACCAACTTGACACGATTCTAAGGATCGCGGCTCGGTTCGGTCTTTCGGTTCTCTCCAGTGGAGAGTGATTCTGCCACCCCGACCAAGCTTAGTAACTGGTCATTGGTATCGGTTCTGTGTTCAATGCGCATATATTTCTATATCACTACATCAGATAACCTTACCATCCTTTCGGGTTGGGTCGGGTTTGGGTGTACATATCGCCCCTTTACGCCCCTTCGAGAGGCTTAGGTCCGCTTTGAACGCTTTTAACCAGTCATATGTTATTAACCCGCCTTTGCGACGGAATTGGGTGCAACTTCCCACGGGCACTGTTTGGCATGCCTCTCTTCGAGCCGCATGTCACGCAGACCAGGTTAGTGTAATGGTGAGCCAACATATGTTCGGCCACGCCGCTTATTCAGGGATTTTGCACGCTTTACAGTTTTTCCCCTCTCCCGAGCCTTCGGCATTTGGGAGTCTGTGTTAATAAGCTTTGTGGGATGGTGGCTCACACTTACCCTCCTCACGGAGTGTTTGGTGGGTGTTTTTCACCGCATAATGCATGGCTTGTACTCATTCGATTTCAGAAAGTTTTAGCAGGCTAATAATTTCTCTGGGTTTTATCGAGGTCCCGGCCAGCCCCTCTTCCAAACAGGGGCTGCATCTCGGTGCATTAATTTGCAGTAATTCTATTAGCCTCGAATTCCTGGGTTATTGGCTTTGTAGCGTTTAAATTTTTACGCTTTCCTACCCTTATACCTCTCAATGCATTGTCTGGCTGGGGCTATATTAGGGTTGGGAGTTGTTTCTCGACATGTCCCCATACATTCCTTCCATTGTAATGGTTGGGGGTGGGGTTTTATGTCATTGATGTTGAGCCAATTGACATATAAGCTTGGGTTTCTAGTTCTCGCTCGTCTGATTGACATCAGCGGTCAGGTGGCTCGGTGTTTTCTATTTCACGTGACGTGGTTGTAGATTTCACTCCACCACGGGTTTAGTTGTTGCCAGACAGAATGCCACTCCTGTCTCAAATATCTTTGGGAGTCTGTCATATGCTTATATGCCTTCAAGGAGGACTTCTTCTGAAAGAATTATACAAACCTGTAGAGGTTATGAATTCTTTGAAGAAAGTCCTCCTTGGGGTAATGCCACCTCCCTCATTCTGTCTGACACGTTCAGCATGAAAAGTGAGGTCATGAGGTAGGACGGCGAGGTTACCTGCTCTTGGCTGTGTTGGTCCTGTGGGGCCCTGTAGGGTGGTCTCACAAGACAAAACGAAGTTTTTTGTTTTGTAAATATTTTATTAAAATATAGTTACAACTGTCGAGGATTTAAAATGGACATTTTAATGCTTATATGTACCCCAAGGAGGACTTTCTTCAAAGAATTCATAACCTCTACAGGTTTGTATAAGTTTTTGCTATTATATATGTAGCTTAAGGTTTCCTTCATAAGCTCAATACTAGGTTTATATCATATAAGTATTTTAGCTAACAAACTCTAAAGGGTTTTTTGCTATTATACAATTAGCTTAAGTTTCATCATATCTTAAGCAGTATGGTTACATTATAAAATGTAATAGCTAACAAAACTCTACAGAGTTTTGCTATTATATATATAGCTTAAGTTTAATCATATCTTAAGCTCAGTACTATGTTTATAACATAAAAGTATAGTAGTTAATAAACTCTAAGGAGTTTTTGCTATATACATTTAGCTTAAGTCTAATCTTATCTTAAGCTTAGTACTATGGTTACATTATAAATCTATTAGCTAATAAACTCTACAAAGTTTTTATTATTGTATATGTAGCTTAAGTTAATTATATCTTAAGCACAGTACTATACTCATATTGTAAAATATATTAGCTAACAAACTCTACAGAGTTTTGCTATTATATATGTAGCTAAAGCTTATTCATATCTTAAGCTCAGCATTATATCTATATCATATAAGTATATTAACTAACAAACTCTAAATAGTGTTGCTATTATATAATTAGCTTAAGTTTAATCATATCTTAAGCTTAGTACTATGTTTATATCTTAAAGTATTTTAGCTAACAAACTCTAAGGAGTTTATACTAGCATATTAACAAGCTTAAGTCTATTAGTCTTAAGCATTGTATTAATGTTATATATACTTTATCATAATAAGTACATGGTAATAACCTTTATATGGCAGCTGATAAGTTAGCAGCAGGAATTCATCAGTTCAGTGCCTTTATGAAGTTCCCATAGGGTTATTACAATCATCACAGTTCAAATCACTAATTATTAAAATCCAAAGTATTATATATTCCCACCTCCTTTGCCAGAGGATTCTACAAGCAAGAGCATGAGTCAGGATAAGGAAAAATATGTAATTTTTAGAGTAAAATTGATATTTTATACTTATCCTGACTCATGAGGTAAGCCCTCCCATCCTCCCCACATAACACTTTGGATTTCCCTGTAAATTCAAATGTTGGGCTCAGTATATGAGGAGAGAGTGAGGCACATGGGTGGAGGTGGCGCCCTCGTTCACGCTCTTGTGGAAGGGAGGTAACTCGTGGTGAGTACTAATTAGTGATTTTACATTGAAGGGAGCTTCAATTAGGGAGATACAAGTGTTCCACTATGTTCGCAAGAAGAAGAAGACAAGCAAAAAGAGCATGAGTCAGGATAAGTATAAAATATCAATTTTACTCTAAAAATTACATGATGCATCGATAGTATTTGTGACTGTCAATAGTTAAGTAATTAACTTCCGTTGATACAGTGCTAAATACAGAAAGTACCAGATTAGTTTACTTTGATTTAGAGTTATCTGCCCCTGTTCAGTTTGTGTTTATTTCATATAAACTATGCATTCATTTGGGAAATGACTAAAATAAGACAATTCAAGGAGATTGCAATAGTTGGTCACAACAGACTATCGCTATCTCAATAGTTGTTTCCCCCTCAATAAGGAAATCTTTATAAGTTAAACCATGAATATAACAAGTGACAGACAAAAATATGCTTAAACACACACTTATGTTGCTTCCTTCTTCTGTATGTTCATTTGTCAAGCAACGTAACAAATTGGTTGACATCTCAGGTCCAGATATTCAAGTATGACTAACAAGGCTGTGTAGGATGTCTGGAGTCATTAATGTCATTGAGGACAGGGCTGTGTAGGATGTCTGGAGACATTAATGTCATTGAGGACAGGGCTGTGTAGGATGTCTGGAGTCATTAATGTCATTGAGGACAGGGCTGTGTAGGATGTCTGGAGCCATTAATGTCATTGAGGACAGGGCTGTGTAGGATGTCTGGAGTCATTAATGTCATTGAGGACAGGGCTGTGTAGGATGTCTGGAGTCATTAATGTCATTGAGGACAGGGCTGTGTAGGATGTCTGGAGTCATTAATGTCATTGAGGGCTGTGTAGGGCTGTGTAGGATGTCTGGAGTCATTAATGTCATTGAGGACAGGGCTGTGTAGGGCTGTGTATGTCTGGAGTCATTAATGTCATTGAGGACATGGCTGTGTAGGATGTCTGGAGTCATTAATGTCATTGAGGACAGAGCTGTGTAGGATGTCTGGTCTGTCATTAATGTCATTGAGGACAGGGCTGTGTAGGATGTCTGGAGTCATTAATGTCATTGAGGACATGGCTGTGTAGGGATGTCTGGAGTCATTAATGTCATTGAGGACAGAGCTGTGTAGGATGTCTGGAGTCATTAATGTCATTGAGGACAGGCTGTGTAGGATGTCTGGAGTCATTAATGTCATTGAGGACAGGGCTGTGTAGGATGTCTGGAGTCATTAATGTCATTGAGGACAGGGCTGTGTAGGATGTCTGGAGTCATTAATGTCATTGAGGACAGGGCTGTGTAGGATGTCTGGAGTCATTAATGTCATTGAGGACAGAGGCTGTGTAGGATGTCTGGAGTCATTAATGTCATTGAGGACAGGGCTGTGTAGGATGTCTGGAGTCATTAATGTCATTGAGGACAGAGCTGTGTAGGATGTCTGGAGTCATTAATGTCATTGAGGACAGGGCTGTGTAGGATGTCTGGAGTCATTAATGTCATTGAGGACAAGGCTGTGTAGGATGTCTGGAGTCATTAATGTCATTGAGGACAGGGCTGTGTAGGATGTCTGGAGTCATTAATGTCATTGAGGACAGGGCTGTGTAGGATGTCTGGAGTCATTAATGTCATTGAGGACAGGGCTGTGTAGGATGTCTGGAGTCATTAATGTCATTGTTGTGCAGATCGAGTGACAAACGTCGGAACATTGCTGCCCAGAAAGCGGAGGCCAGGAAACGACTGTTCCGGTCGACGAAGAAGGTTGAAGTTGATGTCACAGACCTTGAGAAGAAACGCCAAACGATCGAGCGGAGGAAAGAGGAACTGGTATGATTGTCATCACTCACTCCAAACATTTCTCACGTCTATGTCTCACTTTCCATGTCTCAGACAAAACATCCAGCGTCCCACTGCAATCATGTCTCACCCCATAGGTTTCTTCCCTTCTAAACTCATCAATGATTGTTTCATCTCCTTCAGAAGGAGCTGTTGTCCCGCATCAGGAGGGCAGCAGCAAGAGAGGAGTACGAGAACCGCAACTGTGGCAGGTTCCGCCGCATCTTCCCGTCTGACGACCGGGCGCGGCAGGAGAAGTACTGCAGCCTGCTGTCTTCGTGCTTCACCGTGTTCCTGGCAGGTCGGGGCACCTCCATGCAGAGGGAGATCCAGACGACGTACAACAACAAGTTCAGGGTGAGAACTGCAGAATGTTTGGGGAAGAATGGAGAGAGATTACATAGTGGACGGAGTCATACTCTGGGGCATGGAGACTTAGCAGATCTCAAAGCTCCTTGTTTGCATGTATGTGTGTAACGTATGTAAGGAAGCTGTAGATGTTTGTGTGTAATGTATGTAATGTATGTAAGGAAGCTGTAAGCTGTAGATGTATGTGTGTAATGTATGTAAAGAAGCTGTAGATGTAAGGAAGCTGTAGATGTATGTGTGTAATGTATGTAAGAAAGCTGTAGATGTTTGTGAAAATGCCTACTGAATGGAGATAACATAACCAACCATTTTGTGTGGTACGTTGGCCTCTCATCATCTCGTGTGTCTGGATTGGATTTGCTGAGTGTCATCCCTTAGTCATACAAGAATCTAGGGTTCTGTGCCTGACTGTGTATGACTGACTTATGACTGATGTATCACAGATGAGTGACCGTGTTTGAGTGAGTGAGTGAGTATGGTTTTAGCAATGTTCCAGCAATACAGGCAGGGAAAACCAGAAATAGGCTTCACACATTGTCTTCGGCGTGACGAGCGAATGCTTAGACCACTAGGCTACCCCACCGCCCCGACTGTGTTTGAATGACTTACTGACTGACTGACTTATGACTGTATGACTGACTTATGACTGTGTATGAGTTATGTATGACTGACTTATAACTGTATGACTGACCCATGACTGTATGACTGATTTATGACTGTATGAGTGTATGACTGACTTATGACTGTATGACTGATTTATGACTGTATGACTTACTTATGACTTACTTATGACTATGACTGACTCATAACTGCATGACCGACTTATGACTTTATGACTGACATGACTGTATGACTGATGACTGACTATGACTGACTTGAGACGTGACTGACTCAAGACTTTGGGACCAACTTATGACTGTATGACCGACTTATGACTGTGTGACTGATGCATGACTGACTTATAACTGTATGACTGACTTATTTATGACTGTGTGACTGAAATACGACTGCCTGATCAACTTATGACTGTGTTTCAGGAGGAGGAGATCATGGACATGCTGGCTGAGTGTGAGGCAGATGAGAAGGAGGGGCGTGTCTTCACCAACCCCGGGTCATCGCGCCCTAGAGGACCCAAGGTCAGGAGTTAACATGCTGTCACAGCTGTAGTAGGTTCTGTGTAATACTTTAGCTGTTTAGCAAGCATAACTAACGATGTTCAACAGGTTTAAACCAGTTTGCCAGACAAAGATTCAGTCAATGCAAGTCAGCCATGATTGCTGACTGAGGCTTAGAATACCGTTCACTCACTGGCATTGTGTATTTACCAATACAATCTTGACCTTCCTGCCTGCAGCCACTCCAGAGTATGCCAGAGAGTGTTCAAGCCCCCCCGTGAGGATCTAGATGATGATGATGAAGATGAGCTAAGTGACAGTGCCTCACCCCCAAGTTCAACTGTTCTCCGACGCCGCTCGGCGAGCACACACCACCACGACCCTCTTCCCGTCCAGACAGCGTCCAGAGCAACCACAGCTCACGGCCAACGTCAGGGGTTCTACGCATGACCCAGCGCCCCACCAGCAACACCTCACTCCCCGGGGCCCAGCAGCGCTCCAAGTCCTTGTCCAGGGCGGCAACCTCCAACAAACTGACCGTCCATGCAGAGGAATGGCCTTGTAAGTACATTTACGCCATCTTGCAGAGGAACGGCATTGTAAGTACACTTACGCCATCTTGCAGAGGAACAGCATTGTAAGTACACTTACGCCATCTTGCAGAGGAACGGCATTGTAAGTACACTTATGCCATCTTGCAGAGGAACAGCATTGTAAGTACACTTACACCATCTTGCAGAGGAACGGCATTGGGCATTGCCATCTTGCATAGGAACAGCATTGTAAGTACACTTATGCCATCTTGCAGAGGAACGGCATTGTAAGTACACTTACGCCATCTTGCAGAGGAACGGCATTGTAAGTACACTTACGCCATCTTGCAGAGGAACAGCATTGTAAGTACACTTACGCCATCTTGCAGAGGAACGGCATTGTAAGTACACTTATGCCATCTTGCAGAGGAACAGCATTGTAAGTACACTTACACCATCTTGCAGAGGAACAGCATTGTAAGTACACTTACACCATCTTGCAGAGGAACAGCATTGTAAGTACACTTACGCCATCTTGCAGAGGAACAGCATTGTAAGTACACTTACGCCATCTTGCAGAGGAACAGCATTGTAAGTACACTTACACCATCTTGCAGAGGAACAGCATTACTAGCGTGTGAGATATTTATGATAATCTGACACTGTAAGTTTTGAAGACTAGACATGTTATTCCTCATAGCATGTGTTTTCCCATCTGGCATGCATATGGTACACTGATATTCTTCCACAAGATTCAGATTATTCCTGTTCTTCTGGATTCTGGGACAGATGAAGATGCTCCACCCTTACTGTACTAGAATGTTGTTATGTGGAGTAGTAACTTCTGGTTGTAGATCCTTGCTTTAGTTATGTACTGAATCTGATGTGAGAATCTACCTGGGTCTTTGACATATGAAGGCAAACTTTAATGAGTAGGCAACCTCTCCACTTTGTGTGGTAGTGGATGTATCGATACTTGGAGACTGATGTCTGTGTGAGTTGTAACAATGTGGCTGGCACCAGACCGACGTGTTTGACCTGGGAAATACTTCCAAATGTCACGGTTTGATTGTATGTGTGCAGGATGACAACTTCCTGTCGTCGATGGTGAAGGAACGGGAGGACGAGCTGACGAAGAAGACGCTGTCATCTCTCAATGAGATGCGGATCAAGTTCCCTGGCAAGACCGACCTTGAAGCTGACACGCTGCTAGACAAGGTAGGGGAAACCACTGACAATGTTCGCTTCAGCTGAATATTATGTGTTGATGACAAGGATGACAAAAGGATGTTGGAATATGATGTATGCTGCTTGAATTCAGGGTAGGGGAAGTAACTGCTCTTGGCGAAGGGGAATTAAAAGAACACCAAATGTCTTGTATCATGCTACTTAGAGTGAGTAAAGGGGTCTACGCTGCTGTTAGCTTGTTCAGGCAGGGTATGTCAGAAATTGGCTTCACGCCATGTACCCAACATTGTAGGGTACCTTTGATGTTTATGTTCCTTGAGATGGAAGAGCGAGGGGAACATAAACAAACATCGAGGGTACATCAACCCATGGGCCCCGAGGGACCAGTGAGCAACGTATTTATCTTACAGAACACCTTAATGTTAATTTTGAATTGTTTGAAGCATGGGAACAAATCTTTTTGTAGCCATCGCTAGAATTTGCTGACAAGAAAAACAGATTTAGAGTTATCTCCCTTCCATCGATTTGCATTCGCAAAACATTGGTAATTTCTGTACATCATACGTGATTCAATGTTATTCGAGATAAAGAATTACTACCACGAAGTACCAAATGAGTTGCCATTGACAGCGGGGTATATTGAAATGTTACTCGCTTGTAAGCGGGGTACATTGAAAATTATAGAAGAGCGCTCAGCCAATCAAAAAGCGACATTTATGTTTGAGGTAAGATGATGTTACATGTATCGAACATTGAACTATCACAGTAGTAGTGTCGTCATCGCTTCGTGACACGGGCCAAGATAATGTCATTTTATACGTTGTATATTGCAGCTGAATGAGAACTGGAAGTTCCACAAGCCTCGGATAGCGTCCTACTGGCTGGTCAAGCTTGACTCCATCAAGAGGAGGAAGGTGATGATGCATTCTGGGAATGTTGGGGGACAAAACTGACATTGAGTCCAATGTTGGAGACATCATTCATTGGTGCACAGTAGGGAGCTGTGGTGGTTAAGGAGATGTGTGGAGTTTCAGTCTGGTCAAAGATCGACTGGTCCTGGGTTCAGATCCCAGATTTGTGTGATCCCTGGTTTGTCTGCACCAGTGCTTGTGGTTCAGCAGCAGACGGGCAAATGTCTGCCACGTCATGTTAAACTGACATTCTGTAATATCACATGGGGGAAACACTGCAAGTTTACAAACACAGGTTAAGACTATAGAAAGATTGCTTACTCTGAGTGTTTGTAATTTGACAAATGTTTTCTGTTCAAGGTCACTGACATTGTGAGGTCAAATGTCAAGGCTGTATTACAGAGGATCTGGCGATGTTCCGATGTAGACAACTTGCGTCTGTATCGTATCTTCAGCCGGGTGTTTAATCGTCTGTTGTGGAGTCATGGCCAGGGGCTGTGGAACTGCTTCTCTTCTTCTGGGTAGGTGGCCATCTTGTTTCTTGTTCTTCTCGGTAGGTGGCCATCTGTTTATGTTATCTTGTAGAGGGAGTTTACGATTTTATGTTTCTTCATATAAACACAAACCATGTGTGGTATATATAATGTAAATATCTTGATTGTCCAGATTTTATCTGAAGAGTTATCTTCCCTTGCCTAAACTGAACCACAGTGGCTGCTTACATGATTTAATTATGGTTCTTCCTAACTAGCCCCAGTGTCAGATGTCTGTAAGTTGTAGCCTGCAGGGATAGGCTGGATCGTGGGGCAACTAGCCCGAGTGTAAGGGACCGTTCATATTCTTTTTCAGAAGAAGTCCTCCTTGGGGTACATATAAGCATTAAAATGTCCATTTTAAATCCTACGACAGTTGTTACTATATTTTTAATAAAATATTTACAAAACAAAAAACTCGTTTTGTTTTGTGAGACCACCCCTACAGGGCCCCACCGGACCAACACAGCCAAGAGCAGGTAACTCTCGCCGTCTACCTCGTACCTCACTTTTCATGCTGTCGATCTGTTGAATAAACATGCGTGGTGTTCGTTTCGAGTTTGCTCTCCTACCGATAACGATGAGTGTAAAAGATCTCAATCTGTATGTATGGTTCCTTTCTCACGCACGCGTTAGATGGACGCCATATGTTGATATTCTCATTCATCTTTTGTTGTAACTTTGCCGTGGTTCTCTGTTTTCCAGCCATGTGGCAGGCAAAATGGCTGGACCGCCACGATCGTGGTTTCCTTGCTATATGTTCTTGGTAGCTTGTAGTAGGGAATTCATATATTATGTTTGCATATTATATGGTAGGCTTGCCTAAATTCTCTTCTTTCAGCCGTGTTTGTGGTAAGTCGTTGTTGAGTAATTTTGATAGTGTTCATTTCAGATCACCAACTTTACTCTATCACTAGTATGTACACGAGGGGTGGCTAGCCTTTTTCTGCTTTGCATTGTATGTTTAGTATTTAAATGGCTGTAGCTTGTAGCATTTATATATCGCCCGCATGGTTATTCTTGCTATTACTTGTGTTTATGTGTTTGCTGCTTCACAGTTCCTGCTAGTAACACTGGCGTGGTTCTGTTTGTTGCAGTTTAAGCCCTGTGTGTTGTGCCGTGCACACTACCGCCACAGGATGGTCATAAAGTGTGCCTCCGGTGTTTAGCCGAGGACGCCACAACGATCAAGGATGCTCATAATAAACGCCTTTAAGGCCAATATTCCTGTTACATTATGTTGTATTATGATACATATTTCATACGCTTTACACACAACGCGGCTCATAGGTCGAGGTTGTGGTTTTTTTGTCTGGGTTTCTGCGCCACGCCATTCTTCCCGACACGCAGATTTTATGTTTTTCACTAATCTGCTTCAGGCGGGGGATAATATTTGATAAAAGGTTTCTACGGAAATCCCTTTATCGTTCCCCCGCAAACAATGTTGCTGACTTAAATATGACTCAATTTGCTTCACTATTGCAGCAACATATTCTTCAACATAATGTCAAGTCGATGATTGATAGCGCTGATGTCCGGGCTCCGCCAGGAGCTTCGGCCCGCAGCGTTGATCTCGGCGGTAAGTTAACCAGGTGTCGCCTGTGGTGAAATCCCAGATTGACACGGTGCTGTCTGGGTTCCGCAAAGGAGCTCAGCACGCCTGTCGTCGGGGGTGGATCAGTCGCATCTGGGGGGGTTGGCTGCGGCCCAAGCTCTGGCTCGAGAACGCCTCCTCCCAGGCAGCTTGATCCTGGCTTCGCTCAGGTGATGGTGTGCCTTCGCACCTTGTGGCTTTTACCTAGCTTCGGGCTCAGGTTCGTTCATGGGCCTGGGCGCCGGCGATGTATTGCCAGGCTACTCCCTGTCGACTGCTGCTGATCGGACTAGCACCGACCTGGGCTTCGCCCCGCACGAACAGATCCCCGCTGTTAGCTCAGGTCTCGGCCTGATGTCTATCGATAACCTGGCCAAGAGGCCGTTGAGTGTGACGAGCTGCCGATCACCTTGACGCGCCGAGGTCTACCCGTGTACACCAGGGGAGCCCTGCATTGTCAGGCTACTCCCATGTGTTTTGGGATCGGGGTTCGAACTCGAACCGCCGACCCGAGCACTTACGTATATATATATATATATACGCACAAAATGTCCAAAGTAGTACAGGTGTTCAGTCATAAATATTGCATAGATAAATAAAAACAGAATGCCTTTTTCTCCAACATGTTTCGTTCTTTACTCTTCAGGGAGATTGTAGCGGTTACAGTATGACGTCATTACATATATATTGTGACGTCATAATAGGGACAACATTCTATATATATATGTATGTATGGGTATTTATATAGCGCTATAGGCTATGTTTGACTATATGCTTAGTGCGCTTTTGGAGAGTACTTGGGGAAACCTGATTTATCAGGCTACTCCTACGTGTCTCTGGATCGGGGTTCGGTCTAGAACAGCTGAGCTTCGTCTCTGCGGATTCTCTGAACCCCGTGGGTAGCACCGACCCAGGCTTCGGCACTGGTAGGGTGCAGATTCCCGGCTCCGGTAGTTCAGGTCTCGGCCTGATGTCTATCGACGTCTTGACCACGATGCCATCGAGTGTGCCGGGTGTGACGGTCACCTCGACGCTCTGAGGTCTGTCTGAGTGCTTGTGAAACCTTGATTGTCAGGCTTCTCACATGTGCCTCGGATTCGGGGTTTAGGCTCGTACAGTGGACAAGTCGATTTGAGCTTCGGCTCATTTCGCTACTTTGAACTTACCACTGAGTAGGTTCGTCCCTGAGGCAAGTGCGAGATAGAATCGCGGCTGTGTTGCCTCAGGTGTTGTCCACGTCGAATACCCGAACCGTTGGAGTTCGCCTCCCGGAGGGAAGCCTGCTTCCAGCACGGCATCCGGGACAAGGCCTCACACTCTACCGTCAGTCTGCCGTTCTTTCCCCTTCACAGCTCAACGCTGTATGCTCCACTCGGCGCATCTCTCAGCTCTGCTGAGGGAGCTGGTGGAAAGGGGAGAGAGCACCGGTGGAATTTTTTTTTCGTCGGCGACTCTGGGCGGCATCTGACGGGGGTCAACTCTCATCTGGCTAGGGACTGCATTGTAGCTGTGCCAGCCAAATGATGAGGGCGGTTATGGGCCTATACCCCCGGGACCGTTTCGAGGAATACGGAAGTCTGTTGAGCTTCTCGTTGCCCAGGCATCGGCAAACGTTAAGTTGCCGACTGCTGAGGTTTACTATATTCTGCCGCAAACACCGGTCGGACCAACACACTCCAGTCTCGGCTTCCCGGGAGACGGCGACAATACTCCATTTATTTCATCGTTGCCATTACGAACGGAATGTTCAGACCCATTCTCATCTGAGAGCTGAACAAGTTCATAGAGGTACTGTCCTTCAAGATGGAGACACCGCGCTCGGTGATCTCATCTGCCGAGACAGGGGATTGGCGCACGTCAATCGACCTCGAGGTCGCGAACCTCCTTGTTCCATTGCACCCTTTTATTTCAAGATTTACCTTCGGTTTCTTGTTTGACGGGACGTGCTACCAGTTTCGTGTGCTCTCCTTAGGCTACATTACGGTGCCAAGGGTGTTCACCAAATTGAGGTTTATTACAGCTCAGATAGCCAGATCGCAGTGCCGGTGTTGTCACCCGTACATAGGCGACTGGCTCATCGTGGTTTCAGAATAACTGTTGAGTCTGGGGACCTCACGATCAGTGTTGGTCACTCTTACGAAACTGGGCAGAAACGCAGTCAGTTGGACAGACGTCAGGCATCTCTCCGAGGGTCCCCTGCTCAATGAAGAGATCGGTTCTGTCGCTCTTTGGAGCCGGCAGAACGCCTTCATTCGCCATTACCAACTTGACACGCATTCTAAGGATCGTGCTCGGTTCGGTCTTTCGGTTCTCTCCAGTGGAGAGTGCCCTGCCACCCTGACCAAGTTAGTAACTGGTCATTGGTATCGGTTCTGTGTTCAATGTCGATATATTTCATATCACTACATCGTGTGCTGATAGCCTTTACCATCCTTCGGGTTGGGTCGGGTTTGGTGTACATCGTCCCTTTACGCCCCTCTTCAAGAGGGCAGGGTCCGCTTTGAGCGCTTTAACCAGTCATATGCTATTAACCAGTCTTCGCGGCGAATTGGGTACGAACCCCCGCGGGCACTGTTTGGTATGCCTCTCTTATGAGCGCATGTCACGTGACCAGGTTAGTGTAATGGTGAGCCAACACATGTTCGACTCGCTTTTCGCTATTCAGGTTTTTTGTGTACGCTTACAGTTATCCCTTTTCCCGAGCCTTCGGTATTTGGGAGTCTGTGTTAAGCAGCTTTGTGGGATGATGGCCTACACTTACCCTCCTCACACCGAGAGTGTTTGGTGGGGTTGTTTTTCACTTGTACAATGCATGGCGTTTGTACTCGTTCGATTTCCTCTGAAAGTTTTTAGCGAGGCTAATAATTTATCGGGGTTTTATCGAGGTCCCGGCAAGCCCTCTTCCAAACAGGGGTGCATTCGAGCATTAGTTTGCAGTACTTATTAGCTCGACTTCTGGGTTATTGGCTTTGTAGCGTTTAATTTTTTACGCTTTCCCTACCCTTATACCTGTCGCCACGCTTGTCTACCTGGGGCTATATTAGGGTTGGGAGTTGTTTTGGCATGTCCCCATACATTCCTTCCATTGTGATGGTTGGGGGTGGGGTTTTATGTCATTGATATTGAGCCAATTGACATATAAGCTTGGGCTCTCTAGTTCCTGCCCCCGTCTGATTGACATCAGCGGTCAGGTGGCTCGGTGTTTTCTATTTCCGTATCGGTTGTAGATTTCACTCCACCACAGGTTTAGTTGTTGGCAGACAGAATGCCACTCCCGTCTCAAATATCTTTGGGAGTCTGTCATATGCTTATATGTACCCCAAGGAGGACTTCTTCTGAAAAAGAATTATACAAACCTGTAGAGGTTATGAATTCTTTGAAGAAAGTCCTCCTTGGGTATCTGCCACCCATCTCCCCTCATTCTGTCTGACACGTTCAGCATGAAAAGTGAGGTACGAGGTAGACGGCGAGAGTTACCTGCTCTTGGCTGTGTTGGTCCGGTGGGGCCCTGTAGGGGTGGTCTCACAAGACAAAACGAGTTTTTTGTTTTGTCAATATTTTATTAAAAATATAGTAACAACTGTCGTAGGATTTAAAATGGACATTTTAATGCTTATATGTACCCCAAGGAGGACTTTCTTCAAAGAATTCATAACCTCTACAGGTTTGTATATATTTATGGCTAGGGCGGGTGATGATGATTTGTATAGAGAGGCATGTACAATGTGAATGACCCCCCCTAAAATGTATGTACAAAATTAGTGACCCCCTTCCATGTCATGTACAAAATCAATGGAAACACACACACCCACACACCCCCACCCATAAATATGAGGTATAATTTTAAACATATTTTTATGTACAAAATTGCTGACCCCCTGGTATGTGTGTACAAAATTGATGACCACCCCCAAAAATCATCATCACCCCACCCACACCCCTAGCTATAAATTATGAACGGTCTCTAAGATGGCTGGATGCCGCTGAGAGCTGCGTGAGATCAGTTGTTTCTGTACTTTGACAGCAATTCGTGGGAAACAATATTCAACAAGAGTTCAGAGAACATCAGTGAGGCAGAGTTGAACTGTTGCCGGCGGATCGTTCAGCTGTGTCGGGACTGTCTCCTAATCGTCTACCAGTTCGCTGCTGAGGCAAAAGCAACAACACAGACAGTGCCCTCTAGTGAGAGTGAGGAGCCGGCCACAGTGTCACAGCCTACAAGCAATGGGTGAGTGGTGGGAGGGGTCAGAGATGGTGATGGTGATGTGAGGGTGTGGATGTGGGGGTGTGGATGTGGGTGTGAATGTAGATGTGGGTGTGAATGTAGATGTGGGTGTGGATGAAGATGTGGGTGTGAATGTGAATGGGGGTGTGAATGTGAATGGGGGTGTGGGTGTGGATCTGGGAGTGAATGTGGGAGTGAGAGTGGATGTGAATGTGGGAGAGGATGTGAATGGAGGTATGAATGTAGGTATGGGTGTGAATGTGGGAGTGGATGTGAATGTGGGAGAGGATGTGAATGGAGGTATAAATGTAGGTATGGGTGTGAATGTGGGAGAGGATGTGAATGGAGGTATGAATGTAGGTATGGGTGTGAATGTGGGAGTGGATGTGAATGTGGGAGAGGATGTGAATGGAGGTATGAATGTAGGTATGGGTGTGAATGTGGGAGTGGATGTGGGTGTGAATGTGGAGTGGGAGTGGGTGTGAATGTGGGTGTGGGTGTGTTTCATACTTTTAACTTAGAATTGTGATTGTATTATTTAATGTAACCCTGTACTTTTCAAACTGATTTCAAGTACAACTCACTCACTCACTCACTCAGGTTTATCGCCAGTCAGGATGTGAGGCCACCAGCCACCTGGAACCCACACACCTTCAGTCAGCGTTACTCCAAGCTCTACAACAGGGCCGAGGGCATGGGGTCGTGACATCCCCACCTGGGATCATGTGATGTCTGAGGCCCGACGTAGCCACGTAGATGTAGCCGTCCAGATGTAACATTGTAGTCTGTAGCACCATGTACCCCAGCTCATCATCACAACTGACTGGTATACTACTGGACTACTGCTGGCATCTACATGGGACACAAGTAGTCAGCTGATTGTGTTTCTGATTTAGTTTTACTTACTCTTTCTAGCTCCAGACACGTATGTTGTCCTGAGGTACACATTACAACAATTTTAGTCGTCAAACTATAAGTGGGGATCTTTATTTTTGTTTTGGCTAATTTTGGACATTGTAACTTGCTCATTCTTGCACCCAGAACACATGTAGAATTGTTCAGCTGGAACGCTGAAATGTATTGAAACATATACAAGTGTTTTGTAATTAGTCGCCAACTTGTATATTGTCCTATACGAAGAGCCAGCTTGTATGTTGTTTCATACAAGGAGCCAGCTAGTATGTTTTATATGAGGAGCCAGCTTGTATGTTGTTTTATACGATGCTTGTATGGCTTTATACAACTTGTATATTGTTTTATACGAGGCGCCAACTTGTATATTGTTTTATACGAGGGCAGCCAGCTTGTTTGTTCTTTTATATGAGGAGCCAACTTGTATATTGTTTCATCCAAGGAGCCAACTTGTATATTGTTTCATGCAAGGAGCCAGCTTGTATATTGTCTGCTCTGATAGTGCTTGATTCTAACCATGTACAAGACAGCATTACTGACATTTATGAAATCCCTTTACTCCTGAAAGTATTAGGTAGCATGAGTATGCTTTGTGTAAATATATAAATATATATATATATATATATATCTTCCTGTAATAATGTCTGAAGTAGGTAGCTGTTTCTGATTACTTTGTACATTAAACACTACTAATCTTGATACCTGTATAGTGTCTAGTCACATGTACTGATCTTGTCACCACAATTGTTGTAGTACTAGACAGACATCTTGTGACCTTCACGTGCACCTGGAGGTGAACTGAGTCAGTGTAGGAACCTGGTGTACTGTATCACTGTATCAAGTTTCCACTTCTAGAAAATACTACATGACATTTAAAGGCACAATGTCACACCACATTTCTCTAAAAATACACAAATGCATTTCTCTCAATAATACTATCAGGGCCTCAGGGAAGCTACCATATAATGTATTCTCCCCAAAAATTATGTATTTATATTACAATATTAAATACTAGTAAGAGAGTTTGGATGAATTAATGTAACGTTGCATTAAATTGACTCTCGTGCCCAATACCGACCGAACATTATTTCTGGTTGGAAGCAGTTCGCCTCGAAGTTTCAATTATTGATTTCAGGCAAGTTGAAAGGGATAATAAGTGTTATTTTGCATCAACAGGACTGACTGAGTTAAGTTTTACACCGCTTTTAGCAATATTCCAGCAATATCACGGTGGGGGACACCAGAAATGGGCTTAACACATTGTGCCCATGTGGGGAATCGAACCCTGCGGTCCAACCACTAGGCTACCCCAACCACCAAGCATCAACAGGAAGCTAAATTGAGGGCAAATGCCCCCAATATATAAAATATAGGCCAAAATATTGTCGAAAAAACGCGACATTGTGCCTTTAACTATTATCTCCGTAAACATGGGCTAACTGGTTCACTCTAGTGTGAAATGTAATAAGAAATGTGTAACTGAAATATTTATCCTCACGTTTCTCCAATATTTGATGATTCTTGATATATTTTTACAATTACAATATGCTAAATATCACGTATTATGGCTTTCCACTTTACTACTTACTTACTTTTCACACATACAAAATCTGTTGGAGTATACTTTCATAGTTTACATGAACTATCTATTGGGCAGTTTTGTAAGAAAGAATTGTTTTGTACAAATTGGGGGTTTGTTGAAGGCTCACTTTTAGGGCAGAGTTATTTTAACATTTATGATGTGTAACGTTGTGCCATCATGGTGCACCCAAGAAGCACTGACAAAGACAGGAACTGCCAGAATATTGGCTGACATGCTTCAGTCAAACAGTAGATACATTCACAACATGTGGTGTGTTATATATATACATAGTGGCATATTGTAACCAACAACATGACATCTGGTCTATTGTCAAGGGTATTCGTTCTGTTGTGTACATTGTTGCTACTTGTTACTGCGTAGACTGTGATACAATGTGTGCAAATCGGTTCTCTGATTTGTGATGATACAATATGTGTACATCCGTCCTCTGATATGTAATGATACAATATGTGTACATCCGTCTACATACTTCCTCTGATATGTAATGATACAATGTGTATATCCGTCCTCTGAATGGTGATTCTGAGAGCTGGTGATGGTTGTTTCCAGTTTACATGGCCCACACTCCCAGCCTAGTTTCTTTGGTATGTACTGCTAGCACTCAGTTTAAGGCCAGCACCCAGTGTAAGGTCAGCACTCATTGTTCTGCCAGCGATCAGTGTAAGGTCAGCCCTTATGTTCTGCCAGCGATCAGTGTAGGTCAGTGTTACTGTAAGCTGCACTCTGTGTAAGGTCAGCACTCTGTGTTCTGCCAGCGATCAGTGTAAGGCCAGCACTCTGTGTTCTGCCAGCGATCAGTGTAAGGCCAGCACTCTGTGTTCTGCCAGCGATCAGTGTAAGGTCAGCCCTTACTGTAAGGCCAGCACCCAGTGTTCTGCCAGCGATCAGTGTAAGGCCAGCACTCTGTGTTCTGCCAGCGATCAGTGTAAGGTCAGCCCTTACTGTAAGGCCAGCACTCAGTGTTCTGCCAGCGATCAGTGTAAGGTCAGCACTCTGCTGCCAGCGATCAGTGTAAGGTCAGCACTCTGTGTTCTGCCAGCGATCAGTGTAAGGCCAGCACTCTGTGTTCTGCCAGCGATCAGTGTAAGGTCAGCACTCTGTGTTCTGCCAGCGATCAGTGTAAGGTCAGCCCTTACTGTAAGGCCAGCACCCAGTGTTCTGCCAGCGATCAGTGTAAGGCCAGCACCTGTTCTGCCAGCGATCAGTGTAAGGTCAGCCCTTACTGTAAGGCCAGCACTCTGTGTTCTGCCAGCGATCAGTGTAAGGTCAGCCCTTACTGTAAGGCCAGCACCCAGTGTTCTGCCAGCGATCAGTGTAAGGTCAGCCCTTACTGTAAGGCCAGCACCCAGTGTTCTGCCAGCGATCAGTGTAAGGTCAGCCCTTACTGTAAGGCCAGCACCCAGTGTTCTGCCAGCGATCAGTGTAAGGCCAGCACTCTGTGTTCTGCCAGCGATCAGTGTAAGGCCAGCACTCTGTGTTCTGCCAGCGATCAGTGTAAGGCCAGCACTCTGTGTTCTGCCAGCGATCAGTGTAAGGTCAGCACTCTGTGTTCTGCCAGCGATCAGTGTAAGGTCAGCCCTGTAAGGTCAGCACTCAGTGTTCTGCCAGCCCTTATGTGTAAGCCAGCACTCTGTGTTCTGCCAGCGATCAGTGTAAGGTCAGCCCTTACTGTAAGGCCAGCACCCAGTGTTCTGCCAGCGATCAGTGTAAGGTCAGCCCTTACTGTAAGGCCAGCACCCTGTGTTCTGCCAGCGATCAGTGTAAGGCCAGCACTCTGTGTTCTGCCAGCGATCAGTGTAAGGCCAGCACTCTGTGTTCTGCCAGCGATCAGTGTAAGGCCAGCACTCTGTGTTCTGCCAGCGATCAGTGTAAGGCCAGCACTCTGTGTTCTGCCAGCGATCAGTGTAAGGTCAGCCCTTACTGTAAGGCCAGCACTCTGTGTTCTGCCAGCGATCAGTGTAAGGCCAGCACTCTGTGTTCTGCCAGCGATCAGTGTAAGGCCAGCACTCTGTGTTCTGCCAGCGATCAGTGTAAGGTCAGCACTCTGTGTTCTGCCAGCGATCAGTGTAAGGCCAGCGATCAGTAAAGGTCCAGCACTCTGTGTTCTGCCAGCGATCAGTGTAAGGTCAGCACTCTGTGTTCTGCCAGCGATCAGTGTAAGGTCAGCACTCTGTGTTCTGCCAGCGATCAGTGTAAGGCCAGCACTCTGTGTTCTGCCAGCAATCTGTAAGGTCAGCACTCTGTGTTCTGCCAGCGATCAGTAAGTAAGTAAGGCCAGCACTCTGTGTTCTGCCAGCGATCAGTGTAAGGTCAGCACCTGTGTTCTAGCCCGATCAGTGTAGGCAGTAAGGCCAGCACTCAGTGTTCTGCCAGCAATCAGTGTAAGGCCAGCAATCAGTGTAAGGCCAGCACTCTGTGTTCTGCCAGCGATCAGTGTAAGGCCAGCACTCTGTGTTCTGCCAGCGATCAGTGTAAGGCCAGCGACCAGTGTAAGCCCAGCACTCTGTGTTCTGCCAGCGATCAGTGTAAGGCCAGCGATCAGTGTAAAGGCCAGCTTATCAGTGTTCTGCCAGCACTCTGTGTTCTGCCAGCGATCAGTGTAAGGCCAGCGACCAGTGTAAGCCCAGCACTCTGTGTTCTGCCAGCGATCAGTGTAAGGCCAGCGATCAGTGTAAGGTCAGCACCCAGTGTTCTGTCAGCGATCAGTGTAAGGTCAGCCCTAACTGTAACATCAGTACAGCAGCAAAGCCAGGGAACTAGGCTGGCTTCCGTGCATGTGCTGAGAGCAACACCGGCCATGCTTCTCAGTTCTAAGACTTTAATAAATCAACTTATTTTCACTGATGTGTTTTGTTGTTTTTCACTGCTACTCCAGCCAGTTTAACTGGATTGCATTCAAATACTGATGGGCCGGTGGAGTCTACTAATGCCTACAGGGAAGAACGCCTACAGTCTTAAATAAACAATTTTACGCACCAGTGGATACACATTGTACTGCCTCTACCCTTTCACAGTAGGTCCCACTTCATTGTGCACTGATGCCTACAGGGAGTACAAAACACAGACTTTTAAATGACATTTTATAAGATTTAATCATATCATCATTTTCATTTCTTGAAAATCATTTATTACAAATCATATATTACAATAAGAATAATCTCTCTCAATAAATTAAACATTTCCTTCTCACTTTGTTTTATCCCTCAATATGTTTTTCTACCCTTCAATCTAATCGTGTGAGATGGAGCATAGCCTCTACTAATTGCTCTTTGCCTTCTACTCCCCTAATCCCATTGTAGGCATTAGTGCACACTAACTAGTACAGTCCACTTGTGTGCAGGTAAGCGTATCGCTGTCACAACAAATTTTGTAGCTATTATTCCCTACCATTCCCTGTATGCATTAGTAGACCTAACCGATGGGCCAAGTTTCCAGAGGTACTTTTCAAGATGGCTAATTATAGACACAAGCGTATTGTCAGAAATTCATAAAAAAACTCCAAATAAATATAAAAGTTGTTCACTGACTGTGAAAGTTTATTTTCATCTGTCAGACCCCAATCACAAACAGCAACATGTATACTCATTGCTTGGTCTTGGACCACACTGATCGTAGTATTTCCAGTAATGAAATATTTCTGCAAATGAAACATACAACTTTATGGATGACAACTTCTGGTTTATTTGCGTTGAGCGATGTTTCAAGTCTACTAATGCCTACATGCCTCAAGCTTGATTACGATATAAGAATCTACATCGAAACGTCGCTCAACGCAAATAAACCAGAAGTTGTCATCCATAAAGTTGTATGTTTCATTTGTTGACTCACCAACTTCGAGAATGCCGATCAAACAATGAATTATTTCTGTATGATAATGTCTGTTATCACCAGCTATGCTAAAGTATATAACAAATACACAAGGGCAATTGGTCTGCTTTAAGAGATGAACATATCACAGGTGATTTGACATTCTTGTGTGTACGCACAAGATCAAATTTGTAAGATCAAATTTGATGAGTATTTACAAAGATTCAACCGTACTTGTAAGCATAAGACTTAACAGGAATGGAGTTTTTACATCAATATTTGTGTAATTTGCCCAGATACGCAACTTATCTGTACGTCTGTACTCCAGCAAGGTCCTCCCATGACCTGGAGATGTGTGTCAGGAATCGGACAACCGAGCAGAATTAATCAGTCTTCAGGTAGCCATGACAGTGCCAATCTTATGTCACGGGTTGTCTCCAATGATTAAATATTCTTTGAGGTAAATGAACTGCCACAGACTTGACCAAGTCTACAAGAGAAGTAACATTTGAGGTAGCGGCGGTTATATAAGCCACAAGGCTTGTTCACCTATCCAGGTTTCTGCTTGGTGAAATAAAAATATGTCTAAACCACATTTAGGTAGTAACTAGAGGTAGTTAAATATTCCTGACTATTGTCTCTGACACAGATTTTGTGGAGGTCGAGCAACACTGATCAAATTACAAAAGTACACCCAACATTTCTCATCCACATCAGTATTTAAAATACCATCAATAGAAACACGTTATGATAACATACCAGCACTTCATTAGAATCATCTCCCAGTGTTGTGCCCCCTCTGTGCCTCTGTGTCACAGCTTGGATGAGAACTGCTGCCCGTATTTCCTGTACATCGTCACCACTGCAGCACCACCGATGCCGAAGTTGTGTTGCATAGCAACCCGTGCTCCATCCACCTGGCGTTTCCCAGCCTCCCCTCGTAGTTGCCATGACAACTCGGCACACTGTGCCAGACCTGAACAGAACAAGGTAATATTCAAACACTGGCTTCAAGGTAAATGACTGAATATACTCATGGCAGTGTAGCGGGCCTGGTGACTGACAATGGTAAACCAGCATTTTGTCTACATTCCTTTAAACATCACGTCAGATCAGCCTAACATATTTCTGATTGGCAAAATATGATGACGCTGAGTCTGCATTATGTCCCAGGGACTATGCAATATACTGAGTTCTCGGAGTTATGTCCCAGGGACTATACAATACACTGAATTCTCTCAGTTATCTGAAGGTCAAGACAAGCAGGTTGTCAATATCAACACATACAGTTATCAGGACTGTCAAGTCATCCAAACACTATCTCAAGTTAAAGTTCAGAAGATCTGACAAAACACCACCCACCATTTTCTACCACTTTCTCTGGAAAAATAACATACTTCAAATCTCATCAGATTAAAGTGGCAGTCAACTTTATGCCAATCAAGTGTTTCTATCTAAACACGGCTGTGTTTCATATATCTAAGATGATGCAGACACCGGCTGTGTTTCATATATCTAAGATGATGCAAACATGTGTGTTTCATATATCTAAGATGATTTAAAAGTTGGTTGTGTTTCATATATCTAAGATGATGCAGTCACCGGCTGTGTTTCATATATCTAGATCTAACCATTTTATCATATATCTAAGATGATGCTCACACCAGCTGTGTTTCATATATCTAAGATGATGTGTAACCACCGGCTGTGTTTCATGTATCTAAGATGATGCAGACACCGGCACTGTGTTTCATATATCTAAATGATGATGCAGTCACCGGCTGTGTTTCATATATCATAAGATGATGCAGTCACCGGCTGTGTTTCATATATCTAAGATGATGCAGACACCAGCTGTGTTTCATATATCTAAGATGATGCAGACACCGGCTGTGTTTCATATATCTAAGATGATGCAGACACCGGCTGTGTTTCATATATCTAAGATGATGTAGACACCGGCTGTGTTTCATGTATCTAAGATGATGCAGACACCGGCTGTGTTTCATGTATCTAAGATGATGCAGACACCGGCTGTGTTTCATATATCTAAGATGATGCAGACACAGGCTGTGTCACCTGTGCTTTGTAATTAATTGTATGCAGCAGCTCAGGTCACACCGACCTGGCTCGTTTCTTTATTGCATATATTGTACTGAAATCCATCACCTCACATCTCAGTGGCTTTGTGGTTCATGTCAGAAGTAACCCCATCCTAATGCTACTACAATGATACTCAGCAGTTCATAGTTTCAGACTGATTTGATACATAACAAATACTGAGATGAAGGAGTGTACAACATTTCAAAGAACATATCTCTCACACAATACTTTCCACCTTTACTGTCAAACTGTCTCACCTGTAGCCCCAATAGGATGGCCCTTGGACTCCAGCCCCCCCCTGAGGGATTCACAACCCAGCGGTCATTCAGGACACAGACATCTCCTCCATTTGTATTCCTCCTCCATGATGAGTTCCTGATGAGGTCCGAGCCCCGGCCGGGAAGAGCAAGCTGTAGAGCCTCGTACATTAGCAGCTCATTACTGGAGAAGCAATCATGGACCTCAAGCACATCCACGTCTCCAGGTCGCAGCCCACTGTCGGCATAACAACGCTCTGCTGCTGTTCTTGCCATTCCGACTCCAGACAGGTCGATGTAGCTCTTCTCGAAGGAGGAGGGGAGATCTGTGACCATGTGCTGTGCAATGATCTCTACAGCCTTGTCCTGAAGCTTGTTTGCCTTCATGAAGGACTCACTGCATACAATGGCCGCCGCCGCGCTGCCGTCTGCTGTGGGTGCTGTCATCCCCATGGTCAGTGGGTAACACAGCATCATCTTCTGGCGAATCACATCCTTAGGCGGCAGCTTGGGCAGCGATGCGTAGGGGTTGTTGAGGCCATGTTTCCTGTTTTTGTATGCAATGTCGACTAGGTCCTCCACCGTGACACCGGGGTACCTCTGCATGTATTCTCTGGCTGCGTATGCAAAAAGTTTGATAACATCCGACGTCATGTTGTTCATGCTGGGCTGGATGACACCAGGTGTCGCTCCGAGACTCACCATGTGGTCCATGTGTCGCCCCACGGGTGATGTTCGGTCAGTGTAGCGCTCAGACAATCCACCCTCCATCTTCTCAAACCCTGTAGGATGATAACATCGATCACTTCTTGATATTTGTCGGAAAGTTTCATCACTTGACCGAGTGAGTGAAAGAGAGGGAGGGAGTAAGTGATTGAGTGAGTGAAGGAATGATAGAGCCACATAGTGTATGATTGCAGACTGGAACTGATGAACAGACCTGTGTATTTGCAGATAATAGATGATAAGAATCTGAACACACACTAACCAATTACAATTCTTGAAGTCCTGAACAATGGATTTCTTGCAAATGTCAACAATGTACCAACTGCCATAAACATAGGAATTATCTGATGCCAGCTAGGGAAAGGACGAAGAAACCTTGTGATGTGAGATGACACATAAATGTGTGAGAACTCACCGAGGGCCATCACACAGTCCTCCACCCCGCTCTGTACCAGACGCCGTGCCAGCATGAGAGCAGTGGACCCTGAGGAACAGTTGTTGTTGACATTGAACACAGGAACACCGCTGAGACCAAGCTCGTACACTGCCCGCTGTCCACTGGTCGGCTCACCATAGCAGTAGCTGGCAACCACAGCCTTCACCTTGTTATAGGGAATACCGGCGTCACTCAGTGCAGCTGCACCTGAAGGCAGTCAAGACAAAGTGATAGTGTGTATAGACTATAGTGTTTCGTTGATACAGTGATGGTGTGTGTCTACAATGTGTTACAGTGATGGTGTGTGTCTACAATGTGTTACAGTGATGGTGTGTCTACAATGTGTTACAGTGATGGTGTGTGTCTACAATGTGTTACAGTGATGGTGTGTGTCTACAATGTGTTACAGTGATGGTGTGTCTACAAAGTGTTACAGTGATGGTGTGTCTACAATGTGTTACAGTGATGGTGTGTGTCTACAATGTGTTACAGTGATGGTGTGTGTCTACAATGTGTTACAGTGATGGTGTGTCTCTACAATGTGTTACAATGTGTTACAGTGATGGTGTGTGTCTACAATGTGTTACAGTGATGGTGTGTGTCTACAATGTGTGATGGTGTGTGTGGTGTGTTACAGTGATGTGTGTGTCTACAATGTGTTACAGTGATGGTGTGTCTACAATGTGTTACAGTGATGGTGTGTGTCTACAATGTGTTACAGTGATGGTGTGTCTACAATGTGTTACAGTGATGGTGTGTGTCTACAATGTGTTACAGTGATGGTGTGTGTCTACAATGTGTTAGTGATGGTGTGTGTCTACAATCTACAATGGTGTGTGTCTGTTGTTACAGTGATGGTGTGTCTACAATGTGTTACAGATGGTGTGTGGTCTACAATGTGTTAGTGATGATGGTGTGTGTCTACAATGTGTTACAGTGATGGTGTGTGTCTACAATGTGTTACAGTGATGGTGTGTGTCTACAATGTGTTACAGTGATGGTGTGTGTCTACAATGTGTTACAGTGATGGTGTGTGTCTACAATGTGTTACAGTGATGGTGTGTCTACAATGTGTTACAGTGATGGTGTGTGTCTACAATGTGTTACAGTGATGGTGTGTGTCTACAATGTGTTACAGTGATGGTGTGTGTCTACAATGTGTTACAGTGATGGTGTGTGTCTACAATGTGTTACAGTGATGGTGTGTGTCTACAATGTGTTACAGTGATGGTGTGTGTCTACAATGTGTTACAGTGATGGTGTGTCTACAATGTGTTACAGTGATGGTGTGTGTCTACAATGTGTTACAGTGATGGTGTGTCTGTGTGTTAGTGATGGTGTGTGTCTCAATGTGTTACAATGATGGTGTGTGTGTGTCTACAATGTGTTACAGTGATGGTGTGTGTCTACAATGTGTTACAGTGATGGTGTGTGTCTACAATGTGTTACAGTGATGGTGTGTGTCTACAATGTGTTACAGTGATGGTGTGTGTCTACAATGTGTTAGTGATGGTGTGTCTACAATGTGTTACAGTGATGGTGTGTGTCTTCAATGTGTTACAGTGATGGTGTGTGTCTACACATGTGTGTTACTACAATGTGTTACAGTGATGGTGTGTGTCTACAATGTGTTACAGTGATGGTGTGTGTCTACAATGTGTTACAGTGATGGTGTGTGTACAATGTGTTACAGTGATGGTGTGTGTCTTCACAATGTGTTACAGTGATGGTGTGTGTCTACAATGTGTTATGATGATGTGTGTGTCTACAATGTGTTACAGTGATGGTGTGTGTCTTACAATGTGTGTGATGGTGTGTGTGTGTGTCTACAATGTGTTACAGTGATGGTGTGTGTCTACAATGTGTTGGTGTGTGTCTACAGTGATGGTGTGTGTGTCTACAATGTGTTACAGTGATGGTGTGTGTCTTCAATGTGTTACAGTGATGGTGTGTGTCTACAATGTGTTACAGTGATGGTGTGTGTCTACAATGTGTTACAGTGATGGTGTGTGTCTACAATGTGTTACAGTGATGGTGTGTGTCTGATGGTGTGTGTCTACAATGTGTTACAGTGATGGTGTTACAGTCTACAATGTGTTACAATGTGTTACAGTGATCATGTGTGTCTCTACAATGTGTGTCTACAATGTGTTACAGTGATCGTGTGTGTCTACAATGTGTTACAGTGATGGTGTGTGTCTACAATACAGCGATGTGTGTCTACAATGTGTTACAGTGATGGTGTGTCTACAATGTGTTACAGTGATGGTGTGTCTTCAATGTGACACTTTGATGGTGTGAGTCTTCAATGTGTTACAGTGCTAGTCAGCTCGTACCTGCCTCCCTGGCCATATCAGGGTAGTCCCACTGCTTGCTGAGGGGCTTGTGGAACTTGGTCATCCCCACGCCCACAACATATGCTGGGCTCCCATTGGTCGGCATCTTTTCACACTCACCTGCACAAAAATAAGACGAAAAGACATAGGACGTGATAATTACTGGGCTGAAATTAATATTATTTGCTGGAAAATCCTTAAATGTATTGGCATCGTTGCTCTGGTCATATGTGACTGCTTTGACCAAGCTGTTCCAGCTGTACACCATTAAGTGAATGATAGCCAGCATTGTGTCATGTAGCAATCTCTCAATGAAAGGCGATCAGCTTGAACTTAATGAGAGAATGACTGGTTCTTTTCCGAGTCCAATGCTGGGATTCAAACCACGGACCTTCTGATCCAAAGTTGGACGCTTTATCCACATGACCAAAGAGGTTAACCCGTCAGCAAGCTGACAAGGTAAAGATGTCATCTGTGTGATGACCCCACGCCCTGCTACATACTCCCTGTCATCAGAAGGCACATCCTGGGCCGCATAGCAGGGTACTGAGACTTATTTTGCTCAAATTTCATATAAACATGCTCAGTCACACGTTGGACGCTAATGCAGTGGCCATAGCATTTCCGAGTCCCATGCTAGGATTTGAAACACGGACAAAAAACAGTAAATAAATATTTTCAATATTCTGGTAGAATTGGTATTTTCAAAGTAGACACAATTTCTGGATAACTATCTCTCTGTGTTTCTTATTTCCCCATCAACTGTAATTTGGGCATCTCACCAATAAAAAACTTTAAAGCTCCTGTTTTTTCTGTGACTCTGGTTGCTCGAACTCCGAGGCTCCCGACTACTGATTCAACAGCTTCCTTCCTGTGTGAGACCTGGGATGAAGGCTGTCAGTACAGCCGGACAAGTCAACATTCACAGGAAGGTTAAGTACTAGGTATTAACATTTTTCTTTCTTTACATTTCATTTATTGATACACTATCATATATACTCAGCAGCAAGTACGAATTCAAAATTAGATAGGCACTGTAATCAAATCATTACAGAAATGGACATAATAAGTGGATCAAAAACATTTTTTGTGTACAATATCCTGGCATCAATGAATAACTCAGCACAATTCCATGACATTAAGTGAACTCTTGACTTCAGTATCTAGTGTGACCACCATGAGCGGCAATAACTGCACCACAGCGTCTATGCATGGAGTGCACCAATCGATTGATGAAGGCCATTGGCACCTGGAACCACATTCTGAGAAAGGCCTGGCACAATAAATCGGCTGTGTTCAGCCTTGGTATGACATTATTCAGTCTCCTCTGAATTTCATCCCAAAGATATTCAATTGGGTTCAAATCAGGACTAAGGGCTGGCTACTGCATAATGTTGACACCGTTCTGCTGTAGGAAGTCCCGTGTAGCTCTGGCAGTATGGGCCCGGGCGTTATCATGATGGAAAATGTTGTTCCGGTGACGTGCGAAACGTGGTATGATGTGGGGTCTGAGAGCTTGGTCGATGTAGCGTACTGCTGTGATGCCGCCTCCTCTCCCTGGACCAAGGTTCTGGAACACCACAGGACCCACTCTCTGGTTCCTATTCCACCCCATACCATGATGCTTGCACCTCCCTGTGAGTCTCTTTCCATAACACATTGGTCTGCGTAACGCTGGCCACGTCGTCGCCATATTCTTGTTCTGCCATCTGCAGTTGATACGCAGTACCGACTCTCATCTGTGAACAGAACAGTTCTCCATTGCCAGTACCGCCAGTTTTGGTGTTGTAGGGCAAACTGTAGACATTCATGGTGATGACGAAGGGTGAGGATAGGTCCACGGTAAGGTCTACGGCAATAGAGGTTCCCGCTGTCGGTGTATTGTATCAGTTCTGATTGGTCTTCCGTGTGTTCCCACTGTCTGGCGTGCTGTTTCGGATACCTGCATGAAGGGATTCTGTACATGCTGTCGCACAACATGATGGTCTTGTTGTCTTGTGGTCACCCTTGGTCTGCAAGTACGGCGGCGATCATTTGTGGTGTTGGTGGCCCGGAAATGTTGCTGCAGCCTGTAGATGGTCCGAACGTTGACCTGGAAGTGATTGGCAACAGCTTGTGCAGTGTGGCCAGCTTCAAGTCTTCCTAGCGCCTGGTTCCTCTGAGCTGTCGTGAGTCGCGGCATCCTGTTGACGTTGTAATGTGAATGTTTCAACCAGGTTTGGGGATGCATTTTATAGGACTGGTCCTTGTGAACAGCATGTGCAGCATGAGTTGCATGAAAAGCATGGAGAACACCGTACCATCTCCAAGATCAGGTTGCATTTTTTTAGACCATTTCCTGGGTTCCATTCTGAGTTTGGGAAGGAATGTCTTTGCTGATAAAGTTGGAGATGTTGTCAAAAATATACAATCAAAACATTAAATGAGTTTACAGTTATCCGTTTTTGCAAAGGAAAATTACAAACTGACGTTTCTTTTGCTGCTTAGTATCCCAATACGAGCTGAATTAGACGTTCTGGTGATTTCGACGATTACATTGCTAGCGCTATATCGGGTGAGTACGTGTGCGATCGGAGTGCACAAACAGTTTCACTGGTAGGGCGGGTGCCCAGTCGCTATCCTGAGAAGTTTTATTGACAATGGAAATTGGGAAGTAAAGTTATATAAAAAGCAAACAAACATCAATATTATTTACCCGAGATCGTTAATACCACTTCAGATGCAAAATCCGTTGCCTTTATAACAAAAAATAGCAAGCGAAAATTCAGTAAGATCAGTCGTCTGCTGGTGACAGGCAATATATAAATAGGAAGCCACGTGATCACAACACTCCCTCGCAGTGCGGAGCAAAAAGTATGGCTCATCGTCAAAAACCCATACAAAATACCCGGATGTTACAAGCGGCCACTGTTTCGCCGATACGATGTCATCAACGCTATTTTTGTAGGAAACACTTGATACTTTTGTGTGAAATAGATGAATATATCCTTTATCACTCGAGGTTAGTAAAATAAAAACTTTAAATGATATTACAGGATAAAAATTACGTTTTTGTCTTACATCGTCGAAAACCCCTGACACCGGGATATATTAAAGAATAAAGAAACATTTAAATGGCCTAGGTGTCTTTCTTTGATGTTCTCTGGTGCTTTTGCTTGCAGTGAAATCTGTGTTATGGATTCAAAATCAGCAGTTTGACAATAAAACGATTTTGTTGAATATCTTTTTTTATTTCCTAAATATAGAGAAAATAGAATATTGTTTTGAAGACAGGTCTTTTCTTCTTTTCCAGATGCACATTTCCCAACTCTTAATCTGAGACAATGAAACAGAACCAAAGTTACCAATATTTTTGTCTTTTTTTTTATGATGTTGATTTGAACATTTTTCATTCTTTTTATATTATTAGTTCAAACAGACCGACCCAACTAAAATTTAGATCACGGTGCATGGCTACCTGAAACACATACAAAAATGCGGCTCTTATACTGAGCGCATTTTTAGAAGTATAATATGTCTTTCAGTATGTTCAGATACAATTAACGAAACATGTTAAAACACTTACCTATATGAGAGTTCCAAAGTTCAACGATGTGCCAAGGCTGATCAAAGTCCAAAACAAGAACTCTCTACCCTGTCAAACACCCAACATCATGCCCATTTGTTTTCATGACACATCCAACACTATGTCCGGAGATTTAAATCGAAATGAAAATATGATAAGTATCGTAAATACCATTGCTATTATTGTTAACATTAGTATGTTTCGTAAAGATGCTGATGAAATATGTATATACGCATAAAGAGATTTAGAATGTATGAATTGTTTATTTATATACATAATTTCGTTTTCAGATTCCGGAAAGGATTTACGTTTTTCCGTTTCATTGCATACTTCCGGTGGCTAGCAGACAGTCCAAAGTTCATCAGTTCAGCCTCAACCGGCCTGCAGTGCGAGCCGTCTACTGTTACTGGCGAATTGCAGTTTGCTTACACGTTACCTTGGTGCATCTCAAAATGGCAGCAAACACAGGGTAACTGTCCCATATGTTTCAAAATCTAGGTGCATTTGGAGCGTGTCGTCAATGATCATGTTTTGGTTTTATCTTTTTTGAGTTATCACAAATCATGTTTTGGGTTTATTTTATCGTGCATGCTGTGTCATATGATGTGGTTTCACATATGTGGCTTTTGTGACAATGTAACATCGACAAAGTAAAGCCCACTTTCTGCAGCTTGTTCCGAGTTCCGTGAGGATTCGTGGGATTCGAACGACTGAACGTTTGTCTGGCACCTAGCCCACTTGGCCAAAAAGGTTATCCTCGTCAGCAAGCAGGCCCCGATTTCTCGAAACAAAGTTAAGTCTGAGTTTTGACTTAAGTCAGCGTTTTTACTCAAATTTGAGAAAACGCAGGAAATGCATTTTCCCAGAATAAACTGAAATCAATATTAAACTCAAACTTAGTAGACAATTTGAGTTTGGTGGATAGATTACTTAAAGGTCACATGCAACGTAAAACACAACTTTGCAGATTATGATACCTTTCGGTATGGACTTACCGAAACAAAGCGTCAAAAATGCAAATTTAACTTATAAAGTTGAAAAATAACGCGATGAAAAAAACCGCGCGAAATCGGAGTTCAAACGTTTCACTAATTTTCCCCAGACTTTTCTGGGGAATACGGGTTTCAACAGCTGGGCTGCACTCATAGCACGTGCGCAGTGAAATAGGTTCGCGCAACTTGGAAGTGGGCTGTCTGGTGAATACTCGGTGAAGGCTTTGGTGTGAGCTATTTTCATAATGTTTCGTTGATATCTCACAGGCGCGAGCTTTTTGTATGTTATGACAGTAAATAAACTGTTTATATAATTTCATTTGTCTATTTCAACACAAGTTCTTCTTACCGAGTCACTTTCTCAGTTCGATACTTAAAAGCAATCTTCTTACCGAGTCACTTTCTCAGTTCGATACTTAAAAGCAATGTCATTATTTAGAGTTGACACAATTTCTAACTGTGATATAGATATGTCGCTGTCACAGACAAAACTCAATGTCTTGCTTTATTGACACCTGTGTGTCTGCCTGCCTGTCTGCTAACAGAGACCATATAATAGATTATATGGTCTCTGCTGCTAATGACAATATTCAATACACAACTGCGATCACTGACCACATGCAATTTGAACTTAACACCAATCAGGCTATACACCATAAACAAAACGCATTGATTTATGGCCCGAGTTCGGTCTCTGTCACATTATGTAATTACACAGACAGGCAGGTGTGAAACTTGAACACATGACATGTTAAAAATGAGCATGTATTTTCAAAACCCAACTTTCTATATATACACACACAATGAGCCGTGAAGGCAGCATCTGCTAATGAACCAGACGTTACACTTGAGTGCACACCCACCCGCTCTTACTGGGTTCGGTATCCCGGCTGTTTCATTTCGAGGGAGGTAAACCCAAGTACAAAATATTGCACTTTTGATTTGCGATTATACGCTTAAAATTTTGTTTATTTGTTTTTTCATAATCAGCAATGCATATTATATGTCATGAAGAAGTGATAATTGTGTTTTAATTATGTTTGATTTTTTGGTTGCATGTGACCTTTAAGTTGTTTGGGCTTTTTTATTTAAAAAATGCAGTTAAAAATTCAGCTATTTCAAATGGTCAAACTCAGTTTGAAATTTGAGAAAAACTTAAGTTTATTTAGAGAAATCGGGTCCTGGTGTGGTAAGGTTGTCACATTTTTTGTCTGGGCTAGAGTGTACTTTACCGGGCGCAGCCCTCGCAATTATTGGGCTATGTCAGGCTATACAGTGCTACCGTGCTGTCACCAGCACTGTCTAGCAATATCGTGATAATTGCTCCGTCTCCCTTCACTGCCAGTCAACCATCCTTAGGGTGTCCGATCCCTAGGGAGCTGACGCATCTTTAGAGTCAAACAACCCTTTACGATCCTTAGGGTTAGGGTATGGCACCCTTTCCGATCCTTAGGGTTGTGAGTGGGTTTGGTATGGGAACCTCTCCGATCCTTAGGGTTAGGGACCCTTTCCGATCCTTATTTAGGGTTAGACCTTACCTTAGGGCTGTATTATATCCACATTGAAACACATTTTGCTCCATCTAGGATTTGTCAGTACAGTTAAAAAAACAATGTCACGAAAAAAAAATGAATGGAAAGGGCATGGCAGAGTGAGGTGGAAGCGTGAGAAATGAAAACAAACCATTGCACACACATACAATGGTTTGTTTTCATTTCTCGCGCTTCCGCCTCACTTCTCTCACTTCTGTGCAAATGACCCATTAAATGAGCACTCATTAATTGTCATGGCGCTTGTGGTCCCGAGGTAGAGCGTCCGCTAATTATGTCACTAATTAACAAAGTTAGTAATCAGACGAAGTGCGTTCGAGTCCCAGCAAAGCTAATTAATCTGAAAAAGTGCCCCCATTAACGTGCACTACTCCCGTTGGCTGTCCTCAAACTCTGCTAGTTTTATGTTAGGCCTGTATGGAGGTAATGGTGGTTGAGTGCAAGAGGAATAATGCATTCTGTTATCTGACACATAAGTATTGCTGTAGGGATCTCAAAGTCGTGACAGGATATTAAGGGTTGCTTAAATGTGAAGTAATCTGTCTTCTTGCAGGAAATTGCTCGGCAAGACAATCTTCATCACAGGGGCCAGTCGCGGTATTGGCAAAGCTATCGCCCTGAAAGCCGCTCAAGATGGCGCCAACATCGTCATTGCAGCCAAGACAGCAGAACCACACCCAAAACTGCCAGGCACCATCTACACAGCTGCCAAGGAAGGTAAACCTAAAGAAAGTACCTGAATTAGCATATAAAGGCATGGACTATGTATGACTTCACCTTTTCAATAATCTAATCACTTTCTGGTTTTATCTACATTTTATCACTTGCAAATGTGAACTGTGACCTGCCACATATCTATAATGACACACAAAACGTAAGCTCAGTTTCAATGTATTGAACTATTTATGTACAGTAAACTGATTATGATGAACTGGAAGGGACCACTAGTTTTAGATCATTATAGGCACAGTTTGTTATACACATTTTGAATAGAATATTTGGCTAGTGGAATAAACCAAAAGTACCAGTTGGTTACATCCGTCTGTTCATTTAAAGCGTGGTGGTTAACCATAGTTTCTGTATCCAAAAATTGTCTTTAGTTAGGTTAAATGAAGCTTTGAAAATGTTTCGGTTGTATATCACTGCATGTCAGCTTGACGTGAGAAGAAAGCACAGAGTGGTCATAAAAGACATAGACAATACTACACGAGGTCTCATAACATACGAATTATATGAAATGCGTGTCCTTCTTATGGTATCTGACCGAGCGAAAGCGAGGTCAGAAACCATAGGAAGGTCATGAGTTTCGTATAATTCGTATGTTATGAGACCGAGTGTGGTATTTTATTTATTACCCACATCTTACATGCTTTAAATTGACAAAATAGCGTATTTTGGTTATTTATATGGTTTCAAACCGAAACCGGTTTCATAAAGAGGTTGCGGAAGAATGTTGTTCTGTAGTACACTTTTTGCATGACGTCACACTGTAATGACGTCACTACGCCTTGCTCGTCTGCCCCCTTGGTAACCGACGTCACGATGCATGTCAGTTGTCATCGCCTCGTACAGCCTCTTACATTAAACTACTCCATAGCACCCCGTTTCTTACTTGGCTAACATCACCGGTGGAAACTTTGCGTTTATGTTTTTCCACGCATATAATGTCTCAGTTCGACTCCCAATTAAACAGCGATAGGGCAACGTTTGCAATGTTTACATTTAAGTTGTAGAATGAATTAATTCACATGTTTGTTATGAATGAAAAAGTAGTTCCGTCACAACGTGACCTAATTGAGAGGACATCGGTTATCCAATCAAATCATTAGAATCTCAGGTCAAGTCGTTACGACACAGGTCAATGCGATATAACACTCGTGTGACGTACAAGATTAGTATGCAACTACCCATACGTTGACCACGTGGGTAATAAATGATTGTATGTCACTGTCAAACCTAGTAGATACATAATCAAGTCAGACTGGGATCTTGTCGTGGTTTCAGTGGAGGCAGCTGGTGGGAAGTGTCTACCCTGTATCGTAGACATCCGCTATGAGGATTCAGTTGTTAAAGCCGTGGAAGAAGCAGTTGCAAAGTTTGGTGGCATCGACATCCTGGTGAACAATGCCAGTGCTATCAGTCTGACAGGCACTGCAGAGACACCCATGAAGAAGTATGACCTGATGAATGGGATTAATGCAAGAGGAACCTATTTGTGGTGAGATGCTGGCAGTGCAGGTGATTTCACCAGCCATGTCACAACAAGGTGTTAGCAGTGTCTCTAGTGGGTGTAGGTGATGTCACAAGTGGTGTAGGTGATGTCACCAGTCATGTCACAACTGGGGTGTTAGCAGCGTCTCTAGTGGGTGTAGGTGATGTCACAAGTGGTGTAGGTGATGTCACCAGCCATGTCACAACAAGGTGTTAGCAGTGTCTCTAGTGGGTGTAGGTGATGTCACAAGTGGTGTAGGTGATGTCACCAGTCATGTCACAACTGGGGTGTTAGCAGCGTCTCTAGTGGGTGTAGGTGATGTCACAAGTGATGTAGGTGATGTCACCAGTGTCTAGGTGGTGAAGGTGGTATCATGAAAGTCATGTCACAACAAGGTGTTAGCAGTGTCTCTAGTGGGTGTAGGTGATGTCACAAGTGGTGTAGGTGATGTCACCAGTCATGTCACAACTGGGGTGTTAGCAGCGTCTCTAGTGGGTGTAGGTGATGTCACAAGTGGTGTAGGTGATGTCACCAGCCATGTCACAACAAGGTGTTAGCAGTGTCTCTAGTGGGTGTAGGTGATGTCACAAGTGGTGTAGGTGATGTCACCAGTCATGTCACAACTGGGGTGTTAGCATCGTCTCTAGTGGGTGTAGGTGATGTCACAAGTGGTGTAGGTGATGTCACCAGTCATGTCACAACTGAGGTGATTCAGCAGCTGTCTCTAGTGGGTGTGGGTGATGTCGTAGGTGTGTCACAGTCTAGTGTCAACAAGGTGGTGGGTGTAGGTGATGTCACAAGTGGTGTAGGTGATGTCACCAGTCATGCTCTAGCTAAGGGTGTTAGCAGCGTCTCTAGTGGAGTGTAGGTGATGTCCGGGTGTAGGTGATGCAAGCGGTTAGCGTCTCTAGTGTTATTTCACCGCAGGTGTTAGCAGTGTCTCTAGGTGGGTGTAGGTGATGGGGTCACAAGTGGTGTAGGTGATGTCACCAGTCATGTCACAACTTCAGGGGTGTTAGCAGCGTCTCTAGTGGGTGTAGGTGATGTCACAAGTGGTGTGTGTAGGTGGTGTGGAAGTGATGTCACCAGTGTATGATCACAACTGAGGTGTTAGCAGCAAGTGTCTCTAGTGGGTGTAGGTGATGTCACCATGTCACAAGTGGTGTCACGGATGTCACCAGTCATGTCACAACTGTGTTAGCAGCGTCTCTAGTGGGTGTAGGTGAGGTGTTAGCAGGGTTGCTTAGCGTCTCTAGTGGGTGTAGGTGTCTCTAGTGGGTGTAGGTGATGTCACAAGTGGTGTAGGTGATGTCACCAGTCATGTCACAACTGGGGTGTTAGCAGTGGTGTGTGATGTCACCAGCCATGTCTCTAGTGGGTGTAGGTGATGTCACAAGTGGTGTAGGTGATGTCACCAGTCATGTCACAACTGGGGTGTTAGCAGCGTCTCTAGTGGGTGTAGGTGATGTCACAAGTGGTGTAGGTGATGTCACCAGTCATGTCACAACAAGGGTGTTAGCAGTGTCTCTAGGGTGGGTGTAGGTGATGTCACAGAAAGTGGTGTAGGTGATGTCACCAGTCATGTCACAACTGGGGTGTTAGCAGCTCTAGTGGGTGTAGGTGATGTCACAAGTGGTGTAGGTGATGTCACCAGCCATGTCAACTGGTGTCAGCGTTCTGGTAGGTGTAGGGTGTTAGCAGGTGTCTCTAGTGGGTGTAGGTGATGTCACAAGTGGTGAAGGTGATGTCACCAGTCATGTCTAACAACTGGGTGTGTGTAGCAGTGTCACCAGTGGGTGTAGGTGATGTCTGCAAGTGGTGTGGGTGATGTCACAACTGAGGGTGTTAGCGTCTCTAGTGGGTGTGTAGGTGATGTCACTAGTGGGTGTGGGTGATTTCACGGCCAGTGGTGTAGGTGATGTCACCAGTCATGTCTAACTGGGGGTGTTAGCTTAGCGTCTCTAGTGGGTGTAGGTGATGTCACAAGTGGTGTAGGTGATGTCACCAGTCATGTCTCAACTGAGGTGTTAGCAGCGTCTCTAGTGGGTGTAGGTGATTTCACCGGCCATGTCACAACAAGGTGTTAGCAGTGTCTCTAGTGTGTGTAGGTGAGTGGTGTAGGTGATGTCCTGCCAGTCATGTCAGGTGTCACAACTGGGTGATTCACCAGTGGTGCGAGGTGTTAGCAACTGAGGTGTTAGCGTCTCTAGTGGGTGTAGGTGATGTCACAAGTGGTGTAGGTGATGTCACCCAGCCATGTCAACAGTGTCTCTAGTGGGTGTGGGTGATGTCACAAGTGAGTGTAGGTGATGTCAGTCAGTGTCACAACAAGGTGTTAGCAGTGTCTCTAGTGGGTGTAGGTGATGTCACAAGTGGTGTAGGTGATGTCACCAGTCATGTCTCACAACTGTGGGTGTTCACAAGCACCAGTCATGTCTCTAGTGGGTGTAGGTGATGTCACAAGTGGTGTAGGTGATGTCACCAGCCATGTCACAACAAGGGTGTTAGCAGTGTCTCTAGTGGGTGTAGGTGATGTCACAAGTGGTGTAGGTGATGTCACCAGCCATTTCACAACTGGGGTGTTAGCAGCGTCTCTAGGGGTGTTGAGCTGTGTCTCTAAATGGGTGTAGGTGATGTCACAAGTGATGTAGGTGATGTCACCAGTCACCAGTGTGTCACAACAACACAGGTGTTGATGCACCAGTCGTCTCTAGTGGGTGTGGGTGTAGGTGATGTCACAAGTGGTGTAGGTGATGTCACCAGTCATGTCACAACTGGGGTGTTAGCTGTGTCACTATGTCACAACAAAGGGTGTAGGTGATGTCACAAGTGGTGTAGGTGATGTCACCAGCCATTTCACAACTGGGGTGTTAGCTGTGTCTTGTAGGTGATGTCTCTAAATGGGTGTAGGTGATGTCACAAGTGGTGAAGGTGATGTCACCAGTCATGTCACAACAAGGTGTTAGCAGCGTCTCTAGTGGGTGTAGGTGATGTCACAAGTGGTGTAGGTGATGTCACCAGCCATTTCACAACTGGGGTGTTAGCAGCGTCTCTAGTGGGTGTAGGTGATGTCACAAGTGGTGTGGTGATGTCACCATCCATGTCGCAACTGGGGTGATGTCACCAGCCATGATGTATGTCTAACTGGGGTGTTAGCAGCGTCTCTAGTGGGTGTAGGTGATGTCACAAGTGGTGTAAGTGATGTCACCATCCATGTCACAACTGGGGTGTTAGCTGTGTCTCTAGTGGGTGTAGGTGATGTCACCATCCATGTCACAACTGGGGTGTTAGCTGTGTCTCTAGTGGGTGTAGGTGATGTCACCATCCATGTCACAACTGGGGTGTTAGCAGCGTCTCTAGTAGGTGTAGGTGATGTCACAAGTGGTGTAGGTGATGTCACCAGCCATGTCACAACTGGTCACAGTGTGGTAGATGTCACAACTGGGGTGTTAGCAGCGTCTCTAGTGGGTGTAGGTGATGTCACAAGTGGTGAAGGTGATGTCACCAGCCATGTCACAACTGGGGTGTTAGCAGCGTCTCTAGTGGGTGTAGGTGATGTCACAAGTGGTGTAGGTGATGTCACCAGCCATGTCACAACTGCGGTGTTAGCAGCGTCTCTAGTGGGTGTAGGTGATGTCACAAGTGGTGTAGGTGATGTCACCAGCCATGTCACAACTGCGTTAGCTCTAGTGGGTGTAGGTGATGTCACAAGTGGTGTAGGTGATGTCACCAGTCATGTCACAACTGAGGGGTGTTAGCAGCGTCTCTAGTGGGTGTAGGTGATGTCACAAGTGGTGTGTTAGGTGATGTCACCAGCCATGTGAGGTGCTTAACTCTCTAGTGGGTGTTAGGTGTATGTCTCTAGTGGGTGTAGGTGATGTCACAAGTGGTGTAGGTGATGTCACCAGTCATGTCACAACTGGGGTGTTAGCAGTGTCTCTAGTGGGTGTAGGTGATGTCACAAGTGGTGTAGGTGATGTCACCAGCCATGTCGTCACAACTGGGTGTTAGCAGCGTCTCTAGTGGGTGTAGGTGATGTCACAAGTGGTGAAGGTGATGTCACCAGCCATGTCTAACTGGGGGGTGTTAGCAGTGTGTCACTAGTGGGTGTAGGTGATGTCACAAGTGGTGTAGGTGATGTCACCAGTCATGTCACAACTGAAGGTGTTAGCAGTGGGTGTAGGTGATGTCCTAGTGGTGTAGGTGATGTCAGTCACAACAAGGTGTTAGCATGTCTCTTAGTGGTGTAGGTGATGTCACAAGTGGTGTAGGTGTGTCACCTAGCCACAACTGGGGTGTTAGCAGCCGTCTCTAGTGGGTGTAGGTGATGTCACAAGTGGTGTAGGTGATGTCACCAGCCATGTCACAACTGAGGTGTTAGCAGCAAGCGTCTCTAGTGGGTGTAGGTGTGATGATGTCACAAGTGGGTGTAGGTGATGACAGCCATGTCACAACTGGTGTTAGCAGCGTCTCTAGTGGGTGTAGGTGATGTCACAAGTGGTGAAGGTGATGTCACCAGCCATGTCACAACTGGGGTGTTAGCAGTGTCTCTAGTGGGTGTAGGTGATGTCACAAGTGGTGTAGGTGATGTCACCAGCCATGTCACAACTGGGGTGTTAGCAGCGTCTCTAGTGGGTGTAGGTGATGTCACAAGTGTGTAGGTGATGTCAGAAGTGGTGTAGGTGATGTCACCAGCCATGTCTAACTAGGGTGTTAGCAGCGTCTCTAGTGGGTGTAGGTGATGTCACAAGTGGTGAAGGTGATGTCACCAGCCATGTCACAACTGGGGTGTTAGCAGTGTCACTAGTGGGTGTAGGTGATGTCACAAGTGGTGTAGGTGATGTGTGGTATAGGTGATGTCACAAGTCTGGGTAGTGTAGGTGATGTCACCAGCCATGTCACAACTGGGGTGTTAGCAGTGTCTCTAGTGGGTGTAGGTGATGTCACAAGTGGTGTAGGTGATGTCACCAGCCATGTCACAACTGGGGTGTTAGCAGCGTCTCTAGTGGGTGTAGGTGATGTCACAAGTGGTGTAGGTGATGTCACCAGTCATGTCACAACTGAGGTGTTAGCAGCGTCTCTAGTGGGTGTAGGTGATGTCACAAGTGGTGTAGGTGATGTCACCAGCCATGTCACAACTGGGGTGTTAGCAGCGTCTCTAATGGGTGGGTGATGTCACAAGTGGTGTAGGTGATGTCACCAGTCATGTCACAACGTGTCTAGCGAGGTGTTAGCTGTGTCTCTGGTGGGTGTAGGTGATGTCACAAGTGGTGCAGGTGATGTCAGAAATGGTGTACGTGATTTCACATGTTAGTGCAGTGCTTTCAAAGTATAAGAACAGTGGATAAATTTAGACAGATTCCTTACTTTGACTCAAAGAAAACCCGACCCTATAGGTAATTTTAATTATGATCTTTTAATTATTGTTATACCTTTAGATTATTGCAAATAGAAGTTAAATTATTGTTCATGTTAAACTTAAATCAGAGGTGGTATGGAGATTGTGTAGCATTGAAATACCATTCATAAACCTGTAGGATATTATAATTAGCATTTTGCATCATTACATATATGTTAGTTTTGTTGTGGAATGGTGTACCATAGAGTTTGTTGTGGAATGGTGTACCATAGAGTTTGTTGTGGAGTGGTGTACCATAGAGTTTGTTGTGGAATGGTGTACCATAGAGTTTGTTGTGGAATGGTGTACCATAGAGTTTGTTGTGGAGTGGTGTACCATAGAGACTGTTGTGGAGTGGTGTACCATAGAGTTTGTTGTGGAGTGGTGTACCATAGAGTCTGTTGTGGAATGGTGTACCATAGAGTTTGTTGTGGAGTGGTGTACCATAGAGTTTGTTGTGGAATGGTGTACCATAGAGTTTGTTGTGGAGTGGTGTACCATAGAGTTTGTTGTGGAATGGTGTACCATAGAGTTTGTTGTGGAGTGGTGTACCATAGAGTTTGTTGTGGAATGGTGTACCATAGAGTTTGTTGTGGAGTGGTGTACCATAGAGTTTGTTGTGGAGTGGTGTACCATAGAGTTTGTTGTGGAGTGGTGTACCATAGAGTTTGTTGTGGAATGGTGTACCATAGAGTTTGTTGTGGAATGGTGTACCATAGAGTTTGTTGTGGAGTGGTGTACCATAGAGTTTGTTGTGGAGTGGTGTACCATAGAGTCTGTTGTGGAATGGTGTACCATAGAGTCTGTTGTGGAATGGTGTACCATAGAGTTTGTTGTGGAATGGTGTACCATAGAGTTTGTTGTGGAGTGGTGTACCATAGAGTTTGTTGTGTTGTGGAGTGGTGTACCATAGAGTTTGTTGTGGAGTGGTGTACCATAGAGTTTGTTGTGGAGTGGTGTACCATAGAGTTTGTTGTGGAATGGTGTACCATAGAGTTTGTTGTGGAGTGGTGTACCATAGAGTTTGTTGTGGAGTGGTGTACCATAGAGTTTGTTGTGGGAGTGGTGTACCATAGAGTTTGTTGTGGAATGGTGTACCATAGAGTTTGTTGTGGAATGGTGTACCATAGAGTTTGTTGTGGAATGGTGTACCATAGAGTTTGTTGTGGAATGGTGTACCATAGAGTTTGTTGTGGAATGGTGTACCATAGAGTTTGTTGTGGAATGGTGTACCATAGAGTTTGTTGTGGAATGGTGTACCATAGAGTTTGTTGTGGAATGGTGTACCATAGAGTTTGAAGAAGCTTAGTTTGCTCACTTTTGAACAAAATGTCTCCCTGATCTGTAAATTGTTATGTTTATTTGTTTCGTTTTCTAATTCAGTTCTAGGGTGTGTCTGCCTCATCTGAAGAAAGGCAACAACCCACACATCCTCAACCTCAGCCCCCCACTCAACCTCAACCCCCTGTGGTTCAAGGGACATGTTGGTAAGTATGGGTGTTGTCAGAGAGGGGGCTGTTTCTGACCCTGAATGGGAAACAGGTGGTGTTCATTACTTTCTTGAAAACCACAAACAATTTCAGAAAACAAACAACTAGGTTTTTGAGATTCAGACATAGGATCACATGATCCTGGTACATTTAAGGGAGGCAACTCTGAACTGCAACATTGTAGCAGCATCCAGTGCTAAGACGGAAACATTGTACATCACAAGGCCACAGTAATCCGACCTCACTGTCTGATATCTGACATTGATGTGGGGTCAAATAAAGGTTGCAGTAAAAACACATGGCAAGGCTGTTATATTGTCTACAGAACTTATTTTTGTTGGTTAGTTTAGCTGTTTGGTGTTCCAGCCTACACTATGGCCAAGTATGGCATGTCCATGTGTGTGCTGGGAATGGCGGAAGAGTTTAAAGCTGACGGCATTGCTGTGAATGCACTATGGCCAAGAACAGGTATGTCCAGTCTCAGGTATGAGACACCTATACAAGCAAACACAGAGACACCCATACCAGGGAACACTGAGACACCCATACCAGGAAACACAGAGACACCCATACCAGGGAACACTGAGACACCCGTACCAGGAAACACAGAGACACCCATACCAGGGAACACAGAGACACCCATACCAGGGAACACAGATACACCCATACCAGGGAACACCCATACCAGCGAACACAGAGACACCCGTACCAGGGAACACTGAGACACCCATACCAGCAAACACAGAGACACCCATACCAGGGAACACAGAGACACACATACCAGGGAACACAGAGACACCCATACCAGGGAACACAGAGACACACATACCAGGGAACACAGAGACACCCATACCAGGGAACACAGAGACACCCGTACCAGGGAACACTGAGACACCCGTTCCAGGGAACACTGAGACACCCATACCAGGGAACACAAAGACACCCGTTCCAGGGAACACTGAGACACCCATACCAGGGGACACAGAGACACCCGTACCAGCAAACACTGAGACACCCATACCAGCAAACACAGAGACACCCATACCAGGGAACACAGAGACACCCGTACCATGGAACACAGAGACACCCATACCAGGGAACACAGAGACATCCATACCAGGGAACACAGAGACACACATACCAGGGAACACAGAGACACACATACCAGGGAACACAGAGACACACATACCAGGGAACACAGATACATCCATACCAGGGAACACAGAGACAGCCATACCAGGGAACACAGAGACACACATACCAGGGAACACAGAGACACACATACCAGGGAACACAGAGACACATACCAGGGAACACAGAGACACCCATACCAGGGAACACAGAGACACATACCAGGGAACACAGAGACACCCATACCAGGGAACACAGAGACACACATACCAGGGAACACAGAGACACATACCAGGGAACACAGAGACACACATACCAGGGAACACAGAGACACACATACCAGGGAACACAGAGACACACATACCAGGGAACACAGAGACACATACCAGGGAACACAGAGACACCCATACCAGGGAACACAGAGACACCCATACCAGGGAACACAGAGACACCCATACCAGGGAACACAGAGACACCCGTACCAGGGAACACTGAGACACCCGCACCAGGGAACACTGAGACACACCATAAAATATGGTTTCATATATGTGAGGTACCGGTAAGTGACAGGGTGTTTCAAATGGTGTGGTAAGTGTCAGGATGTTTTAAATGGTGTTGTAAGTGTCAAGCTGTCAACCTTTCATTATACACTGATTATACGCACAGTCTTGACAACCTCTTAGTGTGAGGGACTTTTGTCCTCTGGTGGGGGTGAATTTGATGCCTGTGTTACAAAACTAAATTTGTTAGATCATTTCCAAAATATGGGGTAACATTCACAAGCATATTTTACTTGTGGGAAACTCTTTTTTTCTCAGATATCAATTTGCCATTTTCAGCCATCCTTACTGCAGCCATGGAGATGTTGGGTGGAGGATCCGGTGTGGCCTCCCAGTGTCGAAAGGTGGACATCATAAGCGATGCTGCATACTTGATGCTATGCAAAGACAGCAGGTCATACACTGGCAACTTCGCCATTGACGACGAGGTTCTTGCTGAAGCTGGAGTGACAGACATGGACCAGTACTCGTGTGTGCCAGGTGACTACAGGCCTGATACAACAAAGTAGTTGATGAAGCAGTGGGGATCTGTTGTCAAATTTGTAGTTCATGCAGCACGCGAGTGTTTCCTCAATGATCAAGTGGTCTTCAAGTAGCTGGTATTGTATGCGTGTCTAAGGGTTTGATCTAGCTTTTTCTGAATGTTACACTTCTAACATGAAAAGGATTCTTGACCTGTTGTGTAGGGTATAATGTCCTCTGCTCCTGTGGGAGTTTGCTTGTATATGCAGGTCAGCTCTGCTCCTGTGGGAGTTTGCTTGTATATGCAGGTCAGCTCTGCTCCTGTGGGAGTTTGCTTGTATATGCAGGTCAGCTCTGCTCCTGTGGGAGTTTGCTTGTATATGCAGGTCAGCTCTGCTCCTGTGGGAGTTTGCTTGTATATGCAGGTCAGCTTTTGTCAGGGTTGTTTTCTTGGATGTTTCAGGATCCCAGCTTCTTCCAGACTTCTTCCTGGATGCTGCGTCCTCGTATGTTGGGCAGGGCAAGATTGGCCAGCAGGAACCCAAGACAGCAGCCCCGCCGTCAGGGGGCAGTGTCACCCAAACATTCCAGATGATCAAGGCCATGATCAACAAGGACCTGGTGGAAAGTGTCAATGGCATCTTCCAGTTCCAACTCACAGGTTTGTACTCGGGCTGCCCCCAATTTACAAATAATTGGCTCAGATAAAAAGTATACTGTTATGCTTGACCTCCCCTTAATTATTTTCTTACGACAGGGAAACTACAAACACATTGTCTGAAGCACAGCTATTTAGTGGAGTGTTGACCAAGTGCTTCAATTCCTCCCAGTCCTTGTCAAATTGCTGACAGCGTGGAGTGAGTGAGTTTAGTTTTACGCCGCACTCAGCAATATTCCAGCTATATGGCAGCGGTCTGTAAATAATCGAGTCCTGACCAGACAATCCAGTGATCAACAGCATGAGCATCGATCTGCGCAATTGAGAACCGATGACATGTCAAAACAGTCTGTGAGCCTGCCCACCTGATCCCGTTATTCGCCTCTTACGACAAGCATGGGTTACTGAAGATCAATATTCTAACCTGGACCTAGCATGGAATTGCTAACATTGCTCTCCCTCAAATGAAATAATGATGTTATCCCTCTGATTACTATAAAGGTCCAGTTAGTGTTGACCTCTCTTTGTCATAATTACGTAACATCATCTAGGCATAATGTGACACAGCTACTACAGTTAGTTCCATGTATTTGCCCAGATGATTGCGGTTTTACAGTTCTTATGTCTGGGCAGATCGGTGGTCAATAGCATGAGCAAGAATCGATGTATTTGTGGATGGGGAATGAGCCTTGTCATACATTACTACTGTGTTATTCTCCACCAACACCAGGCTTGGGTACTGTTCTTTCACAGACTGCATGTGTAATGAGGGCAGGGTGTTGTAGAGTGAAGATTTGACTTTTAATGCTGAAAGGCATTCTGACGAATTTCTTTTCAAGCCAAACTGGTGTGGCCACCCAAGTGGATTATCTTTCACTTTTCCCCTCACATGACCACAATGACTACAATGACACAGCTACAATGACACATGACTATAACACATGACTATGATGACATATGAGTACTATTACATGACTGATGACACATGACTATAACAAATGACTATGATGACATATGAGTATGATGACATGACTGTTGACACATGAATATGACACATGACTATGATGACACACGACAGATGACATACGACAATGATGAGACATGACTGATGACATACACGACAATGATGACACATGACTATGATGACATGACTGTTGACACATGAATATGACACATGACTATGATGACACATGACTGATGACATACAACAATGATGACACATGACTGATGACATACTACACTGACACATGACTGATGACATACGACATTGATGACACATGACTGATGACATACGACAATGATGACACATGACTATGATGACATGACTGATGACATACGACAATGACTATGATGACATGAGTGATGACATGACTATGATGACATATGACTATGATGACATGACTATGATGACATGACTGATGACATACGACAATGACTATGATGACATGAGTGATGACACATGACTATGATGACATATGACAACAATGACACAACATACTAAAACGGAAATATCAGAATTAACTTCTTTGTTTTTTGACATTTGTGGAGGTTGATTCCGTACAAGCTAGGTCATCAGATAAACTTCAAAGGCTGCTTGTTTAAACATCAACAAATATTTTTAAAAATATGTAATCAGAGATCTCACTCAGTAATGCATCACAAGCCATGCCTATGGTGTCATCAGCCAATCAGGAAACAGCAGTTTGTTAGTCGGTTTGGAGTTGTTTTCCTATTTTTAGAAACACAATATAGTAAATTGCTGGCTAGACAATCTAATACCACTGAATCCCTTGCAGTTGTAAACTGTAAACACACGTGGCCTGACCATGACTGCCTGTGTCTTCCAGGAGCTGATGCCGGCAGTTGGTACCTGGACTTGAAGACAGGGGAGGGTGGTGCGGGGAAGGGGGAGGCTCCCAACGGCTCACAGTGCACCATGACACTCGACAGTGGCGATTTCAGCAAGATGTTCGCAGGCCAGCTGAACGCCACCAACGCCTTCATGTCCGGCAAGTTGAAGATCAAGGGAGACATGGCTATGGCCATGAAGCTGGAGAAACTAATGAGCAAAACCCGAGCCAAGTTGTGAGAAGTCCTTGCAGTGTAGTAGACTGACATTTTTATACAGTGTACTGGAGTGACGTGACGATTTATGGAACAAATCAGTGATTGAGAAAAATGTGTTTAAATATGACTGAATGAGAATGGTGAAAATGTCTCTCTCCACTTCAGTTGTCAGAGCTTCATTAAATGATGTATGTTTTCAAAGGAACGTTTGTTGTGAGTATTTCAGTGTAACATGCAGTCATGACAGGTAACGTGTACCAGTGCTTCTATAAACTGTATCATGCTATCATTGTGGTGGGTAAGTCCATCAGTCCAAGGAACAATTGTATATATTTCCATACTGTTTGAATTACAAGTAATTTGTAATAAAGTTACTATTTCTGTGGACATCTTTGTTGTGACATCAGTCCTGTTGTTATCCATTTCATAGACTTTGTCAAGTGTCAGAGCAAGTGTACATGCAACATTGTCTTCAGAAACACCAAGGATAGTGATAATTCCTTAGTGAGTTGGTTCCTTACGTACTGGGAAAGAGATGGGCTATCACTACAGGTATCATGTACAGGTGATCCCCCCCCTGACTTCCACAGTGTTAGGATTACATGATGATGTGGCAGCTTGTGCAGACAAATGGAGAATCATGATCATGTCCGAGCCCAAGATCATCAGATTCTGTCACAGGGAAGCTATTCAGCAAGTACCCATGCCCCCTGAAAATTATACTCCTCACAAAAAGTTAAGCAACACAAATTTTTAGTCTCATTACATTTTCATTTTTTGAAATTGCAAATCATGGAATGATGCAATAGAAAGATGAAACGTATGTACACATGATTAACAAAATGAAATGGTATTGAGCAATAATAGACTTACAAATCATCAAAAATGTGCTTCACTGACAGAGCAAACTGTTAACATCAAGGTTCAAGTCAGCTTTGGACAGTGAAACAGTGTTCAGGAACGCGTATGATCACCATGAGCACAAATGCAAGCTTCTACACGTCTTTACATTGACCAAATGAGACTTTAAAGTTGCTGTTGTGGAATGTTCTGCCATTCTCTCTGTAACGCCTGCTCAAGGTCATCCAGAGTCTGGGGGTGAACATGGAAACATGACTTCCAATCATGTCCCAAGCATGTTCAAGGGGATTTTACCCGTGAAGATCCAGGGTAGAATAGGTCTTCAGCAACCCATGCTTACCACAAAAGGTGACTTTACTTGTCGTAAGAGGCGACTAACAGGATCGGGTGGTCAGGCTCGCTGACTTGGTTAACACATGTCATTGGTTCCCAATTGCGCAGATCGATGCTCATGCTGTTGGATCACTGGATTGTCTGGTCCAGACTCGATATTTACAGACCGCCGCCATATAGCTGGAATATTTAGTGCAGGGGCTTGTCAATACTAATTGTAATCACTGTTGTGTATGGATTCAGGAAAAACATGGTTCCACTTTTTCTGTTGGCTATAAGTGTCACTGTGGGGCGATTGAATATGAGTTCCCATAATTGCTTGCGACACCATGTCGAGAAAAACATGTTTTCATAAACCTATTACAACATAGTCATGTAGCATATCAAAATGCAGCTTATGATGTATGACATAGAGATAACCACATAATATGCTTCTAATTTCAATTTGGTGACATAAAATATGACATAATCATATAAATTAATCAAATATTGTCTTTCCTTTATCAGACACCAACATTGTAAGTATTGGCCTATATTAATGGAAACCATTTATTCAATTAATGTATTCTCCCATTTCATAATATATACTACCATGACACTCTTATGTACGTAGTAATAATAGTACCCAGGTAAGGTTAATGTGACTATCATATAGTCGTGCACAAGTGTCAATTCAGGCCTACCAGTACAGTGAGAATTGACACACTGACACTCGTGTCTGGGTAATTTAATGACAAATGACATAAAGCCAAATCTGCAGTCAATATAAACTGAATGTATTAATACAGGAGTGACAAATTATATCACAGTAAACAGATAACTACATATTACAAGTGGGTGAAAATATATAATGTGCACTAGTATATTTATTTTAACTTTCAATTGTTATTTGCATTCAATCAATCCGTCATTAACCTGCAAGAATAAAATATGCTGTTGAAATACAAGCTTCGACATTATTTGTCATACAAACACAAGCATGAATTCTTTTTTTTTCTTAATTTGAAAAACTAGAAGGGCCCTCGTTAGAGAACATGCCTCCTCCTTGCACAGCAATTTTCTTTCACTATTACATTTTTAAAGTACTACTGTGTACTTGTACTTTAATGTACTTTCACCAAACCGTACGTAGATAGCCCTTGTGTCATACCTAACATAACCACCAAGATTCATTCAAATCCATCCATAACCTTTTGAGATATTATTCATATTCTCCATTTAATGAACATTGCGATTATTTTCAAAATACCTCTGTGCACAAGTACTTTAACATGCACTCTTCGAAAAAAATAAAATAAAATAAGGGAAACGCAAAATAAAATTTGAAAAAATGAAAGTTTGTACGCAAATGTCAAATGAAGCATGTTTTGAGGGTTGAATATTGTTGTTGGTATGGTTTAGAAGAGCATGCGTTGAGCAAATGCAACCATAAACGATTTTAAATGGTTTTATCGATCATGATTGTCATGATGAGCTTGACTGGTATTGAACACAACCAAATGCTGAAATTATTGCTTTTCGCGTGCAACCTATGACTATAAAAGACCCAAATGCATCTAACAAATTCATCCAAGACCCTTGCAAATACTGGATGAGAAAATGGGACGTCTGAACGGTGCCCACCGAAATATTGCCACTGGACGATTATAAGCTGGCGAATCCAAGAGTGTCGTGGTGAGGACCTTCAGCATTCATCCCAGCACAATAACTCGTTTGTGGGATCGTTTTGTGCATTCCATTTCGACAAATGACCATCCAATACCAGGAAGACCATGAGTCACCACACAGCCCAAGATCGCTACATCCGGGTAACCCACCTACGTGACTGCCGCCATTCCACCCGGGACACAGCACAAGAACGGTTTGGAGCCAATCAGGAACCATCTCCAAGAGGTAGGTATGCGTGCCAAGCGTCCAGAAGTTGTCCCTCTCTGACACGATTACATCAAAGCCCATGAGTCAGGTGGTTAAACGCGGTGCAGCCATGGAACCTTGGAAACTGGAGGCACATATGGTTCAATGATGAATCACGTATCCCCTCAACGACGTGGCAGACAACGTGTTTACAGACCACGCAATGAACGTTTTGCATCCAACTGCATCAGGCAAGTGGACAGATTTGGTGGAGATGGTGTGATGATGTGGGGAGCCATCTCATACACCTGCAGATCAGAATTGGTGCTCGTCCAAGGCAATCTTACGGCCGCGAGATATACCGACCAGATTCTCTGTCCTACGTACTAACATTTGTATAGCGCCGATATCAAGCTCAGCTGCTCAAAGGCGCTTTGTTTTTTCCTCTATCACTGGATGTCAATCGACAACGTCACGTCGTATTATCAATCTCAGCTCCCTGGGGATCATACAACTCTTGCAGCCACAAGGCTTTCCCATTCTTACGAGGTACCCATTCACAGTTGGGTGGACCGGAACACATAGTCACAGTACTTTGTCGAAGTTTACTGCACGTTGATGTACCCGCAACTTGGTGTTTTCACGTATTCATGTGGCCACCATCTGGTCATATACCAATGGATTCGTGGGTTCTTTAAAGTGCACAGGGTTGTGTACTGTACACTAGGGGGTTGTGACAACACTGAAAGAATCTGCACACAAAGTTGACTCCAAGGTTTTTACACCCAGTCACAGGTGGGCTCGATCCAGACACATAAAGCTTGCTGGATGACTAGCCTGGCGCCTTAGCCAGTTCACCCACCACGCCCATCACGTGCATCGACCGCCAAAGGGAGCAGTACCAACAGGACAACGCCAGACCTCACATAGCACGTGCTACAGTGGCCTACCTAGACAATAAAAACATCAATGTGCTCCCCTGGCCCTCCAGATCCCCCGGATCTGAAACCAATTGATTACCTGTGGGAACAGATCGATAAACGTGTACGTCAACGTCGTAATCCGCCATTGAGGCTTTAACAGTAACTGTTGTTCAACATGCTGCAGGAGGAATGGAGAAGGATTCCACAACGAAACATCCAACAACTGATTCAATCTGTGTCAGGGAGGTGTCGTGCAGTTCTAGCAGTAAGAGGTGGCCATACAAGGCAGTCAAGTCAACGTCACCTCGTGGACATCAGTAATTATATGACTATGATGACTATCATTCTTGCGAAATGTGCATGAGATACCAATGTATTGCTCTACATAATTTCAATGTTGTACCGTTTATTTTCATTGATTTACACAATTGAATACCAAATTTTTCAATGATATTTTCCTTTTGCGTTTCTTTTTTTGAAGAGTGTACTTTTTCAACATCTAATTGATTTGTCCTGGGGACATACTCAAGAGATTCAGAAAGTTTCATCAAGTGATTATTATGCATACATATCTTATATATTACTGAGATTCATGATGTATAATGGTAGTTGTAAAACACACACATCACAAGGTACAGTTTGACATACTACATGCCTATGTTGTGATAGGTTTATTAAAATATATTTTTCTCACATTGGTGTTGCAGCTCGATTATGGGTACCGATGTTCAGTTACCCCAGAATGACACTTATAATCATCAGAAAAAATGGAACCATGTTTTTTCTGAATCCATATGCAATACTGATCACAATTATCAGTGGTTTTAAAATTAACATGCACTTCCCACGGAAAGCATTTTTGCTACATAAGCCCCTGCACTAATTGCTGAGTGCGGCGTAAAACTAAACTCACTCACTCAAGGGGATTCAGATCAAGTGACCTTGCATGCCAGTCCATATGTGTGATGTTGTTGATCTAAACAACATTGTTAACAACTCATTCTCAGGCATTATCATCCATGGACGGGCATTATCATCCATAAACATGAAGTCAGGACCCGCTTGTTGTGCCAGAGGAATGATTACAGGTAGGTTTACACCGATCAGGGTGCATGTGTGAAGAGTGGAGCTCATTCATGCCACACATTTTGCATGTTGTTTCTGAGGGTGGTGTTCGGGTGATGTAATCAATATTATCAGATAAATCAATTTGACCGTCACTAGAGGCTATGTATTCTTTGAATATTTACCTTTCAGTAACTTGTCAGCACAAATAGCTATGGAGATTGATATATATTATCAGATAAATCAATTTGACAGTCACTAGAGGTTATGTATTCTTTGAATATTTACCTTTCAGTAACTTGTCAGCAAATATCGCTATGGAGATTGATATAGATATAACACTGACAATACTTGTTGCTTCAGTTTCTTGTGAGGAGTATAGTACAAATAACAGACATCAGAATGCTTAAAAATATATGATATTTTATTACAAAATCTTGGTAGAGAAATAACAATTTGTAACAAAATAAAAACTTTCACTACCAAAACCTGGTGGAGATTTTTCTCCTGTAGAGCAGCATGATGAGGCCGGAGAGGACAGCGATGTAGACGCTGATGATGGTGACGGCCAGGGAGGGAGGGACGTACAATGTCTGGACAGACATGTTGACCAGCCCGGTCAGGAGGTTAGCGGCCAGGAAGTACAGCAGACCGTTGTAGTTAATGGCCGAGAGAAGGCAAGTACTGCTCAGGTCGTCTGCAAACTTCTTGTTCTCACGTCCATCTGGAAAATGTTACAGCAAAGAAGATTATCATCAAATACAAAAATATTCCACTTATAATCCACAGTGCATAAATCCATGTGCAATAATTGAAAGGTTTTAGTTCTGTCAATGAAGGCCAGCTTGAGGGTAAACCCTTAGTCGGCACTTGAAGACCAGGAGAATTAGAGAACTCTAAGCTCCAGTGAGAGACTGTTGTACTCAGTTGCAACGGCAAAGGAACAACAGAATTAGCTGGGAGTCTGTACTTGTGGTACACACAGGAGATAGTGAGTTTCAGACTTGGGGTTACACAGAGGAGATAGTGATTTTGAAGGGATTCTGTACCACAGTAACACATTGGAGGTCAGTGTAAGCTGTAGAGTACTGGGGTAGTGTTATAGGGGGAAGGTGTAAGCTGGAGAGAACTGGGGTAATGTGATAGGGTGAAGGTGTAAGCTGGAGAGTACTGGGGTTATGTGATAGGGTGAGAACTGAGAAGGTGATAGTAAGCTGTAAAGGAGAGGGGAGTAACTGATCAGGGTGTAAGCTGATACTGGGGTAGGGAAAGGGGAAGGTGTAAGCTGGAGAGAACTGGGGTAATGTGATAGGGGAAGGTGTAAGCTGGAGGTACTGGGGTAGGTGATAGGGGAGGTGTAAGCTGGAGAGTACTGGGGTAATGTGATAGGGTTTAGGTGTGTAAGCTGGAAAGTGCAACTAACAAAGTATACAAATATTCAATATTAGGTGTAGTGTGATAGATAGGGGTAAGGTGTAAGCTGTAGGAAGTACTGGGGTAGTGTGATAGGGGGAAGGTGTAAGCTGTAAAGTACTGGGGTAGTGTGATAGGGGGAAGGTGTAAGCTGGAGAGTACTTGGGTAGTGTGATAGGGGAAGGTGTAAGCTGGAGAGTACTGGGGTAGTGTGATAGGGGAAGGTGTAAGCTGGAGAGCTGGAGAATAATGGAGTAGTGTGATAGGGAAGGTGTAAGCTGGAGAGTACTGGGGTAGTGTGATAGGGGAAGGTGTAAGCTGTAGAGTACTGGGGTAGTGTGATAGGGGTAAGGTGTAAGCTGGAGAGTACTTAGGTAGTGTGATAGGGGGAAGGTGTAAGCTGTAAAGTACTGGGGTAGTGTGATAGGGGGAAGGTGTAAGCTGGAGAGTACTGGGGTAATGTGATAGGGGAAGGTGTAAGCTGGAGAGTACTGGGGTAATGTGATAGGGGGAAGGTGTAAGCTGGAGAGTACTGGGGTAGTGTGATAGGGGGAAGGTGTAAGCTGGAGAGTACTGGGGTAGTGTGATAGGGGAAGGTGTAAGCTGGAGAGTACTTGGGTAGTGTGATAGGGGGAAGGTGTAAGCTGGAGAGTACTGGGGTAGTGTGATAGGGGGAAGGTGCAAGCTGGAGAGAACTGGGGTAGTGTGATAGGGGGAAGGTGTAAGCTGTAAAGTACTGGGGTAGTGTGATAGGGGGAAGGTGTAAGCTGGAGAGTACTGGGGTTATGTGATAGGGGGAAGGTGTAAGCTGGAGAGTACTGGGGTTATGTGATAGGGGAAGGTGTAAGCTGGAGAGAACTGGGGTTATGTGATAGGGAAGGTGTAAGCTGGAGAGAACTGGGGTTATGTGATAGGGGGAAGGTGTAAGCTGGAGAGAACTGGGGTTATGTGATAGGGGGAAGGTGTAAGCTGGAGAGAACTGGGGTTATGTGATAGGGGGAAGGTGTAAGCTGGAGAGTACTGGGGTTATGTGATAGGGGGAAGGTGTAAGCTGGAGAGAACTGGGGTTATGTGATAGGGGAAGGTGTAAGCTGGAGAGAACTGGGGTAATGTGATCGGAGGCCGGGTATGCTGGAAATTACTGGGGTAATGTGATTGGAGACTGGTGTAATCTGGAGAGAACTGGAGTAGATTTTGCATGTGCTGGAAGTATTTCCAGTATCACACAGAAAGCTGACAGGCGAAATCACAGAACAATATATATATATATATAATACATTGGTCATACTGGCTTCCTTAAAGGTCACATGCAACCATAAAATCAAACATAATTAAAACACAATTATCACTTCTTCATGACATATAATATACATTGCTGATTATGAAAAAACATATAAACGAAATTATAAGAGTACAATCGCAAATCAAAAGTGCAATATTGTGTACTTGGGTTCACTTCCCTAGGAAGCAGCCGGGATACCGAACCCAGTCAGAGCAGGTGGGTGTGCACTCAAGTGTAACGGCTGGTTCATTTGCCGATGCCCTCACGGCTCATTGTGTGTGTATATATAGAGATGTTGGGTTTTGTAAATACATGCTCATTTCTTGGGTATAACATTTCGCAATCAACAGACATCATAACATGTCATGTGTACAAGTATTACACCTGCCTGTCTGTGTAATTACATAATGTGACAGAGACCGAACTCGGACCATAAATCAATGCGTTTGTTTATGGTGTATAGCCTGATAGGTGTTAAGTTCAAATTGCATGTGGTCAGTGATTGAAGTTGTGTATTGAATATTGTCATTAGCAGACAGGCAGGCAGACACATAGGTGTCAATAAAACAGACATTGAATCTGTGACAACGACATATCTATATCACAGTTAGAAATTCTGTCAACGCTAAATAATGACATTGCTTTTAAGTATCGAACTGAGAAAGTGACTCGGTAAGAAGAACGTGTGGTGAAATAGACAAATGAAATTATATAAACAGTTAAATCGGTAATCTACTGTCATAACGCATAAAAAGCTCGCGCCTGTGAAATATCAACAAAACATTAGAAAAAGCTAGCTCACACCAAAGCCTTCACCGGTATTCACCGGACAACCCACTACGCATGTTTACAAGCTTTTCCCAAGTGCTGAACCTATTTCACTGGGAAAGTCGCGGTGACGCATGTGTTATGAGCCAGCCCAGCTGTTGAAACCACTTTTGGACCAAGTGCTGTCATTGAAAAGTAGTGAATCATTTGAACTCTAGACAGATTTCTCGCGGTTTTTTTCATCGCGTTAGTTTTCAACTTTATAAGCTGAATTTGCATTTTTGATGATTTGTTTCGGTAAGTCCATACCGAAAGGTATCAGAATCTAAAGTTGTGTTTTACGTTGCATGTGACCTTTAAACAAAGAATATAAGATGACCTTCACCTCTTGTATGCAAAGACTGGACGCAGGTCACAGTGATGTCTCCCGCCAAGTTGACGGCCAGCATTTGGAAAGAGAGCGCAATCTGAAATTTATCACTGAAGAATTAATGGAAGATAACACCCAGGCCATCAGCGAGAACCTGCTGTCATTACTTTAACAACTAGAAGGCTGTAGAATGGAAAAAACCATATGCTGATTTACTGAAATACGAAAAGACCTATGTCTTCTGCTACCTTTAAACATAAGAAATGTTTAGGTTAAATGATCTTGACACTCTATATTTCCAATACACATGAAATATTATTTCTACTTGAAAACAAAGTTGCTTTAAATTAAAAGCACCTCATAGCATCTCAAAGGATTGGTTCATTATACAAAGAAGCAGAACTACCTTACCAATGATCATACAAGTGACCTTGACTTTCAATATAGGTCAAGTTTATCGACTGAAGGCTCCTGAATATGGATGATGTGTACCATATTCCATCTTTATACAGTGAACACTTTTTGAGGTATTGGTAATGCTTTACATATATGACCTTGAGAGTGAATCTGACCTTCAGTATGAGTTGCAAGTACTTCAAAAACACTCCAAAGGACTATCAGCATATACACCAAATATGATGGCCACTGGTGGCTTAAATGTGAAAACAACAAAACAGCATGTGTAACTCATTGACTTTAATGTGAAAACAACAAAACAGTGGGTGTAACTCATTGAAAGTGAACTGCAGTGACCACCACTCATATCAATAGATACTTGTCATATACAAATGCATTCTAATTTTATTCAATTCTAAAACCACAAGATACCTAAGACTTTAACAATATCTGTGAAAAGTGCATTCCAGTCACAATATCAACACTCAAGGAGACTGAACTTCACTTTGACCTTGACCTTGTAAGCCATTCACAACCATGTCAGATTGTGGCCCTATCTCACGGATGCCAAGTTCCCCTGACATAGGGTAACTGCTTCTGGAGTTCTCATTTACATATACATTGTTTCAAGCCATGACAGGTCAGTGTTTCAAAACAATTTGCGAGACAAAACCTTAAAGCATCTCCATTTACATGGTTCATTAACACTCCAGGGAACGAAAACCCAGTATCTGACACCATTGTTGATTCAGTTGACAGAGTCAACAGTAACAGCTCTGTCTCAAGTGCAGCATCTCAGGGAGATTGTCAACATAGTTAATGAAAATTGTTTACCCCAAAGATAAATGACTATTATCAACAAGAGTGGCAAATGTCAAAGGTGAGAAAAATTCGAATTTGACTCTCTGTAGTAAATCAATCATGTTGAATAAGAATGAATGTAAACTGAATTATCATAATTCAAAATTTGCCTGATCAGTGGAGCCCTGTATATATGGACAACTGCCTGTTATACAGTAACCATCTGCGTGTCACACAGCTTGGAATATTTGTGTTCTAATGAAATGTAAATAACAGTTACACAGAGCTACAGATAACTTTTGTGTCTTTGAGTTATGTACTCACTTGTGTTCATCTCAATTGGGTATCTTAATTTTCCTTTGAGTAACCAAATAAATTGTACTCACCTCACTCAAACTCAATTGGGTATTTTGACATTTTCCATTAATTGTAAAAATATAATAAAGTTTAACTGTTAGTGTTTGTTATTTATATTTGATCTGTAATATGAGAAACAATAAGAAAGACTGCAAGTTGAGAAGTTCAAGTCCTGAAACAGAACCTCTCAAAATACCTCAGTTATTTATCTATCCACCAGTATGCAAGGTAAGATTTTACATTTTTGTGTGTACGCATGTAAGATCACATCTATTGAGTATTTACAAACATTCAAGCATACTTGTACGCAATAGCCTTAATAGGAATTGAGTTTTCTCATTTGCGTAATTTAAGCAGATACGCAGCTTATCTGTACCTCTGGTTACACAATCCAATATTGCTTACCAGCCATATATAGTAAGGTGCATTAGCCAGTCTGCGTGAGACGGGCTGCACGGTGTAGCTGACTATCCCCAGCCCTATCCATGACAGTAGTGACATGCTGATGAACACAGAGAGAACTAACACCCACTCTCGCACAGTGTGTCTGGAAGTAACAAGACGAACATATGACATAATGTGTCCTACTGTATCTCATGGGATCAATACATTACCAGTTACATGCAAGTTTCTTTACATTTGAATTGTAATCATTATATAACAATGTGACAGGGTTTGACACACACACTGTCATACATGGTTCATGACTGTCACAACTGTCTGATCAATCTGCTACTTGTGTCAACCAACTGACCACATCTGACCACATCTGACACAGGTCTTTGTGAGAAGCACTAAATGAGCAGCAATTGCTTTTGTAATCTGACAAACATAAGAAGGTGGAATTATGAAATTATTTTATTATACGATATTTATAGGATATTTATATAGCGCACATATCCACGCAAGTGCATGCTCAAGGTGCTGGTATTTTTCACAGCTCATTGGATGTCATAATGTCATTATTATCAATCTCAACTCCTGGGAGTATACAACTCTTGCTGCCAACTTTTCTCATCCTACGAGGTGCCCATTCACAGCTGGGTGACATATTCACAGTACTTTGTCCAACTTTACTGCACGTTGCTGTACCCGCAACTTGGTGTTTGCATGTATTCATGTGGCCACCATCTGGTCATATACCAATGGATTCGTGGGTTCTTTTAAGTGCACAGGGTTGTGTACTGTACACTAGGAGTTGTGACAACACTGAAAGAGTCTGCACACAAAGTTGACTCCAAGGATTTTACATCCGGTCACAGGTGGGCTCGACCCCGGCACCTCAACCTCGCTGGATCAGTAGCCAGCTCACCCACCGCGATTTCAGCGTGTCATGTGACAACAGAAACATAGCAACAATTGTTGATGCATCCTCCAAGTACCCAGCTACTACCTCTTATCTGCCCTGATTTATGAGGGGTCAGCTGATAACACACTAGAAAAGGAGGCTTGACGACAGAATTTTGTCAGGGTAAAGGTGGTAACTGTGTCGCTAGACAATCAATACGACATTCACAAGAACACAATATTTCTTTTTATCTATGGTACAAACATATCACATATCAATATATTAAAAGGTTGACAATTTCACCTTTTTCTAAATATATAGCTTCCAATCTCCACCCCTGCGAAGTATATAGCAAGGTAGCCAATACAAGAGAACAAGCCCTCCCTGTTGGCGTCGAGCAGCCCCGCCCGTGTGCCACGCCCATCTGCCCCGTGCAGTATGTAGGTGGTGAGACTGGTGAGGCTGTACTGATACCCAGCAGCCATCACGATTGACAGGAGGCCACTCAAGTACACGGGGAAAACTGACAGAATCACAGTTGATAAAACCTGGCAACAGATCAACAGTTAAAGATTCAGGAGTTTAAATCAGTATTTCAGCTTCATCAAGCTGGCTCAAAAAACCTGATGACAAAAAATGTCTGACCCAACTTGGACAACAAATCATGGCGTGTTGGATGGTTAAGTCAGGGAGGCCTCTACATGGCACGGAATGGACGTCCCTAACTCCTTAGCTAGTGGTGCATTTCATACAATAATGTTTATTGACACTGGTACATGTTAATGAGTTTCAAACCTACAAATGCTAACTTTGTAACATGGTCAAACTGTAACAAAGCAAACATGTCCGAAAGCGTGAAAGGTTACATGATCCAAAATGGTGAAAGGGGTATCACTTATTATGTGTTGAGTGCAATTACCTTGACAGAAGCCAGGGTGAGAAAGAAGTTCCAGTGAACTCCGTACTCTGACACATGCTCTTGGTAGTCAATGTTCTTCACAGCAAGCAGTCGTAGAGCTCCAATGACCACCAGTGGCATGCTGGATTTGACAGCCTGCACCATGGCCAGCACTGGGCTTGCAGAGCACAACAAACATTTCATCATCAAGAGCACAACAAACATTTCATCATCAAGAGCACAGAAAGTTATTTCCAAACATATTTTATCACAACTGGGCCACAATTTGATTGAAATTAAATATCAAAATATTTCAGGAGAAATAACTATTCTTGGCAAATGCTGAAAAATTGGGGATTTAGGAAACTGTAACATTCTTCACTTTGCTCTTCACAATGAATCAGTTTGAGAGGGCTGTGATGTTTTTTTAACATCACAAAAGAGGAAAAATGACCTCAAGAGTAGCAAATATCAGTCATGACAATAAGTATATTGATATACCCTTACCTTTTACAGCTCACCTTTCCCCGGGCTTCAGGGGAGACAATCGCATTTAAAACAACAAACAACCCGACTCCTGTATCCATCAAACCAGTTCCATAGATCTCAGTCTTAGCAAATCTCCTTGGAAACACAGTAAAGTCAACAGCCAGTATGGTTACTGCAGTTCCCAGAAGTGTTTGACCTCGGAGATACGACAGAAAAGGTCGTCTGTTACCCATCTCCAAATTCAGGAATTGTTCTACAAGTGACCCAGATCTTGACTGCTGTGTTTTTCTTGACTGTGTATGCCTTGTTACAATGAGGGCAAGCATGCCTGTGGCAGTGGTATACAGGGAGACCAGGATGGTGAAGTCTGTGAAGTTGAGGATGGTGAGGCTGAGAAGCAAGGGAGCAACGATGATCACCATATTCAGCACAATCAACCTGCAAAATATTATATAGGAATACAGTTTCATCAAGTGTCAGTTAAAAATTAGGCAACCCAAGGACATAGTTTTCTTAGGAACCATTCATAATTTATGGCTGGGGGGGGGAAATGATGATGATTATAAGGGAGGGATCACCCATCACCCATTTTGTGCTGGGGAGGTCAGCAATTTTGCACACATGCACGGGTTGGGTGGGTGGCGGGTGTCAGCAATTTTGTTAATTAAAATATGAAAACATAATGCTGAAAAATTATGGGAAGGGGAAGGGGGTAATTGAATTTGTACATGACATGCATGAGGAAAGAGGCACTTACTTTGCACATACATTTTAGGAGGAGGTCAGTCACACTGTACCTGCTTCTCCATAAACATCATAATTCATATCACATGTAACGGCCATAAAAAGTCTGAGTCCAACGCTGGGATTTGAACCACGGATCGTCTGATCCGAAGTCGGACGCCTTGTCCACATGACCAAAGAGGTTAACCCCCTCAGCAAGCAGACATGGTAAGGATGTCATCTGTGTGATGACTCCACGCCCTGCTACATACTCCCCTGCCAATAGAAGGCATATCCCGGGCCGTATAGTTGGGTACTAAGACGTTTTTGCTCAAATTTGACATGAATGTGCTCAGCCCAACGTTGGGCGCCTATGTAGCAGCCATAAAATTTCTGAGTCCGTGCTGGGATTCGAACCCAAATCGTCTGATCCGAAGTCAGACGCCTTGTCCACATGACCAAAGAGGTTAACCCCTTCAGCAAGCTGACATGGTAAGGATGTCATCTGTGGGATGACTCCATGCCCTGCTACATCACACACTCACAATTTAAGCCATAAATTGTGAAGGGTCCCTTACGATAGTCAACTGTATGTGAAACATGGGCGGCTTTCTTTATTGTATATATTTAGGTGAGGATTAATGTCCTATTATGTTGCTTACACCTATGATCAATCTAAAGATGATGAAACAATAAAATCTGGTGTGAACGTTCACTTTGCATGTTTTAACAAGATTATACTGGTTATTATTCTGTCTTCGATCGAGATCATTTGTCCTGTTTTATAAAACAGTCACTGAAGTGTTTTCAGGCAATCAGCTAATATTGAAACGTGTAGATTTGACGTTTGCTGGGGCCATTACCATGGCTGGGTGAAGTCGCTCACGAAGAGACAAAACAGATCACGGACCAGAGTAGAACCAACTGGGATTAATGTCAGTACAGAAACTTCCGCCAACGACGACCCATTCAATCCGGTCATAAATTCCTCGTGTAGCTGCTTGTAAGACATGTTGCTAACAGGCACATCCATTTTTCAAACAGGAGAACACACTCTTTAGTTAAACTTCCCCATTTGGTTCTCACTATTTACTGTTTCATGGGCGCGGCCATCTTGGTTGAATAAAAAGAGATACTGCAGAACGGAGATTCACTTACATGGACAGAAATCAAAGACAAAACTATTTGTGTTTTTATTGCTTTTTTCAGACATATTGACAATTCATTATGTAATAAACATATCACAATGGGCTAATCGGGACAAAAATAAATATATAGTCATAGCAATCATATGTCGTTTCGGTGCGATCCTAAAAAGGGCAGATAACTGTAAATGACACAGCAATTAGAAGGATGGAGGTATTTGTCGTAACATAATTTCACAACATTACGGTTTTCCTGGAAATGGCACCATCTTCCTATGTTCTCAAATGAACAATGGCAATGATATGACATCTGAGTTATTAGCTTGCGGCCAGAACGAAACAAAGAACTAAACTTAAAATTCTTAACTTGAGGCCCATGAAGTTGTCGCTCTTCTCATGATGTTACACGGGTTAATAAAACTGTATCTGCGCGAATGTGTTTATGTATGTGCGTACACGTGTGTATAATCTGCATGTGCATGTGCGTGTGCGCCCGTGTCTACGGTTACATATTCCACAGTTATTCTAAAATACGATTTTCTAGATATAAATTTCATTTATTTATTGTGGCATAATGAAAATGAGTATTAAGTTTTTGTTCCTTGTTTATCAAATTTTATGGGATATTTACATCTTACTCCTTAATGTAAATAAAACACCAACTTCGAGGGTATATTTCACTTTTAATCTCATGAAACAGATTGAAAAATTGTAGTTTTACATCAGAAGTAGCTGTGTAGCATGGATTGCTGATTTTTGTTCTTTTTCAGGTTGATAATTCAACAGCTGTGGATGAGTCGACCACGACAAGTCCCCGGCTGTTGCTGAAAAGATTCTATGATTTGCAAGCAGAACGGGTTCAGACATATCTGTTATTTGATGAGTATGTTCCTTGAGCCAAACAATGAGAAAACATGGCATTTTCAGTTCAAAGAGAAGTATTATTAACAAAGGATGAGTTCGAGTATCTCTTTCAAATTATGCTGGAAGAGACAAATTTGTAAGCACTGTTGTTTCTCAAAAACTAATTTTGAACTTGAACAGGCTGAACATTATTTGAGAGTGTGATTGTATGTTAAGGGGTTTCCAGGCATATCTGAAGGGAGCTCCCAACTACAACTTCAGCATGTACAGACAGCTGGTACACGAGATCACAGAGACCTTCCAGAAGATCTCCCAGGATGTGATCAAGGTGAAAGACTCTTTGGCCAATGTTTGTAACTTGAACCAGATTGCCAACATACTGGACCAGGTGCAGGATGAGGAGAGGAACAAGCTAGAACTGGTAATACCAACAATGCTTTAGTTTTAGTGTTAGTGTTAGTGTTAGTGTTAGTGTGTGTGTTAGTGTTAGTGTTAGTGTGTGTGTTAGTGTTGGTGTGTGTGTGTTAGTGTGTGTGTGTGTGTGTGTGTGTGTGTGTGTGTGTGTGTGTGTGTGTGTGTGTGTGTGTGTGTGTGTGTGTGTGTGAACTCAAGTGTTTAGTGTGACGAGAACGCTATTACCACTAGGCTTCCCCACCACACTGAGAAACAGAGATAGGGAGTGTGTGTGTGTGAGTGAGTGAGAGAGATATATATCTCCCTGTATATAAGGTACAGAGATAGGTAGGTGTTCAACTCCTCAGTGTGACATCTATGTTGCAGACAGCTCGTCTCCAGATCGCCCAGCAGAATGCCGTTGACCATCCAGCAGATGAATGCTACAAGGCCGAAATAGTGGAGCTGAAGCAAAAGTGAGATTATGTTTGACACTTTGACAAATTCCATGTGAAATGTATACAACATTTGCTCAAAGGAATGAATGTTGTTCAGCTGACTGAATGGTGATCTGGAGTTAGAGTAGGTTCCCAATATGTTGAAGATGACTAGTAAAACATCATTACGTGTTCCCTGGCAAATGTTGTCTTGGTTCATTGCTCATGCCACTTAGTTGATTTCCAAGTCTTAATAACGGGCTCATTTTTCTTCCAGAGTGGGTGAAAGGATACAGAATATCAATGAGTTCTTAGAGGAACTGAAGTACGAGTCCGAGAATCTCTACACAGACGAGGAGGAGGAAAGGTAGCATGAAGAATCCAAGTAGTGAAGGAAATAACGGATGAATTAGTGAAAGACTTGGCTGCGGTTGGTGCTGCTGCTGCTGCTGCAGGTGTTGCTACTGTGTCACTGTTGCAGGAAATACCCCTGGACCTTTTGTTGTTCATGTTATTAAGTCAGGATCAACAGACTAAAACACTCCATTCAAGGGCAAGGATCTGAGTGGGAGAAATCCTGTTATTTCCTGATGTGAGGGCTCTTATGTCACTGACTTGTACATTGTAGTGTGGCTATATCAAGGCCATGTTGGTTAACACAGTTTTCTGTGTATGAAACATCAGATTGAAACCACTCTTGCATAAATAATGTAATCCAGCAAAGTTGATCGAAGTTATCATCATTTTCACATAGGATCATCGTTTTAAGCTAAACATTATATTAGCATATTAAGCCAAGGTGATATTGAAACAACAAATACAGATACTATAGCTTTCATAGAAATCATATTGTTTGTAGTTTCTTCCGGCATTCAGCAATATTCCTGCTGAGATAAACCAGAGATAGATATAATTAGCAATCATTCAACTCACGGGGTGTGTGGAGTTGACCAGCATCATTAGCGGTTTTTAATGCGAAACAAGTACCACTGGGCAAAGTCTCATGTTCACTTTATGCTGCAGTGATCAAGGATTGAACAGAGAGTTGCACTGACAGCAGTCAGAATCCATCACAAACGCTTGGCTTGTAAATATCTAAACCCATGCTCACTCTTGAGACCAGATGACAACTGGGTATTTGCTCTTGCTTTCGGTCACCTGTTTGTCGGTCTCGATTTACAAGCTGCTCTGATACAGTTGCTCTACTAGATACAGTTGGACTAGTATCCCAGCTACTACTAGTAACATTTGTTAATTATGCTGAAGACCCAGGGTTGTGTGAAGCCCGGTTTCTAGTATCCCAACATGGGTTCAATGTGTGAAGCCGTTTCTAGTATCCCAACATGGGTTCAATGTGTGAAACATGGGTTCAATGTGTGAAGGCATTTCTAGTATCCCAACATGGGTTCAATGTGTGAAGCCCGTTTCTAGTATCCCAACATGGGTTCAATGTATCCCAACATGGGTTCAATTCAATGTGAAGCCCATTTCTAGTATCCCATGGGTTCAATGTGTGAAGCCCATTTCTAGTATCCCATGGGTCCCGTTTCTAGTATCCCAACATGGGTTCAATGTGAAGCCCTAGTATCCCATTTCAATGTGTGAAGCCAGTTTCCCCAACATGGGTTCAATGTGTGAAGCCGGTTTCTAGTATCCCAACATGGGTTCAATGTGTGAAGCCCGTTTCTAGTATCCCAACATGGGTTCAATGTGTGAAGCCCATTTCTAGTATCCCATGGGTTCAATGTGTGAAGCCCGTTTCTAGTATCCCAACATGGGTTCAATGTGTGAAGCCGGTTTCTAGTATCCCAACATGGGTTCAATGTGTGAAGCCGGTTTCTAGTATCCCAACATTTCCGTTTCTAGTATCCCAACATGGGTTCAATGTGTGATGGGTTCAATGTTCAATGTGTGAAGCCCGTTTCTAGTATCCCAACATGGGTTCAATGTGTGAAGCCCATTTCTAGTATCCCAACATGGGTTCAATGTGTGAAGCCGGTTTCTAGTATCCCAACATGGGTTCAATGTGTGAAGCCGGTTTCTAGTATCCCAACATGGGTTCAATGTGTGAAGCCCGTTTCTAGTATCCCAACATGGGTTCAACATGGGTTCAATGTGTGAAAGCATTTCTAATGGGTTCAATGTGTGAAAGCCAATGGTATTCAATGTGAAGTAGTCCCAACATGGGTTCAATGTGTTCTGGGTTCAATGTGTGAAGCCGTTTCCCCAACATGGGTTCAATGTGTGAAGCCGGTTTCTAGTATCCCAACATGGGTTCAATGTGTGAAGCCGTTTCTAGCCCAACATAGGGTTCAATGTGTGGCTTGGGTTTCTAGTATCCCATGGGTTTCCGTTTCTAGTATCCCAACATGGGTTCAATGTGTGAAGCCGTTTCTAGTATCCCAACATGGGTTCAATGGTGTGAAGCCCGTTTCTAGTATCCCAACATGGGTTCAATGTGTGAAGCCTATTTCTAGTATCCCAACATGGGTTCAATGTGTGAAGCCCGTTTCTAGTATCCCAACATGGGTTCAATGTGTGAAGCCCATTTCTAGTATCCCATTTCAAGTGAAGCCCGTTTCAATGTGTGAAGCCCGTTTCTAGTATCCCAACATGGGTTCAATGTGTGAAGCCCATTTCTAGTATCCCTTTGCAGTGACATCTCTGGAATATTGCTAAACTTGAGTAACAAGGAGCATAAAACCACATTCACCCACACCTCTCCAATGATGATGACAGCGTTTGTAGTTGATGGTATTCTGTGCAGATGGAAAGCTACAACCGATGTACCCAGGAGGGATGTGACAAGTTGTAGCTGCTGCTCATCATGAACTGGCTTGTTTCAATGATTTGTGTTTGGTATCTCAAATGGTACATGTAATGGTGTATATTATTTTCCATCTTGCTGGCTGTCAGTGTTTAGGGCTTGTCAAACTGACAATTGGTGGTAAAGCAGTGATCTTATCTATAAGAAACATCTTATCTCTCACACTCACACAAAGACTGAAGGCAGTCACAAAAAGTTACATCTGATCTTTGTTTTCTTCATGTAGCAGTGTTCAAATATTGGTCCTCGTGTTGAACTGGATAGGGACTGATGACCAACTTCACAAATTATCTGGCAGTGGTCATGGCTAGTGAATCATGTATGCTACTCAAGAAGTTTAAGTGTACACATTATTTTTCAAGGTGTGGTGAAATGGGGTTACTTAAGAATATTTCGCTCATGTGACGACGTGCAAACATGTGTTAGTGTGGCTGCTTGTCCTTTATAGTGCAAGCTCACCAAGATACCATGCCACAATAAGCATGAATACCCACTCACATTATATTGACTCCGACCAGTCCTTGTTGTACCCATTAATGCCATGCGCCAGGCAGGGACCAACAAGTACCATAGATCAATGTATTTTGTTATGATGTGGCCGGGATCACTCTAACCACTACACCACAGAGGCAGTTTATTTTTCAAAAATGGAATAAGTTTTGAAACTTTTTCTGTGTAGTAAGGTTTTAAGTCACTTTTAGCGAAATTCCAGCCATATCATGGTGGACGACACCCAAATTGGGTTTCATACATTGTGACTGGGGGGGAATCTAACCTGGGTGTTCGGTATTACGAGCTAACGGTTTCACCACTAGGCAACCCCACCACCCGTTGCTCGTAAGAAATGCATTGGGTCATGATCGTTAGCAAAAAGTATTCTTGGGCTGCTCCAGTGCAATGTATTCCTGTAATCTGTGATTATTGAACTCTTGAAAGCAACAATCATTAGCTTCCATGTCTGAATAAATAGTGCCCCAACTCAATTCATAAAGGATTCTCAGCGACTCCCAGAACACACCTTCCTTCGGCAATTGTGTGCCTACTTCAACACTGACGAATTGTCAACTTCGGGTGATGATCTAGCAAACTGTCTTCTCTTGGATAGCATCAGTGGTATTATCTTCTTCCATTCACAGTTGGAGATATAAACCAGGACTAAACCTCAATATTACCTTATGCAATCAACAACAAATACAAGTATTAAGAATATGGCTTTTATTCCAGTATGTTAGCTCTTGAATCAAGTGCAATTGATTATACCACAAATAGTTGGTAAAATGTGACAGTCGCACATAATTCAAGTGCTCCCGATGCATAAGCTTCACAAGTAAGACAAGAGAACTATAAGAAAACAGAACATTGATGAAGGTCTTATAGATTTACATATGCACTGTACAACGTGGCCTGATGCCTCGACTGTCGGGATTTAGGAGCACTCAAAATGAAAGTTGGTTCACAGGCAGCCAGGCCAGTCCTCACACACCTTCACCCTTAGATGGTTCATCAAAATTTTCAACAAGATCTAAAATGGAAAGACATTTGAGAATTAGACACCTCACATGCATGGTGCGTACACTGAATACAGAAAACGACTTAAGGTTCATATGAAATATTTCAAATTAGAGGAGAATAATGTAACAAAAAGCACAATGCAATCATACATACATACATTTTAAGCTAATCTTTAAATTGGCATTTGAGACCATCAAATGTGTTGGCAATAAAAAGTAAAAAAGCCGAATGATAAAAATACAGATATGAATCATAAAAACTTCTGAACCAAAGGTTGCAAATGCAACTGTGGACTTACCTGGGACATCATCATCGTCATCGATTTCTCCCGTTGAGGTCTTCCCTCCCTCTCCAGCAGCTGAAAGGAAACAATGGCGTTATCACATTACCAACACATTACTAACGTTTTGCAATCCCATTGTTCAAAGTCCATCACTGTTGAGAGAACCCAGTGGCTCAAGGCTTTCAGATCTTATCCATGAAAGTATTGTGGGATCCTGAACAATCAGTGACTCAAGAAATTAACACCTGTCCAGGCCGTAACACGGAACAGTAGTTCAAGGAATAAACATCAATTTGAGTTTAAATACTTCCAAGAATAATATGAATTACAGGATTATATGCTTCAAAGAGGGAGAGGAGCATTCTAGAGAAGTGGCACAGGCATTACAAATTTACGTGCTTTCATTCAAATTCTTCTCTACTTGAAACTTCGACACTCACCATTTGCTACAGTTGATGCCAGTTTCTTCAGGCTACTTAAACTCTCAGCGCCGAGCTGGTTGAGAATACCTGGCAGCATTTCAGCTATTTCTGCAATGGCAACATTTAAATGTTAGCTCAACTTACTCCCCTTTACACGGGTAAATAACTTAGTACCCCTTCTAACCTCTGCACCTTTATGTCATGAAATCGGTGCCACAATGGTTTCAGATTCAACAAGGGAGTTGATCATGAAATCTTATGAATTAATTTTCCACTGATGTGGGTGCATTTTAATGAAATAATTTTAGAACATGCATGAAAACTGATGTTGCTGCAGCAACCTTCCATAGATGTGCTCCTGATTAGTATAGTACTTGTTTTCTAGTTTATGCAACATTCCAGCATTATGCTGCTGCGATATATAGATTTAGTCTGGACAAGGATATGAGCACCGACCTACACACAAGTGTACTGACAGTGAACACCAGACCATCTCCTGACTCCTTATAAACTGGCATGTTCCTGTTGTATACATGTTAAGTTGGACAATGGATTTGATTCATCATGCTTGTCTGATGAAAAAACAAATTCTAGGGATAAACCATTCATTTCATGTATTCCTTCCTATAATTCTCATCACATTTCTCTAATTTAAGTTCCTCAAAATGTTTTCATTTTCCCCTCATATCTAGATCAAATTGGTGCCATGTCCATGTAACATGGTTAGTCTCTGGAATCGGTGACTGCTTGAATGTGAAACTGCTGCATCATTTATGCAGACAACTTTATCACTACTTGTAGAAGCTGGACAATGGTTACCAATACAGAAGGATCTTTTATAACAGAGATGGCATGTTGCAGAAACATTTGGGTACACAAATCCCATACTTCAGTTCTCAAATGAAAAAGTAAGACAGATCAGAGCAATTTTGTAAGTCAACTGGCAAACAGTAAAGAGGTGAGCCAAGAACATCAGCACTGTTGCTAATGTGACAAGACATCAATAAACAATTAAATAACATTTTCTACTGTAATTTTCTCAATATCTTGGGCATCCCCTCTCTGGTCAGGCATCAATAAGTGCATTTGTTCTCAGATCAACATGCTGTCTATATTTTGTTAAATCAGTATTTATTACACATTTTACATAAATTTGTTATTTATTTTTAGTGACTAAAACAAAAATTATCCCAAAGAGTCCTGAAATGTCAAACATAGAATGACAGATGTAATGTCTTACGTTTATTTTCTGCATGTCCTGTGATTGCAAATGTGTTGGCAGCGAGTGAAGCCTGAACCTTGGGGTTGTTGAAGTGGATCACATTCCCATCATCTTTGATCATATTAACCTGCAAACAAACACACCTCACAATCAGTGAGTTTCACCTTGCTGTCAACTTATGTTGGCTTTGCATCAACCAACATCTGGACAAACAAGGGGAAAGAAGTAGATGCAGTGGCTGGACAGATACGAGAACATCTGACAAGTGTATACTGGGAACCTTAGTCCCAGACAGAAGCCAATGGTAAGCCAGCAAATGTAATAAAGTTAGTTTCCGTCCATCAAATTCACAATACACTGTCCTGTAAACAGTTTGGGTGAGGAAAGCACATTGGTTGCCAATAGCAGCAATCCAATCGTTGAACCAATTAATCTGCTTGCCAAGGGCAACTGGCTTATAATCTTGGATAAATCTCTAAAATCTAAATCTCTACATTTGTGCAAAGAAATATACCTATAAATTACCTCCCCAAAATCCGTCCGTTTCTGGTTACCTGACCGACCCTATCCTATTAAACCCCCCCCACCCTTTCAATGTTTCATCACGAGGCATTGCAACATGATATGGTGTCCTTGAAGACATTCTCAGGTGCCCACCTGGTGCTACTAAAAAATAAAATAAAAAGTATTTAAAGAAAGATAAAATCGACCAAACTGCCCTATTTTTTAAAAGCATGCAATACGAAATGGACATATATTTATTTTTTGCCTATTGCTCATGAAGTTGTGACAAAGAATGGGTACAGGATAACTATAATCAGGTGTACAGTATGCCATGCTGGTGTTGCTGCTAACAATGTGTTGTGAGGCCTCATGTGGGGAAGACTGGGTGGGAGTATGTTAAAACCAATACCAACCTCTTCAATTCCTGGAATAACATTAACAGAGAGCTTCTTTAAAGAGCTCTGTAACTTTTTGTCATCAGTTGTTGCTGTTCTGTGAATAACCTTCTTTTTCCTCCTTGCTGTTCCCTGAGAAAAGATAATGAGTATTAAATACCCAGATAATGAATTGTTTTTCCAAAAATATCTCATTAAGCATGTTACTGTATACATTTCCAGCAATGAAATACTCATGTGAGTATAAATGTAACAGCTGTGCAATGACTCACTCTGCATGAAACGTCCATATTTATTCCTGTACATAAGTACTTTGACGTCGAAACTCAGAAAAACATTATCTAGCACCCCTTCCTTGGAAATAAACAAGAACTTCAACAATGGTCAAACTTACCTTCCCACCAATTCGAACAGCATCGGCCTTAGCCTGTAAAGCTTTTAGCTTCTCTGGATTCATGTTCCTGAAGGAAACAAGACTAATTATCATCATTCACCTAATATTTTTCAGCAATTCTACAATGCAGTTGAAGTTTTTTTGTCATAAACCTACTCTATTATTTCTATTAAGTTTTACTTTTCCTTGGTACCAAGCAGGTTTGATATGATCACCTTCAGGACACGAGGGCAAAACAGATTCCCAGTACCTCATACTTCACCCAGAGCATACCAGAAAACAAATCTGTAAACTGGTCGATATGTGTCATTGTAACCCCTAAAATGGAGAATGTTACTTATGCTATCAATTACAATTGAGATGTTACATAAGCTAATCAAGATGATGAGTCCATACAAATAAACCAAGTCGTAATAAACAATAACAGATACAAGAAAAACATGTAACTGTCAAATAATTGTCTGACCCCATAAATTACTGACGAGAAATGACTATGGAACAACAATATTGGTACCAAAATGAGGCTGATATGTTATACTGTCAAGCAATGACCATATATGGTAAAGTTTGTATCGTGCTGCTATGGAAATGGAAGTCTTAACAGTAACTACTGTTAACTATATCAAGTTTGCGATATAGGATAAACAACATGATAGCAAAATGTGAAGTAATTGTGACTGAGTACATACGTTCATGGTATTACATCCAAATGTTGACCAATACATGTGAGGCTGATGATCAAATTGTGTTTTATCCCACAAAAAAAGAAAATCCCCCTGTATGAGAGTACAACTCATCAAAAAGGATCTCATAATAGAACTCGCATGACATACATTTGTGCTGTCAAGTAAGAATAGATGGCTGCAACATTTCCTGAGTAGAAAGCCTGTTTCTAAATATATAACTTCAAAAGTTTAAAGTCTCATTTGAAAAACAATGTCATTTGTATTTAAACTTTACATTACTTACTGTATTCTACATATTCTTAAATCGATTCCATCCCCCCCAATTCTGACAGCGGTATGTATGTCATTCCGTTTTAGGCAAGCATGCTCATGTTTATGTTGACCCGAAAAACACAACCCACGAGGAAAAGCATGGTGCTTGCTACACTTCCCTGGTTTCATCAATAATATGATTGTAACAATTTGAGACCTGTTGATATTGATAACAAATACGATCAAACGTGAAATATATTAATATCATCACTTTAGAGAAGCAATAAACGCATAAATACCTCAACAATGCGGGACAGATTCAATCCCACGAGGTCCTTATGATGGCCGCTGTGAAAGAGGTCCTGACGTCATGACTTTTTGCGTAGACTGATTAATACTCTAAATCCATGCTTTCAGGAACTTTTTGACTTTTACTGCCCACTAAATATATAGCCACGCACATCAATTTATGTCATAACCATTTCTATTTCTATTATATGTATATATCAATTATGAAAATATATTCCGTCCATGTTAAAAGAGGACTGGTTAGAGAGTATCAAGGTGACAAGATTACGCGCGAAGTTTCATGCTTTTCTTCTAACACATTGTGCACGGGCTTACAACTCACTCAGTCTCCTCAACAAGATGGCCACCGAAGATAAGACACCTGAAGCAACACAAGAAAGGTATTCTGTTACTTACTTGAAGCGCATTGCAACACAACATACAGTCATAACATTAGCTTCCTATTTTGACTCAGTTTTGATTGTTTATTTTCGACGTCTGTCTTTTGACCATTTAATTTCTGGGGAGTAACTGGCAAATTTGCTGTTTTTAGCCCGGTCTTTCCTTAGCTTTGTATTGTTTATCAGAAAGATTTCTAAACAAGATCTAAATTTTTATATTTCTTATCACATTTACTGGGCCACATTTACAAATACTGACGCAAGATCTGCTAAGCAGATGTGATGGATGTAGACTGAAAGTGAAAGGACACTCTGGCAAAACATCACCGATTTCACCGGAAACATCCACTGAAAGTCCAGCAAAACATTGTTTTGACGATTAGCAAGCGTGCTTACTGTGGTACTGATTGTCACAGCTTGCCATCTTTGTCTCACTTCACAGAACTCTCGTGCCTCTTCGATCCATAGAGTTAACGTAAGTTACACCCATCCCTTTACGATCCATAGGGTTAGACACCCTTTACGATCCCTAGGGGTTAGGGTTAGACACCCTTTACGATCCTTAGGGTTAGGGAACCTTTACGATCCTTAAGGTTAGGGGTTAGGGACCCTTTCCGATTCCTATTTAGGGTTTGACTATACCTTAGGGCAGTATAATCCTATTATATCCAATTGAAACACATTTTGATTCATCCGGTACTCGTCAGTACAGTCCAAGATATAATGGCGCAGAAAAAAATGAAAGGGAAGGGCGTGGCACAGTGAGGCGGAAGCGCGGGAAATGTAAACAAACCATTACGCGTGCACAGTGGTTTGTTTTCATTTCTCACGTAAAGTAAAGTGCAGTACTCCCCCTTTCTGATCCACTGTCTCTATTAGCCTAGTGGTTAAAGCGTTGGCTCGTCACACCGAAGACTTGGGTTTGATTCCCCACATGGTCACAATGTGTGAAGCCCATTTCTGGTGTCCCCCGCCGTGATATTGCTGGAATATTGCTAAAAGCAGCATAAAACTAAACTCGATCAGTCAGTCAGTATTGGGTCATGATAGGGCCAATAGGGTGAGTTACTCCTTTATGGTAATGGTTGCTGGATATGTGCAGGGGATAAATCCCCCAAACATGGTCAAATGTAACACCTGTGGGCTGGTGTGACACAAGTGTGTTCACTGAAAATATAACATGACACCCCAGGTTTGTCGTAAGAAGCGATTATGAGATTGGGTGATTAGGGTTGCCGATTTGGTTGCCACATATCATTGTATAGATAAGATAATTCTTTATTGTCCCAAGGGAAATTTGTTTTGCATCATACGTTCTCCAGTTTTGCATTCATAAAGCAGCCATACATAACATTGCAATTGGTAATCATGAAATAATCAGGACATAAATACATCAATTTAGTACACAAACATAGATATTGAATAGAATTTGGACAATTAAAAGGAAAAAAAAATGAATTTTGAATTGGCTGTGTGCATTCTCAGCGTGTAAAAAAACAATCCACAGGCCTAGTTCCTGTTGGGTCGTTTGTTTACCGATAGAGTAGACACACACTGAAGAAAACAGAGTATATAATTTTATGTTTAATGCCAAATCTTCTCCGATCTCAATTCACTTATGAAACTAAGGCCGGGATTAGTTAAATACATAGCTTACTAAATTATCGTGGCGTCCCTAGTTCGCATGCACTTGTATAAAACAGGTCCTTCCCACACATCCCCTTCTCACAACAAAAAAACCCCACATCTCTGAAGCAATTGCAACCAAAATAGGACATCATTTATTGAAAACCATAGGCAAATAGAAGTATGTAACTGATGATGCAGCCATTGTTGGTCAGATGTATGATTATGAATCAGAACGACGATACAGAGATAATGTAAAGAATTTCACGTCATGGTGGGCAGAGAATCATTTGATTTTAAATGTGAAAAAGACAAAAGAACTCTGTATTGATTTCAGAACTAACTCCCCAACAGTACCACCTTTGTTCATTAATGATGAACCAGTTGAGACAGTCACTGAGTACAAGTACCTTGTAACTTTTATTGATAGCAGGTTAATGTGGAACACCAACACAGATGCCCTGTATAGTACATGGCAACGCCTACATCTAATGCTCAAACTGCGATCTTTTAACGTGTCCCAATCTGTTATGATGTTGTTTTATACCACTTTTATTCAGAGTATACTCACTTTTTCTTCTCAGTGCTGGTTGGAGTCTCTTTCAGTCAAAAACAAATCAAAACTTAACAAAATTGTAAATACAGCTAGTGAAATAGCCGGCGTCACTTTCTATAATCTTTCACTTCTCTATGAGCGGCAAGTACTTTCAACGTCTGAAAATATCATTAATGACACAACACATTTTTGAAATCTAGAGAATAAGCTTATACAGGGCTCCAGATAAGGGTCGTATCGGCGTATGTACGGATAAAAAATATGCAAGATACGGTAGGAAATAATTTAGAAAGCGTAGCAGATACGCACCACATCAATGGTGTACGATCTTAGAATCATTTAAAGATGTATTTATCTGAAAAAGTATTGTTTTATTGTTTATTGACCTGTTTACACAAGAGTAGCAATGTTGTGGTGCATATATGAAACGAAACACAAGATTACTGATACGTCATTAATTTCCATTCAGTACTCTAAATGTACTCTTAAGGTTTTCCAGTACTCCAATATTGAAAAATAAGAAGTACATACTCCTGATCATGAAAAATTATCTGGAGCCCTGGTTTATATCTTCGTGCCCCCGCTATACAGTGCCAATCACCAAGACTAAACGACTTCAAACGTCTTCTGTACCTCAAAGTATTGCAATTTTAAACAAATGTTGAATGTCCAGTTTTCATCTTATTCATTTATTTCTAGTTAAGCACACATTTCTCTTATGTTTTTAGTAATGTCATATTTTATGGTATACATTTGTATTTTTGTCAAGAACCAAAACGAATTCCTTTTACGGTAATAAAGTATTGTCTGTTGTCTGTCTGTACTCAACTATGAACTGTTGTCACAACTAAATAATCTTTTCCATTGTCGTTAAACATACAACCAAACCGGAACTATGCCCGTGGATGTTTTTACACGCTCTGCGCGCATACACATAGTGAAACGAAAAGTAATGTGAAACCACTCCATTGTGTAGATTGATGCTGTTGATCACTGGACTGTCTGGTCCAGCAGACTCAGCTGTTTACAGGCCATCGCTGCTACATTGGGTAGCTAGCTAGAAGTTGTATGTTGTACATGCTATCCAGATGTTCAATGGGTAGCCAGTAGGACTGCTACAAATAATCTTGAGGCGAATGTTGTTGTACAAATATATAGTAACAAATGTTTATTCATGAATACTTTATGGTCAATATATAGGAATTAAATAACAAACATATCATTTAACTAAGCTGAAACATTTAAATAAAATTGTGAGCCATGCTGGTAATAGAATGAGTGCCATGACGGCAATCTTCAAAATGCTCTTAAGCTCACTCTATTGCTTGGCTTACTTTGATAAACAACAAACAAGCTCCAATGAAAAATTCTTAAGATAAGTGTAAATATTTGATTCTGGTGTCCATGAATAATGGATTGAATTTATGAAGGAATATGGTTGGATTCACTGAATATTCAAGTGAATTGTATCAGGATTGGTAGCCAGCTTGGACCCATTGTACACTATCCATCCAAAAGTACAGTGGGTAGCCAGCTTGGACCCATTGTACACACTATCCATCCAAATGTACAGTGAGGCTAGCCAGCTTGGACCCATTGTACACACTATCCATCCAAATGTACAGTGGGTATCTATCCACCAATTGCACACACCTATCCATCAAATGTACAGAGGGTAGCCAGCTTGGACCCATTGTACACACTATCCATCCAAATGTACAGTGGGTAGCCAGCTTGGACCCATTGTACACACTATCCATCCAAATATACAGAGGGTAGCCAGCTTGGACCCATTGTACACTATCCATCCAAATATACAGAGGGTAGCCAGCTTGGACCCATTGTACACACTATCCATCCAAATGTACAGTGGGTAGCCAGGTAGCTGTACCCACTATCCCAGTATGTAGTAGGTAGCCAGGTAGAAGCTGTACACACTATCCAACTATGTGTAGCCAGGTAGCAGCTGGACATGTACACACTATCCATCCAAACATACACTGGGTAGCCAGACGGAGAATGTCCACCTATGGGTTAGGTGGTGCAATTTTCAACAGATTTGTCTTTGAGTCACTGAGTCCAAAATTGCTTAGTGACATATCTTTATAATCCACAGCACAAAGGAGGAAGCCCCTGCTGACAAAGTTGAGAAGGTTGGTGAGGATGTTGACGAAACCAAGTTGGCCATCAACATGCTAGCCCAGGGCAAGAGGAACATCATATGTGGCGAGATTCCCGTGGCTGTCAACCAGTTCCAGGAGGCCTGTGCCATGCTGTGAGTAAACACTCTGGTTGTCCGGAGTAAACACTCTGCACGTTTCCTGACTATCTACCAGTGATTTAGCTAAAACATACCCAATAAAATAACAGGATGGATTCTGATGTTGTGATCAGTAAAATATAATCTAAAAAAACTCTTATTTTACCAAGAGAAATATATTCTAGCTTTGTAATTTTAATTACAGGTTTTACTTTGTAATAAGTGTGAAATATGTATAATCATCACTAAGGTTATTCAAGATCACTTAGGTGTATTGCCGGTTGGGCTTGTATAATATAACCCATTTACAGGTTCAGACATGATATCAATATGTATTCTGATCACTGATCAAAAGCCCAGGATTTTGACATGCACCTCGGAAAACTCCAGAACACCGTGAATCTTCCAGATACTTTCGTCCATGTTGAGGATGATGAGGATCATTGATGGTCAGTGATGGTGGAGGACTGAGGATGTTGATGGTCATGAGTGGATTGACTGAATGATGGTGAGGATGGAATGATGATTGAGGACTGTTGATGGTCAGGAATGGATGGTGATGAGGACGTGATGGTCAGGACAGTGGATTGATGGATCTGGACTGAGTCAATGGTAGTGATTGAGGATGTTGATGGTGAATGGACTGAGGACGTAGTGATCAGAGGATGGATGATCAGGACTGGAATGGTTGTGGTCAACGGTGATGACTGAGGACGTTGATGGTCAGAATGGACAATGGACGCTGATCAATGGATTGAGGATGCTGATCAGAATCAGGATGTGGTAGAGGACGTTGAATGACATGAATGAGGACTGATGGTCAGAATGGATGGACTGAGGACGCTGACGAATGGAATGGACTGAGGACTGCTGGACAACTGGATGAGTGACCGAGGACAAGGACTGAGGACTGATGGACGGACAGGACTGAGGACGGACACGGAGGACTGGACTGAGGACTGGACAACGGACTGGATGGAGGGATGACTGAGGATGGATTGACTGGAGGATGGACAGTGACTGAGACAGTAGTGACTGAGGATGGACACAGGATGGAACGACTGACACACAGGTGATGACTGGAGGACATGGATGTAAATGGTGGTGGACTGAGGACAGGACACAGGATGGAACGACTGAGGATGGACACATGGATGGATGGATGGATGGCCACATGGACACAATGGTGGTGACTGAGGACTGAGGATGTTGATGGACACAGTAACGGAACGACTGAGGAGTGACTGAGGATGTTGATGGAAATGGTGGATGGAAGTGACTGAGGATGGAACGACTGAGGACAATGTAATGGTGATGGCCAGTGGATTGAGGATGTTGATGGTTGTAATGGAAAATGGTGGATGGAAGTGACTGAGGACTGATGGACAGAACTGACAGTAATGGTGGATGGTAGTGACTGAGGACACAGGAATGATGACATCAGAATGGACTGTAAGGGTGATAACAGTGACTGAATGATGGTGGATGGACAGGGACTGAGTGGAATGAACGGACTGAGGACAATGGTGGTAGTGGTGGATGGTAGTGATTGAGGATGTTGATGGTGGTAATGGTGGTGGTATGGATTGGAGGATGGATGGAATGACAAAGATGGATGTGAGGATGGATGGTAGTGATGGAGGACAATGGATGGACAATGGTGGTGGAATGGTAGTGATTGGAGGATGTTGGATGGTTGTAATGGTGATGAATGGTAGTGGATGAGGATGTTGATGGTTGTAATGGTTGCTAATGGTGGTGGTAGTGATTGGGAGGATGATGGATGGTTGTAATGGTGATGGTAGTGGATTGAGGATGTTGATGGTTGTAATATGGTGGATAATGGATGGAGGATGTGGTAGTGATTGAGGATGTTGATGGTTGTAATGGTTGTAATGGTGATAGTGGATGATTGAGGATGTTGATGGTTTGTATGTTTGTAATGGTGATGGTAGTGATTGAGGATGTTGATGGATGGTATGGAATGGTTGAGGATGGTAATGGACAAGGTAGTGATTGAGGATGTTGATGGTTGATGGTTGTAATGGTGATGGTAGTGATTGAGGATGTTGATGGATTGAATGGTTGTAATGGTGATGGTAGTGATTGAGGATGTTGATGGTTGTAATGGTGGTGGTAGTGATTGAGGATGTTGATGGTTGTAATGGTTGTAATGGTGATGGTAGTGATTGAGGATGTTGATGGTTGTAATGGTTGTAATGGTGGTGGTAGTGATTGAGGATGTTGATGGTTGTAATGGTTGTAATGGTGGTGGTAGTGATTGAGGATGTTGATGGTTGTAATGGTTGTAATGGTGATGGTAGTGATTGAGGATGTTGATGGTTGTAATGGTTGTAATGGTGATGGTAGTGATTGAGGATGTTGATGGTTGTAATGGTGGTGGTAGTGATTGAGGATGTTGATGGTTGTAATGGTTGTAATGGTGGTGGTAATGATTGAGGATGTTGATTAATGGTTGTAATGGTGATGGTAGTGATTGAGGATGTTGATGGTTGTAATGGTTGTAATGGTGATGGTAGTGATTGAGGATGTTGATGGTTGTAATGGTTGTAATGGTGATGGTAGTGATTGAGGATGTTGATGGTTGTAATGGTTGTAATGGTGATGGTAGTGATTGAGGATGTTGATGGTTGTAATGGTTGTAATGGTGGTGGTAGTGATTGAGGATGTTGATGGTTGTAATGGTGATGGTAGTGATTGAGGATGTTGATGGTTGTAATGGTTGTAATGGTGGTAGTGATTGAGGATGTTGATGGTTGTAATGGTGAAGTAATGGTGGTGGTAGTGATTGAGGATGTTGATGGTTTAATAGTAATGGTGATGGTAGTGATTGAGGATGTTGATGGTTGTAATGGTGATGGTGTAGTGATGGTGAGTGATTGAGGATGTTGATAGTTTTAATGGTTGTAATGGTGGTGGGAATGGTCGTGAATTTACTGGATTGTGAAGTTTGGTTTGAAGTTGTGTTAATTTTTGTTTCGCAATGTTTTGGATCTGAATGTTTTAAATATTTACTCAATAATGACCTGTGATCGTTGATATGTGTTGACCAAGTCAAGTTCTTTTCCTTGTTTCATTTTTGCCATATATGCTTGTCTCCCTTTCCCATCGAACGGCAACACGTGGAAACTTGAATTTCCTTTATATTATTGGTAACTGCCAGTTATCTTGTCATCTGACTTCGCCGTGGGGGTTGGCTTATGTACGAAAACATACCAGTTTGATACTGATTTTAATGGTCAAGTTAGGGGATCAGCTTGTCTGTGGTTATATGATACTATCTATCCGCCATGACAAACACGGACTGTTGAAGAACCCACAGAGATGTTTATGTAACTATCTAGCTCCTGTAAGTAGTTGACGTTTGTGTTGTCAGGGCCAAGAAGTAGAGGCGACCGGAGTGTGAGGCCTACTTCTGTTACGGTCAGTCACTGCTGGACCTGGCCCGGATGGAGACGTGGTCCTGGGGAACGCTCTGCAAGGGAGGGTGAGCCAGCTGGTGGGGGCACTTCACACAATCATCCACACTGTTAGTGATGTGAGGGGAATCATCTCTACCCACAAGCTCCACACACACAATAGGTTATTGTTGTTTGCTACTGCTGATGGTTCTGGAAGTGTGTTGAAGGATGATGATGGTAATGTTATTAAGGAGATTCTATCACTAAGTGTGTGTTGTACATACCTAATCTACTTTCCTTGTTTCATTTTGCCATATATGCTTGTCTCCCTTTCCCATCGAACGGCACGTGGAAACTTGAATTTCCTTTATATTATTGGTAACTGCCAGTTATCTTGTCATCTGACTTCGCCGTGGGGGTTGGCTTATGTACGAAAACATACCAGTTTGATACTGATTTTAATGGTCAAGTTAGGGGATCAGCTTGTCTGTGGTTATATGATACTATCTATCCGCCATGACAAACACGGACTGTTGAAGAACCCACAGAGATGTTTATGTAACTATCTAGCTCCTGTAAGTAGTTGACGTTTGTGTTGTCAGGGCCAAGAAGTACGGGGAGACGGCAACGGAGTGTGCGGAGGCCTACTTCTGTTACGGTCAGTCACTGCTGGACCTGGCCCGGATGGAGACGGGGGTCCTGGGGAACGCTCTGCAAGGAGGTGAGCCAGCTGGTGGGGGCACTTCACACAAACTCATCCACTGTTACTCCTGTAAAATAGAATCATCTCTACCTCAAGCTCCACATACACACAAGGAGTATTGTTTGCTACTGTTGATAGTTCTGGAAGTGTTGCTGAAGGATGATATTTAATGATTATTAAGGAGATTCTATCACTAAATGTGTGTTGTACATACCTAATCTACCAAACTAGCGGTGCTGACAGGCTTCTATGTGGGTCATTTGGCTGAGGTAGCTGTAGAGCTGACCAAGATTAACCACCAATTTTTTTCGCTGTTGTGTATTTGATGTGTAGACAGTTGGGATGAAATCATGATTAAGTCTGAAACTGACATTCTGCAGTTGATGTTGACACAGAAGACGATGCTGAGGAGAAGGAAGCAGCGAAAGATGAACAGTTTGAAAAACCAGAAAACCTTGAAGGTGAGCAAAGCCTCGGTTCGTCAGTGAGACAAAACAGTGGTTCTCATTGCCAGAACAGATGGCAGACAGTCTGATGGGGTAGGTCTGGTCATCAAATACTAGTGGCCAGAGAATTGATGGAACCGTCTCCCTGTTGGTTGTCATGGTTACCTGTGTTCTTGTAATCAAACCTCTGGACTGCTTGTTCTGTCATGTGACCTTGTCATCTGTGATATTCCTGTGACAGGGTACGTGGAGGCTGCTGATGGCTGGTAGCTGATGCTTCTTCTGTAGGGTGTCCAGGGGCAAATAGCTTCTTGAAATCTTTAATAGAAATCGACCACGGCTATGTCATGGCAGTATCTATATGGGTCCTTTGTTTGGCTTTTCTTTATTTTATTGTGGAATTTGTTTTTAATTGTTTTTTTATCCCCTCAGCTATGAACAATAACAATGAAAACCAAGTTACAGCACCTGTCATTTTCGACTTTGCATTAAGCAGTGAATTTTACTCTGAGAAATTGAAGGTAGATGACTGGACTTGTAATATTATTTTCTCACCATGACATTGAGGTGTTCTTCAGGTGCAGTTTGTCGTTGTTGAAGGAATGTTGTGCTGTAGGCTGTCAGTCACTATGGCCACAACACCTAAGTTGTGTTAACATTTACAAACAGGCCGCATGGTGTAATAGGTTATTCCAAACAGACATGTTTCTGGATTATTATTTTTTGACGTTAGAATCCTAGTGTAAGATGTGAACCCTGCTGATAATGCTACAAGCCGGGACCCTGAGACGTGTCGTATCACAATGTGGGAACTGTTGGTTTGCTTTGCTATTTCCATGCTCTCCTGCTTCTGTACTTGTGCTTCGCTTTGCTTTATTAGTTGCTGTGTTTGTTGTCACAGTAGTGAATTGGTCGTCGTACAATGTAGACTGCACTGTAGTGGTTCTGTGCCGAGAGGGTGCTGGTAGGGGTGAAACGGTACGCTCTGACCACGGTACGGTACGCATTGCGGTACACGCATTATGGTACAAAAGGCCTTCGGTTCGGTATGTTTCAGTTCGGTATGTTTCAGTTCGGTATATGAGATATCATAATGCAGAAAAGAAATGTATAGATTTTGACAAAATGATTCGATTTCTAGACGTTTTAGAAAAGGTTTTAACGGTTAATAAAATGACGGTACGAAAACTGAATATACTGATGTTTTGGAGGCAAAATACCACGGTTCTACTAATGCCATGGTATACCGTTTCACCCCTAGGTTCTGGGTCTCTTCTTGGTCGAGAGGGGCCACCCAGAACACACTGGGACCTGAGTGGTGATGTTGTCGACCCTGACGTTCTATCAACTACGTTTGTATAGCCCAGGTGATTGTATGGTCAGTGCTAAAGGTGAAATGTTCACATGCCACTGACGTTCTATCAACTACGTTTGTATAGCCCAGGTGATTGTATGGTCAGTGCTAAAGGTGAAATGTTCACATGCCACTGACGTTCTATCAACTACGTTTGTATAGCCCAGGTGATTGTATGGTCAGTGCTAAAGGTGAAATGTTCACATGCCACTGACGTTCTATCAACTACGTTTGTATAGCCCAGGTGATTGTATGGTCAGTGCTAAAGGTGAAATGTTTGTGCCACTGGCGTTCTATCAACTACGTTTGTATAGCCCAGGTGATTGTATGGTCAGTGCTAAATGCCACTGAATGTATTTGACAGGTGATATCATGGTATCCGTGTGTGGCTGAAATAGTTAAAGTACGAATACTGAAAGGCATCACATGACAAGTGTTTAGATGTATACAGAGTGAAATTGATCGTTGCTTCTCGTACACTGTACTAAGATTCAGCGCAAGTGTCCCAGTCAATGGACCCAATCAGTAACCATGGTAACTGGTTGTGACTATGAACCTTACTGACTTCATGTTTTTCTTTTTGAGTTTGAATTTTCACTTAACTTTGAGTGTGGATTTTCAACAGGAGAAGAAAGGGAGAAACTAAGAATGGAGATATATGATGCTATGTCTGAGAAAGATAAGACTGAAGTGACGAAAGGGCAGGACAACGGCATGGATGTGGACATGGAGGACGAGAACAAGGACAAGGAGAACGTAGAAAACAAAGAAAATACAAACACTGATAAGGATGGTTCCCACAGTAAAACTGATAAAATTTTAACAGAAAAAAATGCAAATATAGAAGAAAAGGTTTTAGAAAAGGTTAAAAATAGTGAAAATATGGAAGAAATTGTGAAGAAAGACTGTGAAGGAGACAAGAGTGGTGGGGAGGGGAAGAAGGGGTTGGAGGAGACAGAGAGTATGGAAACAGATGACAAACCTGTAGAACAAGGCAACAACATGGAGGCTGAGGAAACAAAGAAAGATGAAACTACGGATAAAGAGTCTAAATCACCAGATGCTGAAGATGACTCCAAGAAGGATGAGGAAGCTAAAACAGAAGGTGACACCAAGAAAGACAGTGATGCCAAAACAGAAGGCGACGCCAAGAAAGATGGTGATGCCAAAACAGAAGGTGACACCAAGAAAGACAGTGATGCCAAAACAGAAGGCGACGCCAAGAAAGATGGTGATGCCAAAACAGAAGGTGACACCAAGAAAGACAGTGATGTTAAAACAGAAGGTGACACCAAGAAAGATGGTGATGCCAAAACAGAAGATGTCAAGAAAGACGGTGACGCCAAAACAGAAGATGTCAAGAAAGACGGTGACGCCAAAACAGAAGATGTCAAGAAAGACGGTGACGCCAAAACAGAAGACACCAAGAAAGAAGGCGACATCAAGAAAGATGAAGGAAAAGCTGAAGCTGTAAAGGGAGATGAAGACAAAGAAGTGAAGAAGGATGGAGAGAAGGATACAAGCGCCACTAAGAAGGAAAATGGGGAAGCTGATGCGGCTATGGAAACGGGTGAAAAAGGTTAAGATTACCTGGGAGATGTTTTAGCTAACCTTATTTTATTTTGATGACATAACACTTGACCGCACTTGTTTGGTATTGTTTCTGCACGTGTGAAGAACACTTCCCAGTCTGTCCTGGCTTTTCAAGCGCATGCTTCTTGTTGTGTAACCTTCCTCTCTCCAGCTAACCATGTTTTGTAACTCCGCAGCATAATGAGACCCTTCTTGTCCAAGCTGTATGCTACATGTTTGTTCACCTAAAGCAACAGTGTTGGATTTCCTTGTTGAAACATGGGCGATTCGTTAGCCTAGTGGTTACAGCGTTCGCTCATCACACTAAAGACCAGGGTTTGATTCCCCACATGGGTAAAGTGAAGCGCATTTCTGGTGTCCCCCACCGTGATATTGCTGGAATATTGCTGAAAGCGGCGTAAAACCAAACTCACTCACTCCTCGTTGAAACATTCAAAGTGGTTGTAAGTACAGCTTTCACACCGCAACACAAACATCGAGTCCCACTCAATGGAAGGTATAATTATACAAACTGCTAGTTAGCTGACAGTCAGTCTTTTAAATGGAGCATGACCTTGATGGATGTCTTGTATTACTGGACTTGCTGCCATTCTTTGGTTCACTTGGTGAGAGGTGTTTGTTTCTGACAGTAGACAGTAAACCTAAAATGTCTTCTGTGGTAAGAAGGTCAAATGTTTGTGTGGATTCTTGTACAAGTTTGGTTTAAGCGTCTGCCGAAGACGCGGGTTCGATTCCCAACATGGGTGCAATGTGTCTAGCCCATTTCTGGCGTCCCCCCGCCATTATATTGCTGGAATATTGCTAAAAGCGACGTAAACCCACTTACTGACTGACTCACTCACTCTGGTACAAGTTGTTTGAATTTTGTTATTTTGTTTTGAAGAAACTGGCGAGTCTTCAGCAACCAAAGATGACAAAGAAGCTGAAGAGGAAGAGGGTGAAGATGAGGAGGCGGAGGAAGAAGAGGAGGAGGCGACGGCGGCAGAGGGAGCAGAAGGAACCAGTGAGCCGAAGGAGGGAGAGGTAATGAATTGTGGAGGGTGATGAAGGGGGTTGGAGGGTGATGAAGGGGGGGTGGAGGTTGATGAAGGGGGTTGGAGGGTGATGAAGGGGGGTTGGAGGAAGGGGGTTGGAGGTTGATGATGAAGGGGGTGATGAGGGGGGTGATGAAGGGGGTTGGAAGGGGGTTGGATGATGAAGGGGTTGGAGGGTGATGAAGGGGGTGGAGGGTGATGAAGGGGGTGGAGGGGTGATGAAGGGGGTTGGAGGTTGATGAGGGGTTGGAGGTGATGAGGGGGGTGGAGGGGATGGAGGGGGTTGGAGGTGAAGGGGGGTGGAGGGTGATGAAGGGGGTGGAGGGTGATGAAGGGGGTGGAGGGGGGATGGAGGGGGTGATGAAGGAGGTGGATGAAGGGGGTTGGAGGGTGATGAAGGGGGTTGGAGGGTGATGAAGGGGGTTGGAGGTGAGGGTGAGAAGGGGGGTGGAGGGTGATGAAGGGGGTTGGAGGGTGAAGGGGGGTGGAGGGTGATGAAGGGGGTGGAGGGTGATGTTGATGAAGGGGGTGGAGGGGTGATGAAGGGGGGGTGGAGGGTGATGAAGGGGGAAGGGGGGTGGAGGGTGATGAAGGGGGTGGAGAAGGTGATGAAGGGGGTGGAGGGTGATGGATGAAGGGGTGGAGGTTGATGGAATGAAGGGGGTTGGAGGGTGATGAAGGGGGGTGGAGGGTGAGGGGCTGGAGGGTGATGAGGGGAGGTTGGATGAAGGAGGTTGGAGGTTGATGAAGGGGGTTGGAGGGTGATGAAGGGGGTTGGAGGTTGATAAATTCATGCATTCTCTTTCGACAGGCTTTTTGTCAAGATTAAGTTAAGATTCTGGTGGAGACGTATGAACTTTCTCAAATCATTTGCTATTTAAACAGAAAAAGCTTTTTAGAAATATCTAATTCCCATTTTGAGCAGGAAGACTGTGACGATGTGTCAAATCTACAGCTGGCCTGGGAGATGTTGGAACTCGCCAAGATGATCTACCTCAAGTGAGTTGGGGCAAGGGGTGTTCTGACAAGCTTTCTTTCTCCAGGCATGAGAATTTTCCGCTGATTCGCATATTTCAAATATTATCAATTTGGGTAATTTTTTTAGATGAGCATAAATCTGCATTAACATTTTAAGTGGGACTGACAGCCCTTATAATAATTTTCCTTTTAAAATTGAAATTGGCTGTTCTGGTGCCTGTTTCTCAAACAATGTTATGAACCATGTGATAGCTATCGCGATACAATGGTGCGGATATGGGTAAACACCTGTCAGCTGAGTATACTGAATCCTGTTTCTGGGGGCTCATGCCTCGTTCTCCCCTCGAGTGCAGCTGTAATCTCACTGATGTGGCGTGAAGCTGTAATCTCACTGATGTGGTGTGAAGCTGTTATCTCACTGATGTGGCGTGAAGCTGTAATCTCACTGATGTGGCATGAAGCTGTAATCTCACTGATGTGGCATGAAGCTGTAATCTCACTGTGGTGTGAAGCTGTAATCTCACTGATGTGTGTGAAGCTGTAATCTCACTGATGTGGCTGTAAGCTCACTGTGTGGTGTGAATCTCACTGATGTGGCGTGAAGCTGTAATCTCACTGATGTGGCGTGAAGCTGTGATGTGGCGTGAAGCTGTAATCTCACTGATGTGTGTGAAGCTGTTATCTCACTGATGTGGCGTGAAGCTGTTATCTCACTGATGTGGCGTGAAGCTGTTATCTCACTGATGTGGCGTGAAGCTGTAATCTCACTGATGTGGCGTGAAGCTGTAATCTCACTGATGTGGCGTGAAGCTGTAATCTCACTGATGTGGCGTGAAGCTGTTATCTCACCGATGTGGTGTGAAGCTGTTATCTCACTGATGTGATGTGGCGTGAAGCTGTTATCTCACTGATGTGATGTGGCGTGAAGCTGTTATCTCACTGATGTGGCGTGAAGCTGTTATCTCACTGATGTGGCGTGAAGCTGTAATCTCACTGATGTGGCGTGAAGCTGTAATCTCACTGATGTGGCGTGGAAGCTGTAATCTCACTGATGTGGCGTGAAGCTGTTATCTCACCGATGTGGTGTGAAGCTGTTATCTCACTGATGTGATGTGGCGTGAAGCTGTTATCTCACTGATGTGATGTGGCGTGAAGCTGTTATCTCACTGATGTGGCGTGAAGCTGTTATCTCACTGATGTGGGTGAAGCTGTAATCTCACTGATGTGGCGTGAAGCTGTAATCTCACTGATGTGGCGTGAAGCTGTACTCTCACTGATGTGGCGTGAAGCTGTTATCTCACTGATGTGGCGTGAAGCTGTTATCTCACTGATGTGGTGTGAAGCTGTTATCTCACTGATGTGATGTGGCGTGAAGCTGTTATCTCACTGATGTGGCGTGAAGCTGTTATCTCACTGATGTGGCGTGAAGCTGTTATCTCACTGATGTGATGTAGCGTGAAGCTGTTATCTCACTGATGTGGTGTGAAGCTGTTATCTCACTGATGTGATGTGGCGTGAAGCTGTTATCTCACTGATGTGGCGTGAAGCTGTTATCTCACTGATGTGGCGTGAAGCTGTAATCTCACTGATGTGGCGTGAAGCTGTAATCTCACTGATGTGGCGTGAAGCTGTACTCTCACTGATGTGGCGTGAAGCTGTTATCTCACTGATGTGGCGTGAAGCTGTTATCTCACTGATGTGGCGTGAAGCTGTAATCTCACTGATGTGGCGTGAAGCTGTAATCTCACTGATGTGGCGTGAAGCTGTAATCTCACTGATGTGGCGTGAAGCTAATGTACTTGTCAATGAGAACTGTATGTTGTGTACGTTGTTTCAGGGATACTACAACTGAGGCTCAACTGAAGGCAGCACAGGCGTACTTGAAACTTGGGGAAGTCAGTCTAGAAACAGGTGCGTAGTTCTACAGGCACAGTCGCATCAGTTTGGGGAGGCTATCTTATCAGATTCTGCACTAGAACGTAACTTATTTCGTCTGTTTATTGAGCCTTTGCACATGTTTGGTAATAGGTGAGGAGCTTGTGCATGGTCTGGATCCATGGCCTTGTATATCACTAGAGAAGATCAGGCAACACAGCCTAACAGTGGCCATTCATCTGAAGACCATGTTATATTTCCTGTGGCTGAGTACAATGTTTTATGATGTTTACCAGATGACATCCATGGCAATGTCCTGACACATGCTGATTGTACTAGCGGCGTTGTGAGGCTAGTTCCGGGTACAGCCTATACACACCGATTTAGTAACATAGTATAGATGTGGTAGTTGACGTGCTGGTTCACATTGTATTTCAGAGCAGTACGAGCAGGCTACCGAGGACTTCAAGGCTTGTCTAGAGATCCAGAAGAAGCATCTTGAAGCCACCGACAGATTGCTTGCTGAATCGTATCCTTTGGTCAGTGTAGCGGATGTTGCCACGCTCTAGTTTCACTTCACCCCTCATGACTCGTGTTATGCTTGTAGATAAGCCTCATACTGTAAATCACAATTTTTTAGCGAGTATATTTTTGTGAAAATTGCCTATGACTTGAGCTCACAAAAATATCATGACCCAATTTATTATTCACCAGTTCATATAATCAACAACGGATCTAGACAATACATCAATTAAGCAATGACAACAACTTGGGGAAGTCTAATTACTAGCATTACTAGTACTCACATGTCAAACAGGGGATACTCGAACTGAATCAGTACATCAGATAGTCCAGACAGGCGTCAACTACTCAACACGTATTCTGTATCTTTAGACACCCTTTGATAGGCCGACACCATCCAACAGGCGTGGATTCTGTATCTTTAGAGACCCTTTGATAGGCCGACACCATCCAACAGGTGTGGATTCTGTATCTTTAGAGACCCTTTGATAGGCCGACACCATCCAACAGGCGTGGATTCTGTATCTTTAGAGACCCTTTGATAGGCCGACACCATCCAACAGGTGTGGATTCTGTATCTTTAGAGACCCTTTGATAGGCCGACACCATCCAACGGGCGTGTATAGGTTTCATCACACTCATCTGGAGATCAACAGCTTTGGTGATGTCATTGTAAACAATTTGATAGAGGCATTCCAATTAATATAAACCCTTTGATCTGGCCTGTGCAGCATGTGTTTCTAGGAAAACACAGAAGTACTCTACTGAGCTCAGTTTAAGATTAGCTGCAACCTTTAATGTGTGATTGGATTTACATTAGGTTGAACTTTCAGTTGCAATCTATTTTTGAGAATTAGGCAAGTCACAAAAAGATGACGCAAAAACGTCTGCTGGTCGTCTGTTGGTACGGTAAATATCGTGATGAAACATTTCGTGATTTACAGTACCCAGGATCGAGTCCATTATTCTCCAGTGTTGTAGATAGCCTGACACCCAGGATCGAGTCCATCATTCTCCAGTGTTGTAGATAGCCTGATACACAGGATCGAGTCCATTATTCTCCAGTGTTGTAGATAGCCTGATACCCAGGATCGAGTCCATTATTCTCCAGTGTTGTAGATAGCCTGATACACAGGATCGAGTCCATTATTCTCCAGTGTTGTAGATAGCCTGACACCCAGGATTGAGTCCATCATTCTCCAGTGTTGTAGATAGCCTGATACCCAGGATTGAGTCCATTATTCTCCAGTGTTGTAGATAGCCTGACACCCAGGATCGAGTCCATCATTCTCCAGTGTTGTAGATAGCCTGATACACAGGATCGAGTCCATCATTCTCCAGTGTTGTAGATAGCCTGATACCCAGGATCGAGTCCATCATTCTCCAGTGTTGTAGATAGCCTGATACCCAGGATCGAGTCCATTATTCTCCAGTGTTGTAGATAGCCTGATACCCAGGATCGAGTCCATTATTCTCCAGTGTTGTAGATAGCCTGATACACAGGATCTAGTCCATCATTCTCCAGTGTTGTAGATAGCCTGATACCCAGGATCGAGTCCATTATTCTCCAGTGTTGTAGATAGCCTGATACACAGGATCTAGTCCATTATTCTCCAGTGTTGTAGATAGCCTGACACCCAGGATCGAGTCCATTATTCTCCAGTGTTGTAGATAGCCTGATACACAGGATCGAGTCCATTAATCTCCAGTGTTGTAGATAGCCTGATACCCAGGATTGAGTCCATTATTCTCCAGTGTTGTAGATAGCCTGATACCCAGGATCGAGTCCATCATTCTCCAGTGTTGTAGATAGCCTGATACCCAGGATTGAGTCCATTATTCTCCAGTGTTGTAGATAGCCTGACACCCAGGATCGAGTCCATTATTCTCCAGTGTTGTAGATAGCCTGATACCCAGGATCGAGTCCATCATTCTCCAGTGTTGTAGATAGCCTGATACCCAGGATCGAGTCCATTATTCTCCAGTGTTGTAGATAGCCTGATACCCAGGATCGAGTCCATTATTCTCCAGTGTTGTAGAGAGCCTGACACCCAGGATTGAGTCCATTATTCTCCAGTGTTGTAGATGTAAATGTCTGAACCTGCATCACAAGCCTTGAGGCTGACATGGCACTGAACTTCTTGTCATACTGTCGAAATAATTACAGCAGTGGTGAAACTAGCTAACATAATAAGTATGATTGATTCTAGATTTATTCAAGATAAATGTGAGAAGAACTAGTCTGAATGATCATGTGTCCTCGAATGTAGCTGTTTTACTGTGTACAGGTGTCCCTGTCTGCCAAGCCCTTGTTTACAGCTCACCTCAGGAGAGATTGTGTCCATCATCCTTTATCCTCTGGTATCTAAGAATATTCATAACAAATGTAGGGGCAGGGAATTATATCCTGTTCCTCGCTTATTAGTTGTGGTAAGTGTTAGTCAAGAACTATACTGATTGGACCTTAACGATGTGAGACATTACCAGCTGGGATTAGCATTTGGCTTCGACAAGAAGTACGAGGAGTCAGTCGAACACTACAAGGCAGCAATAAAAGTTATCGAAGAAAAAATGAGTGAGTTTGAATGTTTCCTTTATTTTTATTCAATATTTGATGTGCATTCTCAGTAAATACTTAAGGCTGCTGTGTGGCAGTTGCTGTGTTTTGCTGTGCCGATTGCCACGTGTGCCTCTGCTGTTGCCACGAGTGACTCCGCTGGGGTCCACGAGTGACTTGTGATGTAAGGAGTGACTGACTATCAATTAGGGATGTCACGATACATAAGTTACAGTTCACAATACCCATGTCATGATTCGATACGCATCACGATACCTATTTTCGACATTATTGCGTAAATTTAGTTACATTTTGAACATTAATATTTCTTATTTTATAATTGTCCATCCAAAGATCAACATTTTTGATTCTCAGAGATTAAATAGTTCTAATTTCCCATCTTTGTGCCAGAAAAATAATCATTTATAACTCTCACAACATCAAACAAACATGACACAGTTGCAAAATGTAAACGATACATAAACATATTTAAACCGATACTTTCAAAACTACATATCGATACAGTTTTGAATGTATCGACAATAGTATCGTTTTAGAAAAAGTATCATCCCTAGTATCAATGTTCATTGCCCATCTGAACTGAGAATCTAGAGAGTTCTGTGACAGTTGCTGACAGTATAACATTCTGCACATCTTGTCCAGTGTTGTTTACTACACTGGGATTAAGTGTTTGATGAGGTTGCTTTGGAAAATAAAGATGATATGTTTTGTTTGTTTTTACAAATTGCTGAATATTTTGCCAGGTCACCTTGAAAAGGTCATTGAAGAGAACTCCAAGGGAAAAGGCAAAGGTGAGCAGATTTATTTAGAAATACAAACCTGTCAATGTCTCCTTTCTATCAGGGTACATCCCATTTTCTACCGTAGTTACATCTGAAACTTATCTCTACCGCAGCACCAAATGGCTCTTGTTTGAGTTTGGCATTGACAGTTGTGCCTTTGTATTGTTGAGCCATTGTATGAATAAGACATTGTAAGTGAGGGAGTTTTAGTATTTTATGAACCTATTGCTTGACAGTGTTGTTCCTGAGTATGAAGTTCCAGTTATAGTTTGAGAAGGTAATAAAATATGTTGAGTACTGCTTGTTTCAACAGCGACAGTATGACCTTGTTGTTGGATTATTTGGTGCAGGGTTTTAGTCAGTGACATTAGTGATGTAAACGGTCGAGGATGTACAAGGTGTAGTTTCCTTGCAGCAGAGAACAAAGCACTTCTGTATTAAATACTGTCAAGTTTAATGTTTATTGTCAGATAAATCAGAAAATAATCCTGTTTTCAGAACTATCAAGTTCCGATGATCCAGTAACACAGGCAACAAAAGAAATCTCAGAATTGAAGGAAATCCTGCCTGATATTGCCTCCAAGGTATGCAGACTTGTCATCACCATGCCTACTTAAAACAATTTTATCAGACCTTCGGATTATCTGTGACGCAAAGTATGGAGATTGTTCTATGACTACATGTTAAGATTTCAACTCTCACGGGGAAATGTGTGGGCGAGATGGACCTTCAGGTGTGTGTGCACTACTGACTAATTGATGATGATGTTGATTAAAAATTTTTTCTGTACAATGACCTTGGCTCTATTACCCCAAGTGATCGTAGCTCGGTCTTTGGTCTGTTGTGTATTGTAGTAATGATCTTCCTGGCGCTAACTAAATACCTTTTATGGCATGGTGCCCAAAAACACTGTATTGACATGTGCTCAAGTTTGACATGAAACCGTGGGTGGCCTCCATGCTGTGAAGTCTGGTGGCTGTAGCTGCAGAAATACATCTTACGTTCTACGGATGGTTCATTTCAGCAGATTGAAGATGCAGAGGAGGAGAAGAAGAACCTGGAACAGCTCAAGACGATGACCAAGGAAATAGTTGGAGGAACACTGACCACAGTAAGTTGGGGGGGCAACTTTGTCTTCACTTTCAAGATCACTGCGTTCTAAAACCTGGCACCTGCATCATGTTTGCTCATGGATGTTATTAATATTTTCTTCAAATTTTGCTTCAGTTTACATCACAAAGTGAAAAGACAGAAACAGCTAAACCGGTAAGTGTGCCTGCTCGCTCAATCCGCGTCTCAGTCGGGTGTCGTCATATGAGCAAAATATTCTCAAGCACGACATTAAACCCAATTTCACCTCAGTCGGGTGTATTTCACTGAAGTTATGACAGCAGCTTCGCTGTATTTGCTGTAATAACAAGGTCACGAAGGGTGTCGGAGTTCAGCTGTACACACGTTACGGATGAGGACGTCACAAACTGTTGTATGATAGCTAGTACTAGCTGTACTAGTATGACAGCTGTATTTTAATGGATGCAAATATTGGTCTCCTGAATCCTAGACCGATAGAAATACTCAACATCAACAATGAGCAAGTCCGTCCCTTAAAGCTTTTACCATTTATCTGTTTTCTTTGTGGCATCTCCTGTGGAAATGCGCTTTGAAAAAGATGAATCTTTTAGACATTTTATCTTTTCCTATGCATGCAATGTAAGTTCCAACCATGTAACTGTTGAAATGGACAAAGTTGTCTTTGAGCACATAATGTGAGCACTTCTAATAACTTTATGAACAGAGTTTGTCTTGTTCATTCCTAAACTGATCAAGTTACTCGGCCCTTAAATTTCTCCTTCACCTCTGCTGCTTTATCTGTAAACACGGTGTGACACACACTGGGATAGTACACGCTTTATCTGTAAACATTGTGTGACGCACAGGGAGAGTACACACTGATGTATGTGTGTATCTGTAAATATTCTGTGACGGGGAGAGTACACACTGTATGTGTTTATCTGTAAACACTGTGTGACACAGGGAGAGTACACACTGATGTATGTGTTTATCTGTAAACATTGTGTGACACAGGGAGAGTACACACTGATGTATGTGTTTATCTGTAAACATTGTGCCACACAGGGAGAGTACACACTGATGTATGTGTTTATCTGTAAACATTGTGCCACACAGGGAGAGTACACACTGATGTATGTGTTTATCTGTAAACATTGTGTGACACAGGGAGAGTACACACTGATGTATGTGTTTATCTGTAAACATTGTGCCACACAGGGAGAGTACACACTGATGTATGTGTTTATCTGTAAACATTGTGTGACACAGGGAGAGTACACACTGATGTATGTGTGAACTTATGATTGGTACTTGGTACCTGATTATCTGGAACATGGTCATAGCTGTATGTGGGCTCTGGTCACTGGAGGTAATCAGACCAAGGCTTCCTAGTGATACGTCCTCAATGAACCTTGAATTTGTGTGGTTTTATCAGTCAACTAGAATACAGTTGAACATGGTTTAGGTTGATATCTGTCCAACCAGTCACACATCTCGTGTTTTGTTCCAGATTGAAGTAAAGAAAGCTTCAGACATCAGCCATCTCATCAGGAGGAAGGTAGGTTGGGATCATTTCTACAGATTCTCACAAACATCTAGATTTCACTGAAGTACGTTGACTTTCCGTTTTGAAAACATTGATGCTTGAATAGTTCTTGGACAGTTTGCTGTGTGATTCATCATCTGTGGCAGTGCTGTATCTGATAACTATTTGTTCACTTATGATCAGCTAACTCAGGACGACAGTTACATCGGATCCACGCCTTCTGGGTTTGAATCTCTTCAGTTTGCTAATGTTCTATGGTATGAGTAAACAACATTTACGGCCACACATTGTGAAAGTATTAAAACTGTTTCTGAAGATGTTTAACAATCTCCCTTATGCGTATGCGGATTGATCTGTATATTTCCAGCGTAAACCTGATGCGGATTGATCTGTATATTTCCAGCGTAAACCTGATGCGGATTGATCTGTATATTTCCAGCGTAAACCTGATGCGGATTGATCTGTATATTTCCAGCGTAAACCTGATGCGGATTGATCTGTATATTTCCAGCGTAAACCTGATGCGGATTGATCTGTATATTTCCAGCGTAAACCTGATGCGGATTGATCTGTATATTTCCAGCGTAAACCTGATGAGGATGCAGATGACCCAGAATCTAAGAAATCCCGACAGGAAGATGGCTCCGGTGACGCCCCCAAAGAGAACGGCCATGCCAAACCTGCTGCCACGTAGACATGGTGGGAGGTGCGATGGTGGTGGTGGGGACATGGTGGTGGTTAGGTATGGTGGTTGGTGGTACAACATGGTGGGGAGGTATGATGGTGGTTACAACATGGTGGGGGAGCTACGATGGTGGTTACAACATGGTGGGGAGCTACGATGGTGGTTACAACATGGTGGGGCAGCTACGATGGTGGTTACAACATGGTGGGGCAGCTACGATGGTGGTTACAACATGGTGGGGGAGCTACGATGGTGGTTACAACATGGTGGGGAGCTACGATGGTGGGAGATCACGATGGTGGTTACAACATGGTGGTTTTCACAACATGGTGGGGAGGTACGATGGATGGTGGTTACAACATGGTGGGGGAGCTACGATGGTGGTTACAACATGGTGGGGGAGCTACGATGGTGGTTACAACATGGTGGGGGAGCTACGATGGTGGTTACAACATGGTGGGGCAGCTACGATGGTGGTTACAACATGGTGGGGCAGCTTCGATGGTGGGGTGGGGAGCTACGATGGTGGTTACAACATGGTGGGGAGGCTACGATGGTGGTTACAACATGGTGGGGGAGCCACGATGGTGGTTACAACATGGTGGGGAGCCACGATGGTGGTTACAACATGGTGGGGAGAATACGATGGTGGTTATTTACAACATGGTGGGGAGCCTCTGATGGTGGTTACAACATGGTGGGGAGCCACGATGGTGGTTACAGCATGGTGGGGAGCTACATGGTAGTTACATGGTGGTGGGAGCTACGATGGTGGTTACAACATGGTGGGGCCTACCATGGTGGTTACAGCATGGTGGGGCACCTCACGATGGTGGGCAGGTGGTTACAACATGGTGGGGAGCCACGATGGTGGTTACAACATGGTGGGGGAGCCACGATGGTGGTTACAACATGGTGGGGGGAGCATATGATGGTGGTTACAACATGGTGGGGAAGCTACGATGGTGGTTACAACATGGTGGGGAGACTACAACATGCGATGGTGGGGATGGTGGTTACAACATGGTGGGGAGGTACGATGGTGGTTACAACATGGTGGGGCAGCTACGATGGTGGTTACAGCATGGTGGGTGGCTTGGTGGTTACAACATGGTGGGGAAGCTACATGGTGGGGAGCTGCTATGGTGGGGACATGGTGGTTACAACATGGTGGGGAACAACATGGTACGATGGTGGTTACAACATGGTGGGGGAGCTACGATGGTGGTTACAACATGGTGGGGCAGCTACGATGGTGGTTACAACATGGTGGGGCAGCTACGATGGTGGTTACAACATGGTGGGGAGAGGTAGGTTGGTGGTTACAACATGGTGGGGACCTACGATGGTGGTTACACAACATGGTGGGGACAACTGGTGGATTTACCATGGTGGTTTACAACATGGAGGGGGAAAGGGGATTTATGACACTGTAGGGGAAAGGGGGTTTATGACATTGTGTGGTGAGGTACGATGGCGGAAGGTGGTTACAGCAGTTTGGGTGGTGGTGGTGGTGGTGGTGTGGGGAAGGGTGGTAGTTGTTGTCGACCACAGTGTTGGTGTTGAGGAGAGGTATGATGGGGCTTCCGACATGGTAAGTGGGTGATAGTTGTCGACCACAGTGTTGAGGAGAGGTATGATGGTGCTTCCGACGTGATAGGTGGGTGATAGTTGTGGAGCACAGTGTTGGTTTTATCAGCTCATTATTTCATTTTGTTTCAGAAGAAAGAGGACACCCCTGACGTCGTCCCTGAAGCGGAGCCCATGGCAACATGAATACATCTTTGTTTGTGTTGTGGAGGTGATCTGTTAGTCTCTGGTGTGAGAACTTTGTACATACAGTTGTCCATGTATATACTTAGTTGTACTGTTTCCATTTCATCTGCCATTTGTACAAAATCAAAATAAATTGTTTGCACCTGTTTTTGTCATGTTCACATTTTTCATTCTCCCTAAATTATCAATCCAGGATTGGTACAGTAGACAATCAGTTAATATGGACTCTTTAGTTAGCCGTCATGGATTTGTTGAAATGTCCATGTTCGAGGTGCTGCTTGAGCCAGCCCATTGTAATACAAGGTTGCAGTGGATAAGACCACTCTGTGAAGGCAGGCACAACTGCCATCTTGTAACATCTTTAGTGGCCAGGGGATGAAACCTTGTCCTGTGCAGTTCTTCCAACTGGCTCTGGGGGCGGTGGGGTAGCCTAGTGGTTAAAGCATCCGCTCGTCACACCACTCGTTCGAATCCCCACATAGGGACACCAGAAATGGGCTTCACACATTGTACCAGATGTTGCTGGAATATTGCTAAAAGCGGCGTAAAACTAAACTCAGTTAGTCCAACTTGGCCCGGGGAATACATTCATTGCATTCAAGGTCATGTCAGCTTGTATGCATGTTTAGGATGGGCAAAACGAGTCATAAAAGCATTCATCAATACTCCAGGCTTCAACACTTTCCAAGCATCTATATCTAAACTGAAATAATAAAAGTTCAAATCCATGTTGGTTGTCTTCATTGTTAATACAGAAGGTCGGTGTTCATGAACAATTTGAATATTGCATGCACAGTTGTCAAGGAGACCTTTCAGGTTGTCAGAAGTAGTAGACGTTTCCTTAGAGGACAGCACCAAGTATGACAGGACTCATTGGACATGTCAGTACCTGCAGCAAGCTCCACGGAGACGAGACCGGCAACCATGTTCAGTCGTCAGTTGACATCGTGTTAGAAAGTATTGTATACATCGCTGAGCTTTATGTAGTTTTACGTGACTTTAGCAATATGACTGACAACGAGGGACACCAGAACTGGACTTCACACATTGTACCCATGCGGGAAAACGTACCCGTATCTTCAGCGTGACGAGTGAACGCTTTTACCACTAGGCTACCCCGACCGCCCTGCTCTATGATGGAGTCCTGAGCCAATAACCATAAAGAATCTTATTTAGACAACTGTAATGTTAGGATCACTTTGGGAATGGACTTTGTGACCTTTCAACGAACCCTTTTCAATCTAAGTTTTTAAGACTTGAGTCACACTTTTAAGATGGTATAAGTTTGTGTATTTACAAATCTGCATTTATTGGCTGTGTATGAAGTTCAAAGTCATGTAGGTTACTTCGATACAGATGAAGTAATAATTGAGGTTCAAGGTTGGTAAGCTTTGATGAGTAGCAGTTTTTGTGAGCGCCTCGATTTGATTTTCACAGATCCATGTGGAGGAACGTATGTGAGATACTGTTGGCCAGTTTCCATTTCAACTTACTGTTTGCATCATCACAGATTTATACAACCTTTAAGTCGAGAACAGGGCTCCTGTATGCAAATATTGACGTTGTGACCGGTCAGTAAATGACGACAAACAAGTTTTTATTTTACTGTTTACTGCAAAACTGCATATTATCACAGATTGTCTAGTAATCCTGTACACCAGGTGTAATCAACACAACACACCATAGAGCAAGTCAAATATGGCTTAAAATGAAGGCAAACCTCAGTACATAAAGGGTGACATCAATACTGCCAACTAGTTTCATCATGCAAAGTAGCACTATAGCTCAAACCCTGTAGTAATCATGTCTGACAAGGGGTGCTAAGAAATATTTTTTGCTAGTATGTACAAAATACAATCTGCATTCTAAAAAGAGGCATCAAACCATTCATGTCCTTCAGAAATCCGAGGAGTTTGTCCCTTGGTCAACACGGAGTCGTGTTTCACCACCGCTCATTACTCACAGGAGCGTCAGGGAGCAGTAGAAATGGGCATAAAGAAAGTCTGAACTCTTGTGCTATATTTATTTTAGTACACTTTATAGGAAAAACATTATTTTTATCAGCTTTAAATGATAATGAATCATCCGAAACCAGATTGTGAACCTAGGTGGGAAAAGTTGAGACTATATATATTTACTTTGAAGTTGTATGTGAAATACCATGACTAAAACTGACAGTGTTTAGATAGTGGACAGTTTGAGAAACTTTAACACAACATAATGAGCTACAGAATGGCTGTCAATGCTGATGATGTGGTCTTTGGCTTATGGATGGAGCTGATCTACTTCATCAGTCTCGTTTTAAAATGAGCATAAATCATAAGCATAAAAAGAGTGCTTAGAGCATTCATTTAAAATTTGAAATAAATATGATAAAATACTGATCAACAGTAATAAATTATAAGAATAATTACAAATCAACGTCTATATACAACACAGACAATAGACAAACAACACAGATGCAAGATGCCGGCTGGATGGATAGACTCTAAAGAATAGCAATTGTTTGATTTGCTTTGTTTCCCTGGCTCATCCAAGTGTAACCATGAGCAAAGGACGTTCAACAAAATGGAACTCGGATCTCACATTTGTTCAGTCTGTAGTGAGAGGTGCCATGCCCATGATGAACTTTGGAGAAAGGTAAACATGGTTGTCACCAACTTCTTCAAAATATAGTTTGTCTACCAGAGAACCATGGCAACAAAAGGAACAATTCCTGAACTTTTCAGATAATTCAAATTCATAAAAGATCTTTGAGTTTTCAGAACTTGTAAATCAGTCAGGTTGGCACCTCTGCTGAAATGCTGACTGCGCAGAACAACGTGAAGACATGGAAGTGTGTGTGAGATTCTTTGTATATCTTCAAATTGAAGCTGCTTTGTTTGGTAGACACTGTGATGCCACTTGTGCGTTCTGTACCTGAGTCTGGAGGCAACCCTTGCTTTATCCAACCTGTTCTCTTCACATGCATTCATTGGAACCCTGCCACTCCAGGGGCCCATTTCACAAAGTGATTGTAGCGCTACGACTGTCGTAAGTCTATGTTAATGTATGGGAGTTACCTATGCGACGATCGCCTCAAGGAACGGGCCTGGTCATTAACTTGTCAGGACTACTTTCCTGATGAACAAAACCGTACAATCTTACAGGTAGCAGTACTCAGTAGGCAAGGTTCCTTGGCAAACAGGGTTTCAGTCACAGGTTTAAAACAGGCTATATGGTCCTGGGTGAACTGATAACACAACATGATAATACTTAACACTCAACGGTAAGAGTGAGTATTGTACAGACCTATCTATATGTTAACAGAAAAATGCTAAAACTTCTAAAGGGGAAAAATGTGATAATTAAAAAAATGATTATAATTATAGTATGGATGCTTATAAAGTCTATGTTATAAAAAGTATTCTACTATGTCTACTAAAGAATGTTTAATCATGTTTATCAAGTTTGAAGAAAAACGGTTTCTGATCTATAAGATGGCTCCTAGCTTGAACTTCACTTACACTTCTGCAGTTTCTATGTACAGAAAGACTACAGAAATGAGAACTAGATGGACATGAACATGACAACAATTCTGTTCCTCAACAATAAAACATGTACATCACGGTAATACTGCATTCATTAGATGTTGAAGAAACCTGACAGACTTCAACTCATATCACTGACATCTAGCAAACAGTTGCTATGTGGGTAGATGTATGCTCAGGTACAAATAGGGTAGATGGGTGGACTCCCTATCACCTAGGAGTGATGTTCATATTGTCTGCTGCAGCAGTGAGTTGCCTACTGTTTTCAACCACTGGTCACGTAGTCCAGCAACAGTGAGTTGCCTCCCTTGTTAAATACTGGCGACGTAGTCTGCTGCAACAACGAGTTGCTTCCCTTGTTAACCACTGGTTGCGTAGTCTGCTGCAAGAGTGAGTTGCCTGCCCTTGTTAACCACAGGTGATTTCTTCTGTTGCAACGGTCGCAACCACAGGTGATTTCTTCTGCTGCAGTTGCCTGCCCTTGTTAACCACAGGTGATTTCTTCTGCTGCAACAGTGAGTTGCCTGCCCTTGTTAACCACAGGTGATTTCTTCTGTTGCAACAGTGAGTTGCCTGCCCTTGTTAACCACAGGTGATTTCTTCTGCTGCAACAGTGAGTTGCCTGCCCTTGTTAACCACAGGTGATTTCTTCTGTTGCAACAGTGAGTTGCCTGCCCTTGTTAACCACAGGTGATTTCTTCTGTTGCAACAGTGAGTTGCCTGCCCTTGTTAACCACAGGTGATTTCTTCTGTTGCAGCAGCAGCTGGTGTCCATCAGAAGTTGACCCAGAATACGTCTGCACTGCCGGGGTGTTGACTAGTTGCTGGGGGGCCGAGGGAGGTGCGGGGAACAGCAGTAGAAGGGTCCTCAAACACAACATTTCAATGTTCATAACATTAACTGAATTCATAATATTTGCTTATCATCCAATTTCAAGTGAAATTCAATAGAAGATACTGAGCTGATATTTGCATGCATGACAAGGAGACATCTAACTTACCTCGATGCTTTTATGGACGATCAAGAAGATACAGTCAACTGTCTGCTGTATAACAGCGTGGACAGTGGACAGGACAGTCAGCATAATGTGTGAGGTTGGCCCAAAGTATCATTTACATCTTTGTTAAACCATGTTCCCTGCCAACCATCTTAATCACACCCACATCAAGTGGACTTTGACAGAGTAAAGGGGTAAACTGTGATGCCATAAAATCACTGCATTTCGGTACAAAAGACCGGTTTGTTGTCTAGGTCTCCCTTAGACTGTACCAGCATGAATACTGCCACTGCCTCACCACAGTACATGATTTGTGTCTGTGGTTGTTGTTTAACGCCACACTCAGCAACATTCCAGCTATGTGGCGAAGGTCTGTAAATAATCAAGTCTGGACCAGACAATCCAGTGATCAACAGCATGAGCATCGATCTACGCAATTGGGATATGACGACATGTGAACCAAGTTAGCGAGCCTCGCCATCTGCTGAAGACCCAATTCTAACCCAGATCTTCACGGATCTAACTAAGCCACTGTTTGCAGGGCGGGTTATACCTACCCACGGTCTTTTCATCGATGTGTGCTTGAAGTGTGGAAGTCGGAGCCAGCTGGAAGGGCCGTAGGTACTGATGATGTGTCTGTGAACAGAGAAATAGTGGTGTGTAGGTACTGATGATGTGTCTGTGAACACAGAAATAGTGGTGTGTAGGTACTGATGTCTGTGAACACAGAAATAGTGGTGTGTAGGTACTGATGTGTCTGTGAACACAGAAATAGTGGTGTGTAGGTGTTGATGATGTGTCTGTGAACACAGAAATAGTGGTGTGTAGGTACTGATGATGTGTCTGTGAACACAGAAATAGTGGTGTGTAGGTACTGATGATGTCTTCAAGTTACAATGTCTCAACACATTTTGGTGACAGATTAAATGAAGAAATGGGAAACATAAAAAAAGCACACTGAGCACAAAATGTCTCGGAAATAGTAAAAGTCAACATCAGGAACCAAGAGTTGGAGGCAAATGATAAACAACACGATTCATCTGAAACAATGGGAAGTGTTAGTCTGCTCTTAGCAGCTGGTTAGCCGGAGGTTCCAGTACTGCCACAGGGTGTGCCACGGAGTGTGGCAGTACTGTAACATAACACTCTTATACTCTCGCACATAGCTGTTGCTAGTCAATGCTTTACATTATGTCTTTATTATATACAGTTTACACTAGAAGCATATTGGGGTGAGATATACTATGTGGAGTAACATTGAACACGAGGAGCTGATGAAGGTAGAACTGGCAAAATAACCTATGGCATACAGTATACAGAAACACATACACTGTACCAACAGGATGCTATAGCTCACCTGGAAAAAATATCTGTCTATTAGATGGTCCATGTGTGTCTATCAGATGTACCATGTGTGTCTACCGATGTACCATGTGTGTCTACCGATGTACCATGTGTGTCTACCGGTGTACCATGTCTACCGATGTACCATGTGTCTACCGATGTACCATGTGTGCTTACCGATGTACCATGTGTGTTTACCGATGTACCATATATGTCTACCGATGTACCATGTGTCTACCGATGTACCATGTGTGTCTACCGATGTACCATATATGTCTACCGATGTACCATGTCTACCGATGTACCATGTGTCTACCGATGTACCATGTGTGTTTACCGATGTACCATGTGTGTTTACCGATGTACCATATATGTTTACCGATGTACCATGTGTGTCTACCGATGTACCAAGTGTGTCTACCAATGTACCATGAGTGTGTTTCCAATGTTGAAAGTCTATTGATTAGCTGTTGTTGATGCCTTGCAGTATTTTACAGTCAGAAATTGACCTAAACCGTGTCATCAGAACCATCACAGAACATTCATACTCTCAGCTCAAGATATACTATTTTGTGCTAATAGCCACCCTTTATTCCACCACATGATCATACTAGTCAAACGCCACATTTTTGTCAGGAATATCAAAGGTGTGAAACCAAGTTTCACCACATATAAAGGGTTACTAAAAGACGTATATGACATTTAGAAATATATTGCTAGAAACAATTTCAATATGAATTTATTTGAGAGAAAATGGATTATACTCCAAAATGTTCTGTGATTGTGACAATGAAATAGCTTATACCCAAGTGTATCTGCCCTTGCTCCAGTTTTACATGCTCTTTTTGCCCCTAGTGGAAACTGAAACAAAGTCACATGCCACTCCTTATATTATTATCATTACAAAACGTTGTCCACAGATTGTTTCATACAAAGTGTATCCATTGTTTCATACAAAGTGTATCCAAGTGAAGTGAATACAAAAATGTGAATAAATAAATAAATAAATGAATGTGTTGGTCGGATACAACTTCCACATATTATGATTTTTACGGTGAAAAAATGTTTATAAATTTGATGCCACCAACAGCTATTTTAAGCCCATAGTATGTACATAAATCAACACAACAAAGTGATTAGGTGCCTGACTCTGAGGGTGTGGGCTCGAATCCCGGATGGGCCTCAACCCAACAAAAGCACTAGAATCTGTACTTTACTAAGAAGTGTAATCCCAAATATAACATATGTTACATTTGACCACTTTCTAAATGGCATTGTGTATTCATAACAAAGTGATGTTGGTCACTGATGCTTTCATACCTAGTGAAACCCACAGCACAGCTTTGATCATCATGCCCCTGATGGCCTAACCTAGTCAGCATCTGTGTTGATCTGACCACCCCAGACTGTACACAGCGGGGACAACATGCCACACACTCACATGCCCCTTGAGTCAGCATCTGTGTTGATCTGACCACCCCAGACTGTAGACAGCGGGGACAACATGCCACACACTCACATGCCCCTTGAGTCAGCATCTGTGTTGATCTGACCACCCCAGACTGTAGACAGCGGGGACAACATGCCACACACTCACATGCCCCTTGAGTCAGCATCTGTGTTGATCTGACCACCCCAGACTGTAGACAGCGGGGACCACATGCCACACACTCACATGCCCCTTGAGTCAGCATCTGTGTTGATCTGACCACCCCAGACTGTAGACAGCGGGGACCACATGCCACACACTCACATGCCCCTTGAGTCAGCATCTGTGTTGATCTGACCACCCCAGACTGTAGACAGCGGAGACAACATGCCACACACTCACATGCCCCTTGAGTCAGCATCTGAATTGATCTGAGTCACCCCAGACTGTGAGACAACAGACAGCGGAGACAACATGCCACACACTCACATGCCCCCTTGAGTCAGCATCTGTGTTGATCTGACCACCCCAGACTGTAGACAGCGGAGACAACATGCCACACACTCACATGCCCCTGTGAGTCAGCATCTGTGTTGATCAGACTGTAGACAGCCCCTTGAGTCAGCATCAGTGTTGAGACAACATGCACTCACATGCCCCTTGAGTCAGCATCTGTGTTGATCTGACCACCCCAGACTGTACACAGCCCCATGCCAGTCAGCATCTGTGTTGATCTGACCACCCCAGACTGTAGACAGCGGAGACAACATGCCACACACTCACATGCCCCTTGAGTCAGCATCTGTGTTGATCTGACCACCCCAGACTGTAGACAGCGTAGACAACATGCCACACACTCACATGCCTTGAGTCAGCATTTGTGTTGATCATGACCCACCCCTTGAGTGCCACACACTCACATGCATGTATCTGTGTTGATCTGGAGACCCCCAGACTGTACACAGCCCCTTGACAGCGGAGACAACATGCCACACACTCACATGCCCCCTTGAGTCAGCATTTGTGTTGATCTGACCACCCCAGACTAGACAGTGGAGACAACATGCCACACACTCACATGGACCTGAGGCCAAGGTGAGCTTACACATCTGTTAAGAATTAAAATATCACACAGCAATAAAACACAAGGGGGAAAATATACCACAAAGAGACAAATCCATCCCACCAAACACTTTCCAAATACAATATAGATTAGATGACACCAGCACCCTGTACACACATGGCAGAGGCTTTAGTTGGGCCGGCATCTAGCTGGCGAATCATTGCCTTGTGCTGCTCCACTTTCATAGTTCCACTTCTACAAGTCAGTACACCTTTCTTCTAATTCCTACACCGTAATGTTCTTATGGAGTTCAATGCTGATACTGATCGACCAGATCAAAAGAGAAACAGATCCTAGTTCCAAAATTATTCACCAAATACAGTTGAGCACCGTTGTGTCGAACTCTGATAACATTATATCTCGGTTGTCTCGATATAACATATCGGTCCCGGCAGAATCCTTCATAATTTATCATTATTCAAGCTCTTCTAACGCGAAATGGATGTCTCGATATTACGGATATCTCGATATAATTTCATGGTCCCAACCAGCAAAATTACCCTTTTAACTCGATATTTACAAAGTAACTCAATATTCCCCTACCTTTCATGGGCAAGTATCCCTCTGAACTGAGGTTGTTTCCACACGTTTACACACGGTGCGACATGAATCAAAGGGATGTGGTAGTGTAAACTAATTAGGACTAATTGAGTTGAAGGTGCCACTTGTTTGTTATTTCATTAGGATTAATTAAGAAGGAATTAATTAGGAAGTACTCACTGTTACGACTAAACACTACTGATAACGGATTATAGTTTCGAATCAAAACATACAGAGCGTTTTGTGTAATCGCAGTTGAGAATGGCAGATGCATTCACAAGATTTGTGGAATCAAGAGATGGAGGGCGAGATGAGGTATCATTCAAGATGGACACTGTAACATGAGCTGTCTCGTGTGTGACTGCGATCCCTGAGAGTAAAAATGTATATACAAATATATATACATGAAATCTACTTTTTGTTTTGTTTTCTTTCATAGTGATATGTGAAGATATGCCCTGGTCGGATGTCTCAAAGTTCGGATAACTCGATTTTTTCTTGGTCCCATGAATATCGAGACAACAGTCCTCGACTGTATTTCAATTAAACATAGTAACAATGTCAAAACCGTAACCATTCACAAAACAGATATTCAGTAAAAATATTTGGTACACTTAAGCATGCATTTTTTGCGAGCTAGGGGTTTGAAAATGTCCATGGCACTAGATTCTGAAGGGCAGTGTGAAAACAAGCTCTGCAAGAACATCCCTGTAGGGTGGACGTCCAGCTAGGTATTACTGACCAATCAAAGCAAGACTATAATCGAGGAGCAGCACAAGGATGTACCAGCCACATCGGCCTGCATCACACAGCACACAACTGTATACCTACCATAGACAGGCTGACAATCCTGGCAAGCATACAGAAATATAAGAATCACAGTCAGTCCTGATGTAGCAGTATCTCACATGGATGGACGGAACTAATTACACTCACATATTTACATCTGTCAACCTTCCAAATTCTTGTTTTATAAGTTTGAATAGCTGCCACACTGAGGTAGCAACATGACAAATAGTGTCAGGGTTGATTTGGTTCCTCAGAAAACCTCAAAACCGAAGTGTACACATATAAATATACAAACAAAAAGATATGACAAGAAACAGCACAGTCTCGTGACTTCAGCTGTATGTAAATAGTAGGGGGGGTCTGTATTTGTTACCAAATGTACACACAATCTTAGCACATGGGACTGTGAGGAGTTCACTTCACACTTTGAATATTTGTACAAATACAGTGACTTGTTCCTTTGGAATTATTCAATACTATCAAGCTTACTGGGATCTAACAATAACTGACTACTGTCGTGCTGAAGGAGTCACTAGCAATACATGCGTCGTCTTGTAAACAACACGTGACATGCAGGCAGCTTGTTGAATATCAGTGATGATACATTAGCTGTCAGAT